GTGGCTGTTGGGGTTGATTGTTTGTTTTTCAGTTTTTCAATTTTTCCATTTTTTTGCCATTTTACTAACATTTTATTTCCATCAAAAGCAAAGGAAAAGCATCATGGGAACAATAAGTAGCTACATTAAGATGGAGGCATGCTGTTTGTTTTAATTAAATTACTAAAGAAGTGGGTACAGACTATACGATAACTACAATAGTATGTACAGTCATAATTGTTGTGCCTTGACAAAATATTATATGATGCATAGCCAGAGTAAACGTGTATGGTTTTGGTCTGAATGCAAAGTACATTACATTGGTGTTTGAATGAAATAATGTATTCCGGTACACGAAACAAAACAACCATCTTAACAACAAGGCCCATTTGAATCCAGATTTTGATTGCCGTTTGAATGCCCTTTGGAGGTTTGATGAGCCAGCAACAAGCGCCCAGCACGACTGCCTTGTACCAACGCGCGTGCTGTTGAATCATTCCGCAACCAGACTTGATGGCGAGAGATTTTAATCTAGGCGTCAGGGGTGTATGGTTCCCAACCTGCGGCACCCACCTGCACATTTCTTTCCCCTAGAGGGGTTCTGGCTGTACCCAAAGGGGTGCAAAAGAGCCTCATTGACGCCAGTATGTGACACCTTTCGTTTTGTTATTGGACATGTACCGCACAAGCGCGCGTCGGGCTACGGGAAATTCTACGGAGCGTGAAGTAGGATTGTTTGTACGGGGCTATGGGCAGGAGATGGAGACGGAATCCGGAAATCTTAAAGTGTTTGGGTTGGAGCTGTCGGAGGAAAGTGATCTGGCTCTGTCAATATTCGTATCAATGTCTCAATCGTTCCACTGTATATGTGCATTGACATTTTGATGGAATTTCGCGTGGGGCTGGTACGGCGATAAATCAGTTATGATACAATTATGACTTCGTCGTGCATGTCAGGGCGCCCCGATCTCAGTATGTTTTCGACATTTCATTCCGAATTGAAAAGGTCACGAGAACTGATTGTCGCCTCTTTTTATATTTCGACAGCTGTCAACTTCAATAATTTTAATTATCACGTTTCCGCTGGGCAGTATCAGCTCTGACCCCCACTTATAAGGGCCAAGATTTGGTGAATATGACTTTCTATTGTAAAACTAGGCCTACATTGAAAAAAAACCTGCAATGTACCTTAAGGTATTTGTAAATTAGGCCTACCCCTTTAAAAGTCACATAGCGATCATTTGATACCAAAGTTTCTGCAGTAATTCAAAGTTCACTGAATAAGTTACGAACGTTTAATTGCGTTATAATTTGCCAATACTGGGCGAGTCAAAAATAAAAATGGAACCCCCAAAAAAGAAAAAATATATTTCATATCAAAAACTATGTAGCATGCACTAAAATTGATTATGACTTGGAAGCCCATTTATTAAACTACCTTTAAGTGAGAAAATTATTTCAATTGCTCTACACGTTAGAATTTTATCACTATTTAAACGAAGTAACCCTAATATAAGTTTCGTCCAAAAAAGCACTTTATTGTGTGTTCGAAATGTTTGAAACAGCAACGAAAATGACACAGAATACTTCTTTCAACAACTGTAATTACACAATATCTTCATTAACAACCCTGGTTCAGCTAAGAATAGGATTTATAAAATCCACTTTTTTTTAAAAAGACGCGCCTTCAAAAGGACTTTGTTGATCTTTAACTTTTAAAATGCGGTTTTATCGCTGGTGAAATTTGAAGACAAGTGTAACGACAGTTCTTGAAATCGCATTTTTGGAACGAAACAGATTTTAGGGTCATTTCGTTTAAATGGTGAAATAATTTGAACGGATTTTGCAATTGAAGTTTTTTTCATCTCAAAGTAGTTTATACAATGGCTTATCAGTGATAATTACTTTTGGTGCTGCATATTTTTTTTAAATATGAAATATATTTCTTTGGGTTTAGGTTCCGCTTTTTTTGTAACTCATTCTGTATCTTCGGGCTATGTACCGCCAGGTAAACTTTCAAAGTTGACAAAACTGATGACGCAAAGTCAAATATATGTCTTGATAGTGAGAAGAAAGAAGACATTCTGGGCCTTAGGAAAAAACGACAGAGCGTTAAAGATCTTAGACCATTTTTCTGATGTTTTTGTTCCGAGGCAATCTGGACCCGATTTGGACGGGGATCGGGTAGCACTCTCACCGGTGATGTAACTCGATAATCCCCCTCTTCCGTTTTGCCTGGTTCCTGCGGCTGCCAATTTGCCGTAAATTGGCTGTTTCATTCACATCCTAGCGGCTGATGAGACGACCCAGGTAACATGCAACCGGCGCTGTCTCCAGGGACAGGGGCTGGTAGCTAGTACTCGGGGAGAGGTTTAAAAGACTAACAAACGGAAAGAGAAAGAGAGAAAATAGCAATCAACTCATTGCAGTTAATCGTTTGTTTTTCCTCTTCCTTAATTAAATAAAACCTGCACGTGCAGCTCGCAATACGCAATGGGATGACGCCATCGAAATAGAAAAACATTTTTTTTGGCGGGGGGGGGGCAATTTGCGGCAACAATACAACATGCAACTGTATGGAAAGTAATTAATTTGCTGAGATGATGACATCAACCGTCGCATTATGGTGGTTGGCTGTTGACCGAGACAATCAGCCAATGGCATCAGTGCTGTTAGTCACCGTGTCGAGTTCGATGTCCTATCGAAGAAGTGTTTGTTTCTTACCGAGCAATGGTTTCAAATGCAAGTTTTAAAAGTTACAGACAGGAGAAAAAGAGAAGACATTTTCGATCGAAATTGCCAATTATTCCAAAATGAAGAAAATAATTGGAATAGAGATCCACTGCTAAAGGCCTACACGTTTTGAAATTGAAACTACATGTAAAAGGCTGTAGGCCTATACTAAAACATTAACTTCACGGCTACAAAAACGATATGTTTGTTTTTCTGCACTGGTCAGTGATACATTTTCGTTCCATAGGCTGTTACCCGAAGCCCGTCACTAAAACAACTTTCTCTGCCAATATATTGCATTATCAATGAAATCCCACCAACCAGTCAAAACCAATTACATCACGTAATGCTGGATAATATAGATGCTAACCCGTTAAGTTCTTTTTCTTCATCTGCTTTTCCTAGAATTCATTTTATTTGGTATAGCTGACAAACTGCCCCAGGCAACAACGAGAAATAACCGGCCTGAGTTCATCGGGATATCGCTGGACAACGGCCGCGGACGCGGACACAGCACCCCAAAACGCACCAATTTATTAGTCCAATTCCGAATTCGGAACGAGTTTGATGGCAAAGGCAAACTGCGCCTGAGGGTTATAGCTGGGCACATATGGGGCAAAATCAGGAGACGATCCGACACGGAAATCGGTATATAACGGCGATCTGGTGCGGGGCTAGCCGTGCGTGTGTACGGCCTATTAACTGCCTCGACAGCGGGTGGAATGCTCGGCTTCAAAATGACGCAAGAAAATGTCTCGAAAAATGGGAGGTGGGGCAGATTATTTCCCCCTACTTCTTATTTGCGAAGCGCGTCACGACTTGTTGGGTGTATTTTTATATTGTAATCCAGGCAGGTGTTTTCCTTAGTCACGGATGCGTGGATTTTGTAATAATTTTGATTTCACGCTTTGTCGGGTGGGTCTGGCCCAACTTTTATTAGAGTTTCGTGTGTGACTTAGAATATGCCGAATCTACAGACAGTATAACACATTATATGTAAGGCTTTTAATGAAATCGTGAATGGTTACACTTAGTGGTTGTTCTTTACATAAATTGTTTTCTAAGTCGTCACAGTAGATTCACGGGACACAATCCGACACACCTCAGATTATGGCAGACATTTTGAAAATAATACCGCCGAATTGTAGCATAATGAAAGATAATGCGTGTCGCACGAAGTATAATAAATTATGGCTAACGTATTGATGTGCAAACGGTAAACTAACACGTGTATCATGAAATTTAAGTGAACTCGATATAGAGATGAACTTTGTAGACATACACTTTGTACTACGTGTCAAAAACATGTCCTACCTAAAATAACTAAACAACTGCGCTGTTGATCCTAAATAACTGCGTTGTTTACCAATGGAACTAGGGCAAAATTTCAGATCATGTGAAAGGCATGACAAATGTTATGGAGCGGGTTTCATCAGCTTTGTGCAAGAGGGTGAGATTTAAACGCCATACGAAAGAAATGCTCACTTTCAGAATGTGGAGGCGCTGGAGACGGTGGCGGGAGGCGCGTGCTGCAACCAAAAGCTTCCGAGGAATGCAGGATCGCCCCTGATGTTATTGCACACCTCCTCAATCGTGTGTTGCGCCGGACGATCGAGGAGGCGTGCAATGACATCAGGGGTGATCCTGCATTCCTTCAGAAGCTTTCGGCCGCAGCACGCGCCTTCCGCCACCGTCTCCAGCTCTGTATCGACATTGGAAGACGCCAAGTCGAAAGTTGCAGATTCAGATGACATTAGTTCATTGTCTCATAATCCACGAAGTGGTAAGTTCAAAGTATTCAACACTAACGTATGGTGTGCATCGGCACCGAATACGGGCCGCGAAATATTTTTATTTCCAAAACAACATCCGCATTACCTGGTTGCTGAGCGCCCTCTACGATACATTTATGATACGTACGCAGGTAATATTACCATGAATGTCCATGATTTGTCGCGCAGTTCGATAGCCCAGTTGATAGGGTCGTGATTTTGTTGTGAAATTGTTCACATAACCACCACTATGTCTGAATCTGTACACTAGCTCATTAGCATAATACTATTAATGTATTTTAAAAAGGCAATTTTAGACATTTCCCCGCCCCCCCCAAAAAAAAAATAGTTAATAAGCGACTTTGCATAACTTAAGTTTTCATGTTGAGTGCATGGACCTACATGGTGATAAAACATGGAGGAAATCATGTTTTTACCTACCTGCCGTGCGAGGCGCCCTTCCCCATCGTGATCTTTGAGCAAGTTCATGCACTTTACTTCTATCTTTGGCCGAAACCACTGACCATGACAACCATTGATATTGCAATGATGTCGGACTCTGACGACAGCCAACATGTGTACATGTACAAAAATGTCACCTTTGATCCGCACATTGTGCCCAGAGGAAACCTGACTGAGGTAGAACGGTTCAATGTCAGGCAGGATGACATTTTCATTGCCTCGTATCCACGAAGTGGTAAGTTCATATTCAAAACTTATATTGGCAGCGGAAACTGAAGGTGCGCATCGACCAGAAACGGGTACGCGACTGCCGGGCCAGGACCGTGGGATCGGATACCCGTAATCAGCTTTATTATAAATTAATTATCAGTAACTTAACAATGAACGCACGCCCCCCCCCCCCGCCCCTAAAAGGATCGTCGCCCCCAGTCGACCCCCTCCCACTGTGAATGTCTTTAAAGGGGCAGATTCACAATTAAACAGGCGGCTCTAACGGGTCTTCTGTGTAAACCGTAAATCGAGGTTTTTCGGGGTTGGACGTCCATGCATACCAACAATTAATGCATTCATGAATATTCTCCTCCGGTGCGGGGTCAACTTCAGCTCAGTCCACAAGGTTATTGCGAACAAAAGAAGCAGGTTGGGGCACTTTGGTGGACAAAAGGCTTCGTCAATAGTCGACCCTGTATAATTAGGGGATTACAGGATTATAGGTGGTCACGCTTGTGGGGTTTATTATTATTATCATTTATTCCGCCAATAAATGAACAAAAGTACAATGACAAAGCAAATATATATCATAAAGTAAACAAAAACTGGAAATGAAAAAGTATGACCAGACAAGACTGATGGTACTGAAGGGTGCGAGAACTTAATGGGCAGGGGGGGGGGTGTCGGGGGAGGGAGGGTGGACAGTTTGACAGAAGAGAGGAGATAGAGCCTATAGATAAACACTGGGTTTGATAAACACTGGGTTTGGGGATCTTGCCTGAGCTTAGAAACACGGAAAAGCTCGGAATGAGTTCAGGTTTTCGTTACATACATATCTTCCCCGTAAAAAGTTTTCTCAGTCGTCTGAGTTTTTGAACGGTAGAATTTGGCATACGTACGCCTATTTTATATGGGCTCGCTCTTTTGTTGGCACTGCTGGCCTGCCAGGCGCTTGCGACGACACACGGTTGTGTGCTTTAATAATGAGCTCATTAAAACGACACCTTGCGGTATATACCGCATAAACCCGCGCGGTACCGTGCGGTTCAAGCTCCAAAAAACCGCCTGTTTAATTGTGCATCTGCTCCTTAGTCCAATATGACCTAAGTGACCTTTGTCCTAAAAGACCACGGTTGATGGTTTTAACAGAAGTTGGGCGCCTCCAACTCCCCCCTTTGCCCCTCCCCCTATGGTTAGAACCCTGGCTACGCCGCTGGAGGGCGCATTTGATAGTTATAGCGGATAACAGACCCGAATGCAGACAGATCAAAGCAGATAAAAGACCCGGATGCGTTTTGTCCATTTGCGTTTGATTTAATCATGTATTGTCTTGTCAAAAATGCAGATAGAGGGCGCTCGTCAGGGCGCTGGTTACAATATTGACAATTAGGAATCATTCTTTCAATGAACTTTATTTTATCGTGAACTGAGGTACCCACTGGCTAACAGAGATGGTGCTACTCATCATGGCTGACGGTGACGTCAGCAAGGTCAATCGGAGGACCATGGACCAGGTGTTTGAGATGACCTTACCCATTGACCCATCTCGGCCACTGAGGGCGGGCTATAAGGCGGTTGAGGAGTGGCCAGTTGGGGAACCGAGGGTCGTGCTGACACACTTGCCTGCCGAGCTTCTACCTCTGCAGCTTTGGCAGCAGAAGGGGGCAAAGGTTAATCAACTTTGATCTCTCTCTCTCTCACTGACATGAAGTAACATTGAGGAATTACGCCCTCAAGAGATCCTTATGCTGGGTCTAAATCGAGGGATTTCAGGCCGTATACGTAATGCCCCTTTAACAAGATGTATGTCCGGTAAGAGGCTTACTGAAATCGACTTTTCAGTTATACACACACGAATCTTCATTTATTTATCTTTATAGGTGGTGTATATAGCAAGGAATGTTTTGGATGTTCTGGCCTCTCAGTATCAACATTTATCGGCAATCAACCTGCTTCCGCCGGCAACTAAGGACTGGCCCAAATTCATTCAGTTCAAATTGTCAGATAAAGGTGTGTACAAACACTGTCAATTAGTCGATTTATTTATTAATGTTAAACAATATATATTTAGTATTTCATATCCCCTGATGAAGGTCCAAGCAAATTGACCAAAACATCGATATATATTACCACGTATTTAGAGTTAGTCGCTTCGTGTTTCTATAAACTTCTAAAACTCTTTTTTTAAATGTCTATCGAAAAAATTTTTTTACGGTTATATTAAAAATACGAATTGTATTTTTTAACTTTCTTCTTTGTTTCTTCAAACGTTGCTGGCTGGGGCTTCTGTCAGACACTTATAGTGGAAGAAATTGGTTCAGTCACGTGACCAGCTACTGGAGAAGGCGAAGCAGTAACGAAAAGTTACTGTTCTTGAAATATGAAGATATAAAAACGGTAAGGAATTAAACACCTTAATTTTTTTTTCCTGAACTTTGACGGACTGCATGTTGTTCTGTCAAACAGTTAGTGGCGGGAATTGGTTTAATCACGTGACAAGCTACTGGAGAAGGCGAAGCAGTAACGAAAACTTACTCATCTTGAAATATGAAGATTTAAAAAGGGTAAGACAAAAAGATAAGTCTTTTGCTTGAACGCTCGATGTCATTCTTCTGTCTAGCCTATTTCGCCCCACTTCAGAAGGAAAGCCTCTTCACCAATTTTCCATCTCACTCTATCTTGAGCTGTCTGTTGCCATGCAATGCCATTATATGATCTTAGTCCATCTCCCCATCTTCTGTTTTGTCTCCCTCTTTTCCTGGTTTGGGTTCTTGGAGTCCAATTGGTGGTTGTGCATGTCCCGGTGTCATACCTCCTTGCCAGGTGACCTGTCCACCTCCACTACTTTGATTTAATGGTCTTAATAATATCCTGCACTCTTGATTTATTTTCAAAATAGGTCATGTAGGCCTACGGGATATACATTTGAATAGCATACAGAATGTCAAACGATCCCCTAATTTCGGACGTTTTTGTGGGTTTTACAGGAAAATATGATAAATAACACTCCTGGATTTTATCTAACTATATCTTGACATTTTTTTCCCGGGATAAATTAATAACACTAGGATCATCGGAAAGCAGTTCGAGATATCGCGGAGTTTCTGCAGCGCCCCCTCGCGGCAGAACAGATCGACCGGGTGGTTGAGTTGACGACGTTTGACGGAATGATGAAGACTTATCAACAGATCGAGGCTGAAGACCCTTCTAAGATATTCCGAACGAGGGCGTTAAGTGTGGAACCGTTTCTGAAAAAAGGTGGGTATGAAAACGGGTTTGTGTTGTGGAGAACAATGCATTAGATATGCATGTAATGGACCAATTAGAAGATGAGAAGCGGATGTCGTTTTGGGGAAAAAAGATTCGTAATATATACGCACACTTGGGCAGATAAATTATAAATTTTTAGGTGAAGGGATCGGTATTTAATATATATTTTCAATTTGTGGAACTGAAATTATATATTTTTGTAATGTCGATGATATATTTCTAATATTGTAATTCTTGATACTTAATAGGTCAAATAAAAAAAACCAGGTTTAGCGTCCTGCCTTTTTGAAAAAAAAAGACAGAAAGAGGCCCTTTTTTGTAGAATTATTATTCTGATTTAGAGAAACGCCATGTGATAACATCTGAGATTGACGCGCCGTAAAAATGTCGACATTTGAATTTAAAGAAAATCGTTGACACAGAATGAAGAAATGGGTTATTTTCCGGAAGACATAGTTGTGGCACAGTCTAACGGCCAATGTTATTATTCTATCTTAATAATCTGCAGGAATCGTGGGAAATTGGAAAGGCAAATACAGCGATGAACAGCTAGCGACAATCAAGAAAAAAGTGGTGGAACACTGTGGTAGCTTGGGGCTTCATTTCGAATTTGAAACGAAACTGTGACTACTTCATAGTCACGGTTACCATGTCAGAGCCAATTATAAAACATGAGTTAGTCTTTAAATCTCACTTTTATTTTTGTAATCTTGCTTTATTCATGTTTAGCATGTTTAACTTATGGAATCAGACATCATATTCCTATTTAAAATACTGGGTAAAAGTGATTGTTTTTTTTTTCTCGTCTTACCCTGGTTTCTCCATAGATTTCTGAGGTCCTTTTGGTTATCCGGGAAGATACACAATTTAAAGTTGATATTTTTTTATCTGCACCGTGAGTTGAGAAGCATGCATGCACTGTCTTGCACCAAACTATATTCACAAATGAAAGGTTTGCACAATTTGGTCAGAGAGTTTGGGGAAAAGGAACGGTTATTTTTATATCTTCGGACAATAATTAAAAATCTATTTCAAAAAGAAAAATTGTCCTGGTCTGGACAATAGTTTGTAAAACGTTTTGTCTAGACCAGCCTCAGGACAATTTTTCTTCAGGTTCAAACGCATATAAAAAACAAAATTCAAGATAATAAGAGATCAACCTTGCTTTTCGTCATTAAACTTTTACCTTTGTAATTGAGGAACATTATAATAATGTATGAATTTACTAAAATTACAGGTTTAAAAATACTACACTGCCAAGTTAGCGACCACGACTTGTAATCTTGCTTTGTTTATGTTTAGCATGTTAATGGAATCATGCAGACATCATATTCCTACTTAAAATACTGGGGAAAGTGATTTTTTATCTAGTCTTACCTTGGTTTCTCCATCATTTCCGAGGTCCTTTTATCCGGGAAGATACACAATTTAAAGTTGATATTTTTTTTATCTGCACCGTGAGTTGAGAAGCATGCATGCATTGTCTTGCACCAAACTATATTCACAAATGAAAGGTTTGCACAATTTGGTCAGAGAGTTTGGGGAAAAGGAACTATTTTTTATATATCTTCGGACATTAATTAAAAATCTATATGAGAAAAATTGTCCTGGTCTGGACAAAAGTTTGTAAAAACCTTTGCCTAGACCTGGACAATTTTTCTTCAGGTTCAGTTCAAGCGCATTTAAAAAGCAAAATTCAAGATAGTAAGAGATCAACTTTGCTTTTCGTCATTAAACTTTTACCTTTGTAATTGAGGAACTTATAATAATGTATGAATTTACTAAATATTACAGGTTTGAAAATGATACACTGCCAAGTTAGCGACCACGACTTTTTTAATTTTATGGTATAAATGGCATGAATATACTTTATACGTAGAGCCTACCTGTAATATGAACGTGTTCAAGTTGAAAGTGGCCGTAGTTTTGGCGCGCAGCCGACGTCTTCAAACGACCGCAGTATCAAATTCTTGGCGTCAGCGTCAAAATTCACTTTACAGTTGGCCAGAAAATGTCCTTCCATTCCACACAAATGTGTTTCTTGCAAACAGAAAACAAGATGGCTGAAAATCGAAGTTCATAAACGACCGCCATTCAGTACACACACAACTTGTCAGAAACAACAGCAAGGGCGTACTGCACTTTTAGCTGGGGATGGTATTAAACCACTTAGTTTTTTATTTATTTCATCGTCTATAGTTTTATATTTTGAAGACCAAATTAAAGCTCAGTAAGCTAAAACTAACTTTAAAAAAACCCATCAGGTCTCGTTTGTGTTCATTTGAATGACTTTTATCCTTGATAAAGTGGATGAGTATGCGCATGTCCTTCAACAGAACGATCCGAACGCCCATGTTGGCAAAAATGGTTTCGTCCAAAAGTTAGTCGAGGAATGTAATTTGCATATGAAAAGGGCGTGCAGCTGTTAAGAGCGCAAACAAAAATACGCCCTTGGCAAAGGGAGAACTTTCATAAAGAAATCTCAAGCCAGTTAGAGTTCAAGTTATGCTGTTCACGAATGGAAATTTGATCTTTGTTTTCGAGATATAAATGTCAAGTGTCGAAGAAATGAATGTCGATATCCTAATGCCTTTAATTAAGAACCCCCCCCCCCGAAAAAAAAAAGGCTTTTGGTTAATACATCTCTTGATACGGTGATGGTCGGCCTCAACTATTATGAAAAAAAAGCAAAAAGATGTAGCCTTCAGAATCAATTTTTCGTGTTCGTGAATCGAATTCTCCCAAACTATCTCGATCATCTAATGATATAATGAAGAGTTTTTGTGTAGCTGTAACTTTTGTATAGCTCACTATGTTTAAAAAGGGGGGAGGGGGTTACGAGAAGAGTAATCGGCCATTTTCTTGACTTCTTTTCTTTTCTTACTGCCATCCGTTCTTTTTCGATGGAAATTCAATTATTTAATTTCCTATTGGTTATTGTCTTGGGATATGGACCGGCGTCAATTCACTCAGACGGTTCCGCCATGCTCCCTCCGAGTCCCCCCCCCCCCCCCAAAAAAAACCACCCCAATACGATCAGGCCAAATCATTTGACAAAAATGTACCAAGTCATCTTTTTGGTTCAAAATAGCCTTGTTATATTTCTCGCTAAGTTGAGTTCATGAAGTTCAAGGCATGAAAGCATAAATTATTGTTTGAATAACATTGAATTTGTGATAATGTATTGTGTGCGACTGACTCATCGATTGTTTTGTATGACGTCATGTCAAAACGCAGACGAAATTTGGTCTGGTATCCAACTCTCGAATACGAATTGTTATGCCTAAAAAGCAGGGTCCTGTCTGCTCCATATCCCGTGGTCGTAATGTAATGCATTGTGCATGGGATATGTGAGTGGAATTTTCATGCGTAAAGTCACACAACAACATGGCGGCAGAAATCAGAACTAGGCCGCAGACGAGGCGGCCGATTTTACTCAGTAAATTGGAAGGATGTAACGGAACAGTCACAAAAGCCGTCATAATACCCAAGGAGGATGGAGTGATCAGCGTGAGCGAAGACAGGTAATATTTCAGTCTTGAACTTAAGTTTTTTGATCGTCCGAATCTACATTACATTGGACCCCCGGACAACATTGCAACTGCAATCGCATTGCCTGATTTACTCATAAGTCAGTCACTCATGTTGTTTACTTAACCTTTTTTCAATTCAAGGAAAGAACGGTAATCGTGTAGTTAAGGACCCCGTTCCGAAAAGAACTTATTATCCAAACGCCACTTCTGCGGTTGTGTACAAAGTCTATGGAGAGTCGAGTGCATTTTCAAAGTATTTTCGGCTATTTTCTAACAAAATTTAAAATGTTTCTTATCTTCAGATCTTAGTCCCAACTTCATGTCTTTTCAACATTTTGCAATGATTGACCTTCATTGAGATTGGCCTAATTTATGATGAAAAATAGTGGCGTCAGGATGCAACATTCTCTCTATTTTAGCCCCATTCTACATGGCCAAGGCAAGTCACTGCTTTGACATGGGAACCATAAACTAAAAAAGAAAGCAAATGCTTGTTTTGTAAGCATTTTAATTTTTATCATCACATTCGTTTGTTAAGAAACAGACATGAATTAACAAAAGTGTCCAGCAAAGTTCATCCAGTGTGTCATATAAAACACAGCATTTTTTTTCTTGTACTTCTCATCAGAACGGTACGAGTATGGTTGAAGAGGGATTCCGGTCTTTACTGGCCAAGCATCTGCCACTCAATGCAAGGTACGTCCTGTCTCTTTTTCAGACCTTTTTTTTCAGATTATAATCCACCCTTTTGTAAACACTTTATGTGATGATATCAAACTGCCTTAATCCTGCAAAATCCTCCAACAATCAATGTCAATGTTTTGAGGCAGAGCCAGTGACATCCTGGAGCAGTGCGGAGTATTTCGAGTATAATCTAGGTCTAAATTTATGCATGGCCGAGCATAAACAACATCGAAAATCAGCCACATGTTTTTGCCATACAGCCTCAATCCTGCCAAATCCTCAATTTTGCAAAGGATTTTGGAGGAAGGTTAGGGTGAAATGCTTTATTTGTATTAAGATGTTGATTTCTCTTCTACTCTAGCCTCTTGTTCCACCTTGGAGTTCAACCCACAGACGAGGAGAATGTTTGTTGGTCTGGACAACGGCAACATTTCTGAGTTCAGCCTGTCGGAGGATTTTAACAGCCTGAAGACGAGGAGAGAGTATCTGGGTAAGATGAGTAACTGATGGCAGAGGGAGACACGAGACACAAAACCTTCCCTGGCCCTTTCGTGCTTGTCAGTCAAGCAGTGTGCATTGACCAATTAGATCGTGATTTTTAGGTCTGAACCCAAAGTATTCACTCTCGCTCGCTCAGACTGCAGATTTCCTTTCATTTCTCGTTCGTAACTCTCTTGGCTTTTCCTCTGTCTCCTCCTTTCAGCTCACCAGAGTCGCGTGACCGACGTCTCATTCTCAGTCCTGACTGAGCTCGTGCTAAGCCTGGGCAGGGACAAGTACTTCCAGTGGCATTGTAGCGAGTCTGGTCGGCGTCTGGGTGGTTACAAGTTGGATGCCTGGGGCACGGCCTTGCAGTATCCTTTATGAAAAGATAAAGACGAATGCGGGCACGTAATTACTGTGCACTCATGAGGCCCCCTTCAATGGAGTCACCATTGCACATGCTATTGTACAAAGCAAGTGCACGGTGACGGATTATGTGAACAATAGCTAGCACAATAGCTTCGCAGCTTCTGAGGATTTTGCAGGATTGAGGGAGGTAGAGCCCAGCCACAATTACTTTACATGGGGCTTGATGCTCCTTGAAACTTGGTAGGCACAAAGAGTGTGCCATTGGGTGCCTGCACAGCGGAGGATTTTGTGGGATTGAGGAAGGTATAGCCTAGCCAATATTAATTAACATGGGGATTGATGCTCCTTGAAACTTGGTAGCTACAAAGAGGGCTGCTTCAATCATTTTAGCAAACTGATTTCTTTAACTCGCAGTTTTTACTAAGATTTGATGAAGAGACCAAGCACGCTTTCATCGCCGACTACTCCGGTCAGATCACTGTCCTGAAGGTGATGGACAGCGGTCACCAGGTCATCACAACACTCAAAGGACATTCCGGTAGGTTCTAATCATCACGAGGAGGTTGGGTCGGGTTCCTTGACTCCAAGGAAAGGTCCACAGTCTGTAAAGATGTCCCTGGCCCAAGATTGAGGCCGTTTCCAAATTACTAGCTTTGATTATCCATGCCCTGTGGCGAGGCTGACTAGACTGGTTTTAAAGGATTTTATTTACACAAACATGCGGTTCTTGTCAGAGGGGTAGGTGTTTGGCTAGGACTTTTAGGGTCAATAGTTCACCCCACTTCAAAGGAGCACTCACACTGATATCTGGCTATGTTTGAATGAGAAACTTGTGAAATAAGAATTGTTTTGACATAAAAAGGTCAGAGTAATTAAAACATTATTCAGAAGATGGAATTTGCGTCAGGGTGATGTAAATCTATATTTAGGTTTTGCCCTTCACCGACTTCACCGAGCACAATGGCGCAGCTGAGAGATACCGCAAAAAGGGAGTGGCTTGAACACATTCAGCATTTTACATTCACGCCGTTCATTTGTTTCACCACAAAACTCATTTCCATTAAAGAAAAATTCAATGGAAAGTGACCACTGCAGAGGCATCGACCTCTGCACACCTTCACCAGTACCATTCCTGTTTTTCCGTTTGGATAAAGGGAGCACCCGATGTCTGGCGTGGGACGCGGAGAACAAGCTTCTCTTCTCCGGCAGCTTCGATCAGTCCATCATCGTCTGGGATATCGGAGGACAGAAAGGCACCGCCTTTGAGCTGCAGGGACACACGTGAGATTCTGGCTTTTCTGAGCCAGGTTTTGTTTTTGCTGAAGGATGTTTTAGGTGTCTGTGTTCAATTTAGTAAATGTTAAGCTCGATTCATACTTCACCTAAATTTGAAGACGAAGCAAAATTGGTTATAGTAACGGTGTACTTCACAATGAAACTTATTGACGTCATGAAATTCGCTTCGCTTTTGCATTCACGTGAAGTATGAACTGGCCAAGCTAAACTTTCTGAGCTAAAATATTTTGATTACAGAGGGAAAGTTGAATCTGTCTGTTACTCGGCGAGGAGTAAGCAACTTTTCTCGGCCGGGGACGACAACAACATCGTTGTGTGGAACATGGCTGCAAAAAGACAAGAGGTAAAGCTATTTTTATTGACAGGTTTGTTGATGGGCTTTATACGCCTCGATATTTTCCATCAGAATTACAGAAAATCAATACATTTTTCTTGTTTCATTTTTGCTAGACTCCAGAGTGGGAGGAAAGTGACTGTTGTCAGAAATGCAGCAGCCCCTTCTTCTGGAACTTCAAGGAGATGTGGACGAATAAGACATTGGGCGTCAGACAGGTAAGCTCAAGGGCGCCCTCTGTGGTGAAAAAGTGGCCAAGAGCGTCAGTATTGAAGGACGCTTGCTCACTGTTGCCTGAATGCTGCCACTTTTCTTCTGTTGTCTTCTTTTTACTGAACAAGTTCCTTCTATTGTTTTCCGCCCCAAGCATCACTGCAGGAAGTGTGGCCACGCATTGTGCGACAAGTGTACGCCAGAGCGTTCCACGTTACCTGCGTTCGGCTTCGAGTTTGAGGTTCGCATCTGCAAGGAATGTGCGGACACCCTAACAGATGCAGAGTAAGAAATACTTCTCTCTCAATATTCATAAAAAAATGTGCTGAGCGCGACTGTTGTATTCCATTGAGTCCGTCACAAGCCCATCACAAAGCCGTGACAAAACCATCACCAGCCCGGCACAAGCCCTTCAGAAGCCTGCCGCAAGACCATGATCATAATGTTCATTTCTGAATTGCAGTCGGGCTCCGATGGCCTCCTTCTATGACAGCAAACATGCCGTCGTTTCCATGCACCTTGATGATGTCAAAGGTCAACTGGTCACATGTGGCACAGATAAGGTCATCAAGGTCAGTAGAACAAAACATTATTAAGGTTGTTTTTTTTAAGATGTTTCTACCACCTGTTTTCATGTCATTCATATCACAATAGACAGAGGTCAAGGTCAGCTAACAAAATTGTTGTCAACTTTTTTTTTTTTTAAATGATACTTTTACCACCTTTCGTCATTCCACCATGGCAAGAGAAGGTTCAAGTCAGTTTCAACTGTACTTTGTAAGATTCTGCTGGGCTTGATTTAACAGCATGTTATGTAGACCTAAGTGTACCGACCTGTGATTGAATAAATTTAATATGAAAGTTGGGAAATTTGCAACTTTTTTTGTTGCCATGTTTTGTACATGAGGGTGTCATATAAAATTGTCCAGGAAAAAAAATAAAATAAATTTTGCAATTTTTTTTATAAATTTGTCCGTACAGCTGTGGGACGTGTCCACTGTGATCCAATGAAAGCTGGAGGAGATATGTGTGGGGCGCCCTCTATTTTCAAATCAGCGACCAGTTACAGGAGAGATTTCAAGTTAATCAGAGATGCTAAATATATATATTGAGATTATTGATTAATTTATCAATACGCTTTATATCAATACTTGATCAGAAAAGAATTGATCACTTATCGATTGCCCATGTGTTGTGATAAACATAAATTGATCATGTTCCTGTGAATGTTGCTTTGACGCATTCATCGATTAATATTGATTTATTGATGCATGAACAAATTAATTGATAAAGGTATATTGATTAGACTGGCAGTAAAAGTATCTTTAAAAGGTTAAAATAAAGTCAGTGTTGATATTATTTGCTATGGTTTTTTGGGCATGGTTTGCTTTTTGATGCTTCCACTTTGATTCGATTCTTCGTTCTACGACACTGATGTTAACGTAGCATATGTTAACATCAAACCTGCCAAACAGTGATATTCAATAAATATGAAAACGATCAGCTTTAAAACAATACTCAACAACTTGTATATCTTTAACAGTGTACTTATCGAATAATAGAGTTGCAGCAAAAACATTTCTGCAATGAGAATTTGATTATTTTTGTTTTTGCAACCGGACTATTTATTAGTTTATAAACTTTGTGTACTAATTCGAAATGTACTCATTAATTTTGATTCAGATGCACACCAAATTAACCATGGCCCCAGGTGCAGTTCTCATTTTCTTTAAGGTTGACGCATGATTCTAAGAAATCTTGTAAAGACTTGGTTTAAACTTTAGAATTTGTTTTGAGTTTTTATGAATCTTTCGGATCTTTAGAAATTCTTCAATATGTTTTCAACTCAAAAGGAAAATGTACAACTAACCAATTTTTTGTTTGTTTGTTATAGGGTGTTGTTGGTAATTTTTTTTTTTTTTTTTTTAGGGGGGGAATGCTGATCAAAGTGCTGCCCCAGCCCCTCCCCTCTAAAACTGCACCGAAGTGGCCAGTGTAAATATAACATGAAATAGGGTCAATCCAGTGAAAACTTTGACCCCTACAAAAATTAAGTGTTCATATGATGTAAAGAAACAAAATTATTCCTCTGATAGTTTTTGTACATAAACAACATTAGAGTCTGCAATAAATCTAACGCAAAATTCATGATGTCTGTTCAACGGATACTGAATGTTCACTAAAAAATACATTTGCTGTTAACTATTTTGATCAACAACAAAAAAATGAGGACTACACAATGAATTTTAATTGCTATAATTTGTTTATTTTGGCACAATTTAGTTATTTATGATTTCTGTCGGTTGAAGAGTGAGTCGCGAGACAGAAATTCTGATATTTAGAATCTGTGTATTACGCAGTGGATGTATTTTTTTTTATATATGTGCCTATATGAGTAGACAAATCATAAGTTGCCGTTCATATAGCGATGAAGCCCTATTTTACTAAGTTGATAAATTTTAACCAATTGACCAATCTGGACGCAGAGTCACTGTATGCTCATGATGGCCCCCAGTCATGGCGGATGCATTATACCAGCTATCGTACATGTACAAGGCAACTGGTTTCAGTAAATGAAAATCAGGCAATCAAAATTCAAGTTAATTAAATTCAGAAATTACAAAAAAAAAATTACAAGAACACTTGGAAACTCCAAAAGGTCTTAAAAAGTCCTTAAAATATTCCTGTGAGTCTTTGAACCGAAAAGCACATTTTCCCAATAAGTTGAATATTAACTCAAATGTCACCTAATCTTGCATCAAATCGAGGCACTCTATTGCCTTGTTATTGGACTTATCTAAAAATCACAATAATTGTTCCAAAAAGGTTTGGAAAAATTTGATAAAAACCCTGGAAATCAAGGATCATTTTGACTTGCAATTTACCCTGTTCTTTGTTAAATAGTATAATTGTCCAAATTCTCGTTGAAACAGGCTATGAGGACCACTCAAAAAAAGAATATAAATTATGTTAACAACTTAATAAACTTAAAGTGAATGTAAATTAACAATCGCAATATGTATCCGTTTATTTAATTTTGTTAATGCATTAGAATAATCGCAGGCTTGTACATAAAAAAAGAAGAAACTAATCAGAAATATGTATTTTATATAAAAAAAGATTATTGGAATGCTAGTGCTTCAATAATATAATTGGAAAAAAAAGTGAATTAGGGAGTTTCATAATATTATTGTCAAAAAATTTAACAGGGCTCCAATTTTGGTTTAACAATAGGTGAGCGCTATGTCATGTACATGTGATGTGAATTTAATTTGCTCCATTATTTGGTTCCTAGCTATCTTAGTACACAGAATTTCAAAGCAGTAGATTTTGGCTTAGCTGTGTGAAATTGGTCCTAGCACGTAACAAAAAAATAATTCCCAGATTGAATTTTAAATTTAAACCATATAATTTTACTCGTTGATGTCCTTCACCCAAACATAGTATCCAGGTCATCTAAAATGAAATCTGCAGGCATGTAATTCTATGGTCGAAGCTGAAAGCATAATTTCAAGTGGTATTTTGATCTTTGAGTGCAAAGCTTGGCTGTGACTATAAAAATCAAATTTTACAGATTCATGCGAAAATTTGCTATACGTATAGGCAGGTTTTGTGAATATGCCATTTTATGTTTAGGATTTGATTTTCTGCACAAAAGGGGAAAGGATTGCTTAGAATTATAAATATTGAGTAGACTATAATGAACCCCCCCCCTCCCCAGAAGATACCAAGTTGTGTTTTTAAACGTAAACAAATCAGAATCTGTTTATATTACATTCTCTGAACCCTCCCCCCCCCCTTACACTTCACAATTATCTATATATATTGTAAAAGTAAAGGATAAATAATGGACAGAAAAGCCAATAAAAGTTCCATCTATTCCATCTTGACATTTTTGTTTGTGGTTTCTAATAGTTTTTAAAATGTTGTAGAAAGTTTGACACCGAAGGACAAATACAAACAACAAGAAAGGTGTCCAAACAAAAGCAAATTGTTCCAACCGATATTTGATAATAATTTTCCTTTAATCCACTGCTCATTCAATCAACTATAAAATAAAGAGTGCAATAAATTACAACATTGAAAAACAAAAAGCTTTAAAAAAATAACAAAACAAGAGCAGAAATACAAAGTAAATAAATAAATACGTGATAATAAATATTCAATTAGTTGAGTTATTCACAAACTCCCAAAAAACGCTTTTCAGTACATTTGACAGGTGCAACATTTTATTTTGAAATTTCGAATATAAAACTGTGCGAGGTATAAACCTAGACAACCAAGTCCGGAACTGAACCAAGGGAGAATGTCCTACCCTCTCCCGTAAAATGTAGGTCCCAGAACAGCCTGGCGTTGGATTGAACATGGAAATAAATGTACAAGTCTGCACATCAAAACCAGAGTGGGTTCAAGGCTAGCCCATAATAAGTCCGAGTATATAATGGATTTTCCCCGCTTTGTTGTAACTGCTGTCAGTTGAGATTTAAAGAAAAAACACCTTAACACACTATGAAGCAAATATTCCAATCATTTCCACACATTTTTTTAGCTACATTTAAAACTTGAGATTAGCATAATCACACATCTTGTACACTCAGTTAAAATGACAAATTTCATTAATTGCATTGCAGCATCTGAGTTGCATAATACCTGTTTCTTTAGTAGTGCCCAATAACTTTGGATCTTTCGCTAGCAAGTTCATGCTTACTTTTTAGATTTTCTTGCTCGGTCGTTTGGGGGATTTTCCGTTATCAGCCCCAAGTGCCCAAGCTATAAATTTGACAACAGCATTCCTTAATAAACATGAGAATTTTACCCATTCAAAGTACGGTAGATAAAAATTATGGGACATTTTTGGAATTAATTGGGGGGAGGGGGGCAAGGAGATGTTAGGGATGCATTCATGAAATTTTATTGCAAGCACTCTAATGCTTATCTAAAAACTATGCAGAGGGACATTTTAAAATTCCCCACATCCTCGTGGGGGGGGGGGGGGGGGGGGTTACCCACATCCTCGTGGGGGAGGGGGGACCCCATCCATTAGGGGATGGACTACAATTGTAATCTTTTACAATTCGGTTGCAAACTTCTCACATTTTTGTGTTGGTAATATTGATTATTGTTTCATAAAGCAACTAAAACTTTCGCTTGTTTGGGGTATGGGGGCATGCAAAGGCCCCCCCCCCCCCCAGCAATGCACAATTATTAAGGACAATTTTGGCATTGTTTTCAACATCACATAATGTCAATTACCACAATCCAATAATCACAACTCTGTTATTTAAACAAACACGTTCCTTAAAGTTTGGATTTTGGCCTGAATATCTTAGTTACTCAGCTCAATAAAAGATTGCAACTCAACTCAAGTTGAGTCCATAACTCGGGTCACACTCTCACAGCCAACAACTCTGCAGCAATCATCATCATCAGGTCCTTGCTGAACGAAGGGTGGAAATTCTAGTGAACTCGGGTCAAAGGTCGCATCGTCATGTCCGTAGAATCACCATGGTAACAAGACCTACAACATTAAAATGAACAACGCAGAGTTTGATATCAGCAAAGTACAGAATACATGTTGAACATCTGGCAGAATAGTTATGATAATTTAATATATTTGTTTTAATTGTTCTGGGAATGAAATTAACGATTTCTCAAAAAAAGTGATGCACTGTAGAAGGGGTCTACCCGATGTTCCCAAATACCTACATGTATGTTCCCCAATACCGATGTTCCCCGAAATCCTTAGGATTAGGGTTAGGGTTAGGATTAGGGTTATAGGGTAAGGATTTTGGGGAACATCGGTATTGGGAACATAGGTATGCACCCCTGTAGAAAGCCTAACAAAATCTAATGTGAGATGACGAAGAAATATTAAATGTTAGAGGTGGCAGGAAAACCATAGAACTATCTCAGGGACACCCACAAAGTACATTGGGTGGCGAGTGGAAATGCAAGACACATGTTGTCCAGGCGGGATTCGAACCCGGGTCAAAGTAGTGGAAGGTGAGCAAAGAACCATCAAGCCTGTGTCCAAACGACATGGCTATGGCTCACAATTACACACGGGCCTATGGAAGCGGCTGCAGCCACTTCGCATAGATGCATGTGTTAGGTCTAGCCACAGCCAAGATATCCAGATATGGCCTTAACTCCCTTGTTTATCAAACACGTATCACCTGAGACTCACCTAAGACATATGCGGCTATAAGCTTTTGGTTGACTGTCAGATGGAGGTAAACTGGAAGACTGGAGCCAGCCTCTCCTTGCATTGGTAGTAGCAGGGCCGCGACACAGACTAAAGCTAATAGTACAACCGTCGGGCCTGGGGTAGCTGATCGCTGCCTAGCAACTGTAACATGAATTTAGAGAAAATGTGATTGAAACGAATCATTTTTTTTTAAGGATGTCGCCCGAACACAAGGCCAACTGCTACCCAATGTGTGGACTAAAAACTCGAAAGAAATAGAAAAGAATTAAAGAAATCTTTCGGGAAAGACATGTTTCACTACGGGAATATTCCTAGTGAAAAATGCCCATGGAGTTAGGGGTCATTACCGATTACATGTAGTCTTCTTACCAGCAGTAAATGGCAAACTCGCGGAGCTCTCGGCCTGCGATGATGACAGCTCCTCCGATTCTCGCTCTCGTCCCTGAGATGTGGGCAGAAGGATTGTGGGAATGTCTTTGCTCCCGATGGCATCACGGCGGCCGTGCTCGTAGAGGTTCAGCCGGAACTTGTCACTGATGCCGTAGGAGGCTTCGTTGATTTCCTTGTGTCGTATCACACTGCAAGTAATTATAAAACAACGGTAGCATCAATAAAGTACACTTATTGTAACATCATTATTACTCCTAATCCTGTTGGCCAACGTAGAATTCTCATGACTGTGGACATTATACATAATATGGGACTGAAGTATTTTATGCGAGTGGTGTTTAGAAAAGATCCATCAAGTCCTGTATACCGCTGAATGAAAATACAATGTCATAAACTGCAGTAAAGTGTCCTCCTTAAGGACAACAGTGGTCTGCCTGTCCACAGCATTCAGCTCGATGAACTACCAAATCTAGCCAGAAAATATGATTCTCCACCCCAACCCCCACTCCATAAAAATAATAAATTATTGTAAAAACAAATCTTGCCTATAAAAAGGTTTTAGCAGAAAGTTTTGGCAGACTTACACATCCACACAGCAGCCTGGTCTGATGGTCCCCTCGGCATCCACCACCGCATACTTGCGACGTGTTGTGCACAGCACTGAAATTAACAGAAGCAATGTGCACAAATCAATGACTAAACAACCCTTAATTTGGAAAACTAATAATTCTCTTTACCAAATATGCTTACTGTTATAACATGGTAGACGAACCAACACAAGTTCATGGCCCTCAAAAATGCTTTAATACTGTAGAATTTGAGGGCATGCAAATCAGGATTTGGCCGGCGTAGGCAATTTTGGTGCCTATTTACTGGCCTGCACCCTTTAGTAAATGTTATTTAGTGAAGGTTTTCTCTGATTGGCTAATATATAATTATGTCATTTTGGCTGTGCCAGCTTTTCGTTAGCAAACGTTAGTTCGCCAGAGGTCGTCTTTGATTCCTCTGGCAAACTTGTGTTAAAGGGAATGTACAACATTTGCTTTTGCTGCAATTTTCAGAAATAAATGGTTTTGGAGGATTAGTATGTTATAGAAAATATTGTTACACTGACTTGTTTCACGTTTTGGGTTCGTAGATGCTGGAAAAACCAAGAAAACCAATCATATTATTGTAGTCTGGTTCCCTGACCCCACTTAAGATAAAACGAACAAATTTATAGACTTTGGGGAATTGTAAGATCAGAGAATCAGTCTAGCAGGGTTTTAGTCTTCACATGTGTGTAATCAATTGCAAAGAAAATGCAGACAAACTAAATGTAAAAAAGTAGGAGCACTTTTTGAAAAAGGCCAGTTTTCTCCAACGCTGGTCGGCCGACCAGCGTTGGAAAAATACAGTTTTTCTTGAAAACGTCAGCACACCAGGAGCCACAACTTTACAGGATGCTTTAGACTGTCCTTCCCTAACAATCCAGTTAGATATTTCGTGATAATGTGATCATATCGTTTTTTGATGAGTGCAAATGTTGTATCTTCCCTTTAACTGAAAGGAAACCTGCACTGGCTAAATATCCACTGCCTTGAAGTCTAGCCTGGCTCACCCTTGAATTTCAGCGTGAAGTCATAGGGATTGTAGACGGTCAGCACCTGCTTATGGGAGCTCCGATCGTCGGCGTAGTACACCAGCTCTGTAGGGAAGACAAAGACTGGTAGTTTACCATCTACCAACCGAGGGCGCTTGTCTAGCTGCATAGAGGATGGCAAGATCCGTCGGCTCCGATTGGACAAATCCGGCTCACTCTGTGATAGGATTGTAAGGGTTTAATAGAAAAATATATGTTACTGGTGTGTCTTATCTCATTATCAATTTTCGGTTTCATTATGAGGTTTAAAGAGACACTCAAATGATCCTATGGTTAAGCTTGGCACTTTTTCCTGGTACTGTGTTTAGAATGTGAATTTGAGAAATAAATGCATCTAAATTAAGGATAATTCGCCGGCTGAAACTTTTGTGTCTAACATTTCACTATAACTGCAGTGCTAGGCAAACGAAATCCCCCCCCCCCCCCCAATTGACCAAACAGGAATGACAGTTTACGCAAACACACAGGAAGGTTTCAATGATCTTGATTTGGTTAAATAATTTATTGGAAAATAAATCAGACATTTAATACTTGTAATCCTGCAACACTTTGGCACAGTTGGAGCACAGTCACAATTTCTCCCAAGTTTTCATAGTCATGATAGTTGGCACACACAATACATTAAAGATTAATTATAAATCCTTAGAGAAATCAGCACAGCTTTTGTTGTACACACAATTGGTAATATTAATTAATTAAGTTTTATTTTTTGTTATTGTTTATAGTATAATTTATAGGCCTAAAACTACATGAACTAAAACTTAAGTAAAAGCTAAGTATTTATACTAGTATTACTTGGAATTTTATATTTTCATAATTGAATACGTTTTCCCTCCATGCCCTCCACCTGCACCTGTTAGTGTTAGGGGGACAAAGCCATGTTTATATAAGCCACAAGGCAGAGTCAACATGTGACAGCTGAGCCGAGTTAATCGATCAACAAGTTTAAGTTACGAAACACAATTTATCAAAGTTCAAGTGACAGTGGCACGGCCTAAAAATAAACATTAAGAACAATCAACGATATCCATGCAATTTCGCCCATTTTCTAATTCTTACGGCTTACCAAATCTCACTAGAAAACCTGCTTCTCTGAGTGAACAACCACCGTCATTTTTATGAGTAAAACTTGACCATCCTATAATCTTTTGTAAGGCAACAAAACAGAACAAAGATTTTGATCAGACAATGACGTGTTTTTTGGGTGAACAGCAGATCTATCGTACACTGAACTGAATACGTAAACAAAAACATGTCATCGGGCGATTGTAAAGGGCGCCCTCATGTGATAGTTATTTGTCACGTAAACTTCCAGCAGAGGGCGGACCCGAGGTGTCTAATAAAGGGGGGGGGGGGGTGTTTTGGACAGGGTTGATATAATAGAAATAAGAGACGGTGAAACCTTAGATAACTCTTTTTTTTATTGTAGTTCCAAAACATCATTGTTGTATTTGTTCACTGTTCTGGCAATCACAAGTTTTGGTTTTGCTTTTGCCTTACTTTTTCACCGATTATTAAAAATGGACCCTTATTGTCAACAATTGTAAATAATTAGTAACATTTGTATCATTTTCAACATCAACTGTTTCACATTACGGGAACTTAGTGACGGCTGAACGATTTGGAGGAGAAAGTTTATGTGAAACCGAAAACACTAAATTACCTTGGACCTAATTAAATTCTATGGACGTAGACGCAAAATAAGAACTTTCAATTTTTGGAAATAGGGGCGTGACCTGAATATCACTTTCAATGGATTAAGAGCAAAAAGTTCAAAGACGCGACGTGCTCAGGTGCTTCCTTAGATGTGACGGTGTTCTGAACAGTCAGGTTAAAAACAAATCTATAAGTTGTCCGCGGTTCAAAATGTCAAACCCTGATTAAGATTGGCCCCCTTTTTTTAATTGCATGCCACTTGTTTTCCTCTTCTGTACTTTGTCCTTCCTTTCCTTCAAGTTTACCTTACTCGGGGAAACATCTGCTTTGAGTTGCCGCTTGGTAATTATTTTGTTTAACCGGGAGAATATTACACATGCGCAGTTTTCTAAGTCTATACACAAACTCCAGCGTGAACTTATACACTCAGATTTTTGGGGGCATGCGCGTTCTTTCAATGTGCAAGCTCAGCACGAGGCAACCTGAGCACGCCAGATTAACGGGACTTTTCTGTGCCATCACTAAATGAAGGACCTCCGCTTGAGTACCCTGCCCAGTAGTCTGGTGCCGGTCTGTCGCTCAGGCCTGACTGACAAGTCTGTAAAACTGAACTCTTCACTTTTTATAGGTATAATTCTCAAGGATCTTCGGTCAAAAAATGGTGATGATGCGTATAACATGATAACGCCAGTTGTTTTCCCTTTCGTTTACTGTACGGTCAAAGAAGATCCGACGAACCACTACAATTAGACTGTGTCTCGCCGGTTGTGGCGTAAATTAATAATTTCAAGTCTAGTACCTGTGGGCGGCCGGTCATGTTGGGCCTCGGGCAATTGCAGCAGGTCAATGGTTATAAATATACCGATTAAAAACAAAATGACATTCCCCCGTAACTATGACTAGTTAGTTTTCCACGAAGTTAAACAAAATAAAGGGATTAAAAATTATGTTCGGAAAAATTACTGTGGCTTTCCTGATTGCCTTTGAAAGGTTTAATTATACAACATTTGCAAACATTAATACCAAAATTACTATGAAATACTTGACTGTAAGTGGATACTATAGTCTCAAGCATCCTGTCAAAATCATGGCATCTGGTATGCTGTCATTTTTAAGAAAAGTAGGATTTTTGTATCAATTTCCAAAAACCTGAAAAAAGTGACCTGTCTTTTTCAAATACTGCTCTTAATTACCCGATGTAGTTAGTCCACAGTTTGTTTGTAATCGGTTACACATCCATCATGAATGGGTGCGGTTCCCGACCCGGCAATAACTCCCCGACATCTATAAACTACTCTGTTTCTTTGAAGTTGGGTAAGGGAACCAGATTACAAAAACAACATTTTGGTTTTTCCAGCATCTATGAACAGAAACCTTTTAAACAGGTCAGTGTAACAATATTTTCCATAAAATACAAACCCCCAAATCCATCCATTTCTGAAAATTACAGCAAAAGCAAAATGTTGGATAGTACCTTTAAGCCAGATACATTTCCACTTTTTAATCAGCTTTTGTTCTCGTTTGACAATCTACACCTCTGTAAACCTGGAACAAATAGAATGCCTCTGTCGTCGCCTTATTCATGACAAAAATTGAAATAAAATTTCAATTTACGAAAGGAGACTTCTCATTATAAGTATGCCTCCAGGCATTTCCCGCGTGCCTGGAGATCAAGTTAAAGTGGGTTATCTTCGGACCAGATATTTTTTTTACTACACCAAGCAGGTAGTTAAATGAAACTATACTATTTCTACCCATACAGAAGATAAAAGCTGGGCCTTTTCATTCTAAAAACGCCCAAAACATAATTCACTGGATCATCATAATCTGTTCGTTTTTGTCAACTTCTATTTTCGGCCCTCGTATTAAATGCTGTGTGTGATTCACGTCATTGTCGTCTGCTTTGGTGGGTTTTTTTTACAGCGTGGACGCAAATCGTGTCATCTTTTGTTAATGAGTCAGATTTTGCTCATCGAATTGCGGAAATTGAAGACTAAACCGAAAAGCCACGGGATCAGCGTTGACTTCGCCTGTTTCTTACGCATTGTCCATAATTGATTTTTCAAGAATGCATTCGTCACATTCCAATAATATCCACAAGAAAAATGAAAGTATCAACATATGCACACTTCAACGCCCTGAGACAAAGACTAAAACTCCCAGCACGCACGTGGCGTATGAACTTTGACCTTCGGAAACAGGAACTTGGAAAAATTTTACGAAAGTCGAACGGCTGGAAGCACTCAAGTTTTACTTCCGCATTGGAACCACAGCTACAGTCGAAACTTTCAGTTAGTGTGCACACTGGAGCCGTGCAGACCACGTCGCGTAATCACTGAGGACTCGGCCTTTATGACTAATTCTTCTTTTCTAGCGTTTTGGCGGCCTTTTTGTCGAACGCACGTTGACTTTTTGGAAGCAGACGTTACCGTACTACCCGCCAAAACCTTGATGCATGCTAGTTGCTACTGCGCTGGATGGATTGTTTTTCGAAACTAAGTTAACTCGCTTCAGCTGTTCAGCATAGGACTTCTAGATACTTGAATTGGCCATTGACCTGTCCTTTGGTGAGTCAAAATATCGAGTATTAACCTTATTAATGTGGTTTTGTTTTCCAAAGTTCACAAAGTTAAGATGTGTACATACAGCGTTCCGTGGCGTGGCGCCATTGCATTTGTTCAGTACAGTACCATACAACTACAACTATGGTGAGTTCAACATGTCATTTGCAATTTCTGCGTGCCACAGCCAAGGCCGTACGTAAGGAGTCACCCGAGCCCCAAACAGCCTCCAGCTATATCTGCTTACACATAGCACAGCAGCACAACTAAGCCGTTTTCAGCAGTACTGTCGCTTCCCAAATCTTGTTATTTTCTTAACACAGTAGTGAAAGAGCACAAGTGTCGCCTTAAATTTTGCGAGCATGGGTCGAGCATTTTGGCGGGTCATGGTTGAATTTATTGGCCGGTGTTTGCTGCTGCGGAACGGTCGCATAAATTGTCAAATGTTGTAGGCCCACGAGTAGACATAGGCCTATTCCTGGAAAATATCTGTTTTGTTTCGCAGGTCATGCTGGTTACCTGACTCACTTCGAAACCAATATATGCAGCACCATTATAGCTTACGTTATGGTGTAGAAACGAGAATTTCAAAATAGAAAGCATTAATGTTTGTTTTGTTCTGTTTGATTTTCTCACCCAGAATGATCTGGGTCCATTTTATTGGCGTTATACTGAACATAGAAACGTGCTTATCACATAACATTTCAATGACAATAAAAATATTACCAGCCAATAATAATATGCGATGTTAGTTGCTGGTATAAGTAACTGGTTCTCGGCTTCATTATTGCTAAGCATTATGTTGCTATATAAGCGATTAATTATTTGCTGCTTAAGCCGTTTCGTGAAAATGGCGAGTTATTTACCACAAGTTTGCATAAAACCTTTCACTGTATTACATGACTGTGAAGAGTTATTTTCACTCGGAAAAACATTCCTCTATTCCTTGTCGCGTGCAGGATGCCATATAATTGTCTTTGTTATTTCGATTGTTGTGAACATGTTTTGAATAACCTAGAGAGATATAACCAGAATAACACAGAAGTGCTCAACACTGACTGCTGTGGTCGATTACAATTGCAACAAACCTCAAAGGGCAGTTTAAGAAAAAAAAGGAAATATCTGATATTCACTTCAGAACACGTGCACCCTATTTAGTATCAATACCTCCAAATTTGACAGATCGCCATTAATGGTGTCAAAGATAAGGCCCGGGAGAGGCTTCATGTTCAGCGTGTTGTTGTCTTCGACCCGATACACGAGGGAGTGATTTCCTCCACGTTATGCGGTGCACGCCCGCAGAGGAAGCTGACATTTCGACCAGGCCTTTCAGTCTGTGACATGTGTTTTGTCTGCTTTCCTCCATAATAAAATAACTTGGGTTATCATTGGTCAGACCATTGTTAACGGTTAATGGGGTAGGATAAGACCTTATTCATAAGGAAGCCATTTTCGATCGTGTTCCCTGAATCTATTTTATATTAAAGTGTTAAATGAAATATGGTGCCAGACTATTTTATGATTGGAGTGCGTTCCAAGCCTCACTTTTTTTTTTCTTTTTTTTTAATGTGGCTTAAAACATTAAGGTATGTTTAATCACATCAGATTTTATATTATTCATCAGAGCCGACTGGTATTAATTTGTACTGAACTTTCGTTTCCTTGCTTTCATTTCTATTTGCAAGTTCCAAAAATGAAGAGTTTATACCTCGCTTTCAGTTTAACATGTCCTTTTCAGTGGCTTTTCATTCATCCCATGTTCTGAGGAATCTTAGAGACACGCTAACAATTCTATCGCGATGGCCCCCTTCAATGGAGAAAGCATTGTGTTATAGCTATTGTTCAGATTCTTCGTCACGGGGCGGTTGCTTTGTACAATAGCATGCAGAACGGTGTCTCCATTAAAGGGGGCCTCGTGTATTTACATCTGTGTCGTATTCGTCTGATCGGACATGTTGTTTCCGGATTTTGCAATGTTACGGTGGCCCAGAGTGGACAATCACAAAACTAAGAACTGACGATACGTCCTTATTGTGAGAAATTCTGCTCATAAACCCCACAGAAAAATCTTTAGGCCTATAGGTTCTAGTGTGTATAGGTTGGCTAAAAGTAAAGAATTGTTGTGTTCACGAACATGCACCTAGCCACGACGTGACTTTAACTTTACGCAAACCCTAAGGAATTCAGTGTTTGATGCACAAGCGGACTTTGTTTGAGATATCTGTATGTGAAACATGTCTGCTGTTTCCTCAGGAAATATTAAAACTTGTGCATAGATTTCCTCCGGAGAATTCGATGTCAAGTTTGTCGTGACATCATGATCGCAAGAGGGCGGGGCATATTACAGCCCCTAATGAAACAATATTGCACTGATAAGTGGGGGGAAAAACTGGCGTAGAGTTAATATTATATTATTCATATCCGCTTGATAATGTGTTAAAGGTGTTGTTTTTATGTAATCGAATCAAACAAAGTCCCTCGGAAAGTGCGCCCTCCCTTCCCAGGAGGCCGAGTAATTTTCATTCTGCCATTTTGTGTCTGCGCGCATTTTCATTTTTATTTGGTCATTTCCGTCGCTTTTATTTGTTACCGAGTGCGATTAATTTGTGTTTGTCCTTGGTTCCTCCCCTTTCACTCATAGATTCCGTATGGATTGATTTCCATATTACGCCCTCGCCGAGTTTGCATTGGAATTGACGGTTCATCTGCCAAGAACCAATTGATCTTAATTTAAAACATCTAACCCACGCATTTTATACTTGCTATGATTTTGATTGGCGTGATGAGACTTTTGGTCAAAAATCTCCCAAATATGGAATCACACTTCCTCTTTTATGTTTGGGATGAGTTGAATTATTGGGTTTTTTTCATTTTTAATTTTAAGCCCTTCTCATTTCCTATCAACTCTGTGCATAGCTGAGAGCGCTATACACTTTTGGTTGCGCATGCGCTCTAGCTCTGCAGATCCGCCATATTGGAACAAACAATAAGCTTGTAAAACCATGGAGAAATAAGACGCATTCTCCGTGGCAAAACAAAGATTTTCGCGTCGTCCATATAATATTTGACAACACTCTAAGAGTCTACGTATATAGGCCTAATATTCGGGCCCATAAACCCATAAATACAGTACATTTTGTTTTATATCTCTTACATTTCTCCAGACCAGTGTTTTTAAAAATGAGTTTTGTGTGTCCAAACTCAGTTCTATCATTGCAGTGTTTTGATTCCCATTGCTTCGATGCGCAAACATCGACAAAAGAGAAGGTCAGTTGGAAGTTCCAATCAGACACTACTGTCGAATAAACTAATTAACGAATTATAACTACGGAATGGACCTCGAATACTCTGGGGGAACGACCTTACGATTCATAAAGGAAGTTATTAATTACCCAGTCGGTTGGTAAAAACAAGCGACGTCAGACAGCTGTATAGATGGGTGAAATTGGGTCCTGAAAAGTGTATTTTTCCATTTCAATCTGAGAGCATTAAGGGAGATTTTCACTTGCTGCATGTGAACCAATGGGACTCGGTGCAGTTTACTTTCAAGCATCCCAAACTGCGTATCATCCGGTACTTTTGGCGTCACAAATCTGTTACAAGAGTTGAAATCTTCTCAGAATCTAGATTGTTTTTCATCTTCCCGTGCATGTACTTGAGTAATTAAAAAGTACGTGAACGTCAGTAATGATTTTTTTGGTTAGTCTCTGGAGAGCGCGCTTAATCAAGTGACCTTGTTGGTTTCCACGGTGATGACCTACTTCTGTCAAGCTGCCAGAGAGGGGGACCTTCCTGCTACCGTCTCCGGGGTGGGCTTCTGCCCTGGGGGCTTTTTGATTTACCCCATGTCACCCCGCCCTCTCTTGGCGATGACTGGATATCTCTGGGGGATCGGCCGCGCGAGCAGCCTGGAAGGCAAAATCTCAACCATTTGAGAGCGCCGCCAGCCATTTGCGGAACAGTTTTCCGCTTCCCTGATTCGATTAGGACCAATTAATTTTAAAGGGTAGCTCCTCGAGTGAGAGAACAATGGTGCCGCAAAATGCGAAGCTGTCTACATGCTTTTGGGGTTTGTGGTTGGGAACTTGGGATCAGTGTGTACGTCATTTGTAGATTGGAAACTTTTGGAGTACAGACGGTGCAGCTTCTTTAGGCAGTGAGATTACATAAAAGTCACTTTCCTGTTTTATTATTAGTACGGCAGGTAGGTGATGGGATTGTGCCTTTGATGATGCAAGCATGGCATTTGGCACACAGTCAGAGTATGTTTTAAGAAATATATTTGGCTATAGGTCATCGCAGATTTGTCCTTTGAAAAAACTAGAGGTAGAATAACAAGCAATGACAGCCATTCTATTTTTTTTTCAAAGGACAAATCTGCGATGGCGCTATATCCAAATATCTTTCTTAAGACAGACATTCTCTGACTGTGTGCCAAATTCCATGCTTGTATCATCAAAGGCACAATTCCCCCAAATATCTCCCCTATCTGCCCCACTAGTTTTGCCTGGAAAAATTTTACTTTGCTGTAATTCAAGACTCTCTGCGTTTTATATTTAGATCTTGACGCCTTCAGGACATTTGTGAGAAGGTTGGCGAAATCACCGGAGGATTTCTTTTATATAGACATTTTTGATCCAACTATTTATTGCTCATCTTCAGACCGATTAATAAAGACGATTTATGAACGAGCGGGACTAGACATTAGAGAGTTGTTGCCCGTTGGTCAGTCTGAGTGAAGTAGTAGGGCAACAGAATGGCAATTCGTTAGGCCCGAGGAGAGACAAACGGACACAGGGTAACTACCCATGTCCACTGGGTCATTATGATTTCCCTGCTTGTTTCTCTCAAACCTGGGATTCAAGGAGATCCTGACCAGGGTTTGACTGACCGTGCCTGCGGACATTGCACCTGTTAGTTTGAACATGGAGGAATAACCGTCCATGGTTTGAGCAAAGACTGTAAGAAATCCTTGTAACCATTTAAATGTTGAATGTACGGTCATCCCCGCCTTTTACCAATAGAGGCCAGAGTGTTCATTTTGTGTTTCTCGTCTATGGTTTCTCATTTGAGGGTTGAATATCTGAGTGTGCGAATGTTAAGACCTGTTCCAGTAAAAATCTTCTTTTAAATTGTACCAAGACCTAACATTGTCACTTAACCCTCCTATGCAAACATACATTCTGTGCAAAGTTCTCCTTTCATCAGTCAAAATCAATCAAGTGACTGTTTTCATCAGTTAATAGCTCCCAGCCTACAGGAGTGACTGGATGACATGTGACTGTTTATGTAGCTTGATAGAGTTGTACTTTGACTGCATTATGTAGGTGATTGATAAGCCAGCTGTGCCTATATACTTCTTGCCTGCTTTTGTCTGTTGACTGAATTTGACTAGCCACGTTGCTTGCTAGAAATATGATCTGATAGCGTGTGTAAAAGGCATGGCATGGAAGAGGATTGATTTTTTTGACTGTCTGTGACAGTTCAAACACATCTCTAATTCTATTTTTGTGAATGGTGTATAGGCCTACAACAAAAATGTTCAACAGAGTACAATGTCGCATGTTTACAACAAAGATGCTCCTGACGCGAGATTCCGAAACAGTCCCAACAATTTCGTGATGTGATGTTGCTCTCTCGTCGATTGTTTTTGAAGGTTAATTTGGGCTTGTCTTGGTTTCTTTATACAATGAACGAAGCTTTCAACTCTCAAGATGAATCGTCTGAGGAAAAAAATAAATCATCAACTCCCCCCACAAGGAAAATAATCTTCACACCTCGTAGTACTTGAGGAAACTCCCTGACGATATACATGTACTGATGACTCGTGCGCCCAACGGGCCTCTTCCCCGTCTTGTTTCTCTCATTTGCCACCTGAGCCATTGCCCCCCCCCCCCACCCAGCCGTTTCGATGGCTAAAAGGTAGACCGTTCAAAGATTTGTTGTTTTACCTTTTGTATACGAGTTTCAACTTCCTCAAGTGACCGGATTGTGGAGAGTTGTCTACTAGGGCTGTGACATCCTTCAAAACTTTTGGCAATCGCAAATCAGTTTTAACATTGAACTTGATGTCAACTTGTAATGTTGCAGTTCCCGGAAGGAAACTCGTGAGTTAACTTAATCAGAATAACACTCAAGAAAACAAGGTGTTTTTTTTATCCATGTGAACTTATAAAGAGTTTCGGATTATGTTGTACGGAAGCCTGTAAAGGATGTATCATGTAATTACTGATCCTGCCATTAGAAATATCCCAGACATCCTCTTGGAAATTAAATACGTAAAACACTTGTAACAAATGTAAAAAAAAAAAAAGGCATGGAAGCCACATGCAATTGGAGTGGTCTGGCAACGCGCATCCAACCAGTGATTAAATTATGGGATGGGAGGGAAGGTTGGATTACTCACAGGCAGTCATGTACAGGCTGTGAGCGCGAGGAATATCTGACTAATTAGTCCGGATATCCGCGGAATTAGCCAATAAATCCATTTACATTTCACTCAATTGGGGGAGATGTCGGAGCAACTTACGGCGGGCTGAGAGCTGGACGCGCTGGTGTAAGGCCTATCCGTGTTACTTTGCACAGTTTGCCGAATCTTTTAGATAGGGGGAAACTGGAATCACTGTCCAAACATTTCAGAAGAATCGTGGAACCCTGTGGAAGGAGGATAATATACCTCATTCTTAGGGAAGCCATTTTTGATCGTGTTCCCCAATCTGTTTTATGAATTATAAATTGTTTAATGGGAGGGTGCCAGACGATTATATGCTTGGAATGCATTCCATGCCTCCTTTCATTTTTCTTGTGAATGAGGCTTAAAACATTAGCGTATATGTTTAATCACAAAAGTTACATTATTTATCAGAAAGTAAAGTAAGTTAAAGTAAAGGGGACGAACCTGTGTTAACAGGAACGGAGTGCCCATCTCTCTTTCATTAGCAATTGCCCCAGACTCATATGCTGCTGTGGGGGGATCGCCACACCTCCTCCACAGCGAGTCTGTTACCTTCCCAGCATTGAATAATGCCGGTACCCATTTAACACCTGGGTTGATTTATCAGAGCAGACTGGCATGGTAGGCCTATTACTTTGAAGTTTGTTATGAACTTTTATTTCATTGCTTTCATTTCTACTCGCAAGTTTCAAAAACAAGAGTTTACCTCGCTGTCAGTTCAATATGGCCGTCTCGTGAATAAGGTCTCTTGTAACAACGTTAAATCTGTAAGTAAAAAGAACCAACATTTACGACATCTGCGTCAGCCAAAATGTTACGAAATGAACGAAAACCATGCCGAATGTATGAAACTCAATGAACGCGCGCCATAGGTTTAGTAAAACAAAAATGACCCCAAGTTCGCAGTTGCACGCGCAGTGATCTAACCAGTCTCATTACAAATGTCAAATCACTAGCTCAACACGCAAGCTGGACTGAAAATGGACATTTATTTATGACACAATTTGAATTTAGTTTGACATAAGTCGAATTAATGTCTGTCCATTTCTGTCCGACATGGCTTTCCATATAATCATGTAACACCGGAGACCGGGCAGAAATGTTCCCTATAAAAAAATTATATAATGCTGATTCACTATATAATGGACTATAGGAGTGGACGTAGAGTGGAAGGATAATCAGGACTGACAGTCTCGTCTGTCAACGCCGCGTTTGGCGATCAGAACCAATCGCGAACGGACGGGCAATGGTTCAGTGACCATGCGGGACATGAAGTTACAAAATTCAAGTTTGCTTTTTCATGCTTCCTTTGGATCTGGCAGACTGAGTTGAAACACAATTAAAGGTGTGGCACTTTTTGGCATACATGTACCGATATCCCCGTAGTGTATCCGGGTTTTTTTTATATAAAAGATTAGTCAAAACTTTGAAAAGACTTGACAGACCACATACACAGTGGCGGTATGAAGTGGCAAAATTTGCCGATCTTATTCTATCTTAAAATAATTTGTCAAAATTGAAGGTGTGGCGCTTTTGCTGTTCCAAGATACCCGAAGTGTATCAGTTTTTATAAATTAAAAGATTAGTCGAAACTTTGAAAAAACTTAAAAGACCACAATGGCGGTATGAAGTGGCAAAACATCTCTTGTATGCCAGAAGAAGCTACCGATCTTATCCTAGATCTTAAACTACTTTGTCCCCCGTGCTCAAATTGATCCCTTGCGTAACCAATTTTGCGTCCATCATCTCCATCGATTCTTATCGTCTCTGTATTTCCATACCAATTAATCCACAAATCGGTTTCGACTGGGATACACGTTTTAGTCAACAGCAACATGCCCCTGACCGGTCACAAAGCTCCTGCGCGATGACCTCATGATGACCTCATCTTTTCCCCTGAGCGGATAAACCACCAACCTGCTCCCTTTCTTGAGATATGACTGTACAGGTCTCAGTATTGGATCAGAAGACGCGGCAACCTGTTGAACAAGTGGCAAACTTTTCTCTTAAACTAATTACAGGGTTTAAGGAACTTCCGTCTTTAATAAGGCGATTATTTTATTCCAAGACCTTCCTAGGAAGACAGAAGATGTGCTAGGCCGTTTACTCATAACATCAGGGGTATGACTTAACCTGAATACCCATTGTATTCTTTGCTAGATATGTCTGATTTCGACATCAAATTCCAAAATGTGATTTGGTACTAATGCACTGTACCCTTTTCCCATGACAGGAAGCTCTTGTACCAGCAGCGGGTCTGCGTCGTCTGAGCCTGCCGTGTAGATACTCCTCCTCCAGGCGGCAAGATGACGGCTTTCTGTGGTTGTTGTGCGTCTTTGGTAACTGGATGTTACGGGTGCCATGGCAGGCACGATGTCGAAAAGAGAGAAGCCACCAAACTCGTAAGCTGAATATTTTCAGATCTTTTTTTTTGTAAAAGGAGTAAAGGAGTGTATGTTCATACTATGGGTTAGTGCATGCACGGTTTACAGAGGAAAAGATCAAAGAAAATGTTACGATTCGTGTTACATCGAGCTGGCCAGTCAAGAAATCAGTTGCGCCGTATAGAATCTCTTCCAAGATCATAGGACGGACTTCTGGATACAAAACTTGAAATGAAGTGCTAAATGTACAGTACACCCCAATCTTGGAATGAGCACGAAAGTTTTTGAAATGGAAATCAAGAGAACGCATAAATTGTGTATTATATGAGGCATTTAACTTCAAAGTATCTTGATGTATGAAAAAAATCATAGCGCGGAATCTTTGATGAAGGAGAGTTGCTTACAAAATGAAATAAAACAGAACCAAAACTTTTAAAATTAAATCTTCCGCAGAGATTCGTTCGTGAATGATTTATACACAGCCTGATCCTGATAACACAATTGAAAATGAAAGCCAGGGCACAGAGTTTTAATATTTATGGTTTTGACCATCGCTTGACATGAAGCACACTTGTACTGTTCCAGCAGGGTTCCGTGCATGTACTTGTTATTGTGTTGATGTAAAAACTATAAGCGAAAGCAGGAAATTAGCTTAAGCTCATAGGGGCGGTTGGAAAGCCATGGCATTGAAGTGGTAGCCCGGGTTTATGTTTCACACTCAATTATTCTGATGTTTAGTCGTTGTTACATTACTTACATGCACTTATGGTTTGTTAAAGTGAAGATGATCATAGAAGCATACTGCAAGATATGGAGATAATTTGGATGTTTGCGTGAGCTTACTCGACGCTTAAAAGTCTCTTCCTGGCTCGTTAATGTTAAACTGATGTTTAGGTCACTGTTGTTTCGGTGAACAAACGACCCATGCACGTATAAATGTATTTTGAAACAGTGATTCTATGATTAATGGTCAATTTTCACAGATATCTCGGTTATATTGGAGATATTTCTAGAAGGGTTTGTACACAGGCTCGATGCTCCAAGATCGAGCTAACTGTTTGTATAGGGGGCCTAATTCATCAGTCACATTATTGTGTCTGTATCCCCTCGATGCACGCTCTGTTGAGGGCGATACATTTGATTTCTCCTAAAACCAAAAATGACCTTGTTGTTGGTTGGCCTGCCTCATTACAAAAATGGTATGTACTATACACAACTACCTCTCTAACCAGGAACTGTTCATGCTTCGATCGCTAGAGGGCCATCTATACGCTATTAAAGCATACAGAAAAGTTTGTAGGAACTTGATTTTCATGTCCACCTATACAGTGCCAAAGGCAATGCCACCGTCACAAATACGTATCTGCTTTCACGCTGTAAGCATCCGCACCTTATCACAACTCTCCTGCCCCTATCCTTGTAACATAATCCCTTTTATAACTTGGAATTTCCCTTTGTCCTCAGACTTCTTAACGAGCACCTAACAAATTTCCGTCCCGTGTTGTTCTTCTTAATGAATTCTATCAACTCGTCTGGGCTCTTTTAGCTGTCATGTAGTTGCATTTACGACCGGACCGGCAACTTGTCCAGAATATTGCTTATAATAAGGCCCGTGCTTCTCTTGGCAGTTGCTTCCTGTGCAGTGCTGTCACAATTCACCCATTAGATGTATGCAGAGACGTTTGAAAAATCAACCGCTTGAGGGCGCGCTAGGTCAAATCCGGTTTAGTCATGCATCTTGTAACCTGACGCCATTTTAGATCCACATTCGTGAGTGCGGCCAACGTTTATAAACTGGTATCGACAAATTTAACACACGGACAATCTTGACGAATTTTGGACCTGAGATGTCATTTATACTGTGAAATATATATAAAAATACACCTGATTTTGGTCATTGTTACAAGGTTGGAAAATATAGGCTATACAGATAACTAAGTTTTGTCAACGCTATTCTCACGCAGAGCATAACATTTGCTAAGCCAAATCACATTCATTGCTGTGGACAGATTTCCCGTGCGACTGTTTTGGCATCACATGATCACAAGCATCAATCGGATTGCCTTTGGTTATTTTTACGGCCTCTCTACGCGCAATATATCTGTTTTACTTGCGTTTAAACTCCCTGTAGCTAAACTCCTGCATTGAAAAGATCTTTGAGCGATATTTTCTTTGTAGTGTCCGTTGTTTCTTGCAGTGAAAAGAAAGGACAGTTTAGTGTCCTCAATTCTGAATTATCACGTTATAAAGAAGAAAAGTTTTACTTTAGCAAAGTTGACCTTCACTGTCTTCGCAAATTATTTTTTAGCCCATCGACACATAGAGGCTTCAAAAACCACAAGTTCACACCAAATATGTGTCATGTTTTCAAGGACCTAGAGGAAACGTTATCAAAATGTCGTATCAATGACAGCCTGACTCATGTTGGGATCTGATACGTTCTGTCATCGTCGACACTCGAAAAAAGTTGTTACTGAAACATGGCCATGTCCCTGGAGCCTTTGATTCTTCAGGATTCCTTCTGCACACTGTGATGTGTACGTAATTATACGATAACCTTATTATGTTTAGATATCACAGAAGGTGTGTGTACTCTGCGGCAGCTTTTTAATATGGGGCGTCGGATGCGAGTCATTTCACTTTTGAAACAAATCCAAAATATCAGTGACGCACATTGCGGGTGAATGTTATTAGAAAAACTAAATGCATATTTTTAGCAGCTCAACCAATCATCATCTATTTCCGTTAGTCCGTACGTTAGTTAGTTAGTTAGTTCGTTAGTGAGTAATACATTGTCTTTTGCTCCTACACATTTTGATCAATTTCAACCAAACTTTGTCAAAAGTATCATTAGCCCAGCCCCAACATGTCGCATGACCAAACTGGGGTCAAAGGTAATCATGGGGTCAAGGTCAAAATAACGTCAACTTTCAACAGTAGCGCTGTCAACATGTTTGCCTTGGTCAAACATTAAAAATGTCCACAGTGACATCTTTGTCTGACCTACAGCTACGGGGTCAAAGGTAAAAAAAAGGTGAACACAAATTTGACCTGCAGCTTCCGAGATATCCGATCGTATTTAGTTTGTTCAAACTCGCAATTGCTGTAAGACAGTATCAAGTTTTACCGCCTGAACAAACTTTACGTATACATACCGTGGCAACAAAACATAACTTGCATTTTCCTGAGAGGGGACTTAATTGGGTTGGCAGCAATTGACCGATTCATTATAGGCCCCTCCCACTGCGCGCGTGATCAACAACACGTGTGCCTCTCCAATGCCACACTATTTGTTACAGACAAGCGCGTCATATGCGCGTGCACGCATGTCGGACATTTTGTGCACGCACGTCGGACATTAATCACGGCTGTGATTGGTCAAAACAGTATTGGGCGGGGCTTAATTAGTGGATCGGTCTATTATGATACAAATGTCGTACCTTTTGTTAATATCTCGTGTCTGATCACCCCGTTGCTTATTTTCATTTACACATTAATTTATAACCTTCTCACACGCGTGAGAAGGCTCGATATTGTTGTGTGATGAGTTCTAATGTACGTCAAACACCAGCTTAGGCGTATCACATTGGTATAATGTTCGAAAGTCTGTATACTGTAGACATGAAGTAACTCGAGTGATTACGATCTTCCGGCCACGGTGCTCTGCAGATGTTCGTGGGTTTTTTTCATGCACGAAGTAAACCCACTCTTCAATTGTGAGGTCGTTGTAGCAATTTCCTCTCCGGATCAGACGCGCTGAGGTCGGCGCGTCTCGTGGGAGTTTGGTACCCAGGCAAAACTCTTGCCACTGCCTTGGGCTGATAAGAAACAAGAAAGACACCCCGTCTTGTATACTGAAGCTTGAGGATGCCAAAATTTGAAAGTCGAAGTCGATCATGAATCCGTAGATCTACTGATTGTGTATCGTAACGCTATTGTGACTGCACAGACGTAAAGTACACGTCGTCTTCTGTTTTCATTAACTTTAGAAAGTTTTGCGTTTGTCAAAATATTCGACTTGCAAGTCTGGATAGATGCTGAGTTTAGTTTTGACACCAATAACTATCATCGAATGATGTGAATTAGTCTAATTAAACAATTTCTCGGAATTTATGAGCTTTGACCTTTTAATCGAATTAAAAGCTAAGTCATTAGCATCAACTGTCTAGCATGAAGATTGCTACATCTGCAGTAAAAAGAGCCATGGCATTATGACAAACACGGGAAAAGCATGTTTTAGGGGTATGGGATTGGTGGTCATGTTTTATAAACCGCTGGAAAAGAATTTCAGCAAATCATGGTTTTGCTTTGAACACCGGGGCACTTTATTTCTATAGCGATTCCCAAGGGTAACGATCGAACACTTTGGTGACAGATTGGCTCTGTAGCCAGTCTCAAGACGTGAAACTCGATCCCCTAGACGCTTAAGAAGGACTTCCTTCCCAAATTTAATTCAGGAAACCTCAAAGAACCTTAGCAGTCCAACAGTCTGAATTTCATGTTTTTTGTTTCCTCTTATGGAGAAATGTTCACCGTGTTTCTACATCGTGAACAAGCTGATACTGTTGTCCGTGACGGAAGTTGTTCAGGCGTAACGGAATTTTTAAGGATCTATGTTATCTATACGTCACCACTGGTCAATATTATAATATTCCATGAGTCAGGAGAATATTTCTATTAAGACGTCTATCAGTGCATGTGTTTGGAAAGGAACAGGAAATACCCCCTTATGGTTATTCCCGTTATTAATTTTATTTTTTTACCTTTTCGTTCTCGGGGGTATGTTTCCTCTGCAGACGGAGCGGCTGTGGTTCATCTTCGTTCTGCTGGTGTCGTTCACGTCACTGGCCAACATGTTCTTCTGGCTGTCCGCGGTCAACGACTCGGCTGACTTCAACAGGTGAGGGAAACGCCGGTGACCTGGGCTCTATCACCGGTGTACTGCTCTGTCCCTGATACGGTGCCCCCCTTCCGACCCCATTGCTGCCAAAGCTGGTCAATATCGTCCAGACTGAGACGCAAGTGCCGGAAAAGCATGGCATAACAACTAAATTAGGTCAACCTGATGCTCACTTTTTACTAATTTTCCACAGTTTCATTCAGCAAAGTTGAGATTTTCTCTTTCCGAATTTGAGTCCTCGATTTAAATTTTAACATGACATTTTCTGCAAACTTTTTAACCACAATCATGACGCAAAGCATAACACTGCCGGCACGTGTCCAACTTTTGGAAGAGACCATTTTGTAATTATTTCTGGTATCGTGACTGAACAAAATGTTTTCAAAAAAGGGAGTCTGTATACAATATGTTTCTGTTTGGAAACCTCCATGTTTAAAAGCCTTGAATTGTGTGACAACATAACGTGTGTGATTTTTCTAATGTACAAAGTATAATACATGTATCAGAAGTAACACTCAGCCTAAGACAAAGACTAAGCGTTTTCTTGTCAGAACTGGATCCATCTTCAGAAAATGAAACACGACGTGTTATTTCCGCTTTCAAACCAGAGACCTTGCAGAGATGACGGGCCTGTGGTGGCGCTATTACATCTTCTTCATGGCTCTGTCATGCGCCCTCTGCGGCTATGCTGCTCTGCTCTTGGTGAGTCCGTGATTATATCTTTTCCTGATTTTGGAATCTTGAGGGCGCCAGTCATGCCTTGGGGACAGCGTTCCACTGTCTACTGGGCTTTGTCTGAGCATCCGTATTTAGGTTTTGTTCCATTTACTAGTAATCAACGTAATACAAAAAAAATGATAAACAACACCGTAAAAATGTTTTATTCGAAGATAAAAATCAGATTGTAAAAAAGGTGTGTCTTATTTTTGTGTTTTTATTTGCAGATCTTCGCATTTTTACACATTGCTATTGGACAACAGTTACAACTGCACGGAGTACACAAGGTATACAATTCTTTATATTCAAAAAGTTTATTAAAACAATGTAGTAACTTTACATCAATCTAAAACTAAAAAAGTTGTAATAAATCCATTTATAATACAGCTATCGGTTCGTGAAGATATATTATACTTCAAAAAGCTAGGATTTGCGTATGTTTCTTTTAGCATGCAACAGCACCCTCATTCGGTAAAAAAGTGACCTTTTACTAAAGGAAGTTTCCAAAGCCCGGCTTCGTCTCCGTCTCTGGCTCCATTCACGCAGTTTGGCAACGGGCTGGAGCCGGATACGGAGCCGAGTCCGGGGTTCGGAAAAACGGCCTATATAGGTACGTCCCCGTTTACCGGCTGTAGAACAGATTAAGCGCCCTCTGTATGTGGACACTATCGTGTTTTATATTCTATCTACACAGATTGGAATCATACTGGATCTGACCTTGTCCATTGCTCTGCTTGTGTTTCCGTGTACGGTCCTCGGGTCCAGCTCACTGTGGCATTTCGTACCCCAGGTTTTACAGGTGCGTGTGTGAACGTGACGCCACTTCACCCATTCCCATTCCCCATGGGTGAACGCAACGCCTACGGGCAAGCATGTCATGACTGCATGGTATACCTAGGCGAATTTCCTTCAATGAAATCAGTAGCAACTGAGGGAGTGTGTTAAACGAAATCATTGATGAACTTTTAAAATTGAAAGATGTAATTTATGATCCAATTAATATGTTAACACAATAATGATGAACCAATTGGTGCCTAACAATTCGTGAAATAGACAACCATGCACAGTCTCCAGACCTGACGAGGGACAGAGCATTCTGCCCGAAACGTTGAGTTTACCCATGATTCTTTGCAGAGCCTCACGAAACTCACTAATAGAGATGTATCATGGTGCAACTGTAAACTTACTCGTATTGCTCACTTCATGCAAATCTCTAATTTAATTATGGCCTCCTACCATGCAAATTCTCACCACATCCTTTGTTTGTTTAGTGTAGGCCTAAATCTAATCATGTAAACTTTTCAATCACTCGCATTGATTGTGTGATTTGAAAGCCCGATGAAGCAATGTGATTGGTTCTTGACATACTGTTTGTTGTTGTTTGGTTTATGAATTCGTAGTTTGCTGGACCTTTTCTGCACTTGGTTGGTGTGATCATCATGACGGGGCTAAGCTGGTTTGTGGCCGGAGGAATGGGAACCCTTCAACGCAAAGGTGAATGGTACTCTTAAAAATATCCCGAAATTGTTATTAATACTGTACACCTCTTCAGCAAATCCATAACAATAACAGTAGATCACTGGAGAATTCGGGTGATTCACACTACAATGCGCCACCAAGAGTTTGACACGGAGAGTCCATTTTTTCCACAGCATTGTGGGAGATGGTCGACAAATTCACAGCGCAGGACATTTAAAATTGTTTGTTTTTGGGGTCAGTAAATTTGTAAGCATAATTTCCAGAATCTGTTTACCCTTTTCTTTTTAAGGGGTATGTTTAAGGCGGCAGAACGATATGCCCCGATTTATAACAAATTAGCTCAAATTGTCTGCTGACACTCATTCTTTGTCATGTTTTGTCGACCGTGAACTTGAAAAATGGACTCTGCACGGCAAAGTCTTGGTTGCGCACTGCATTGTGAATCGCCCGAATTGGGTTTGTCCACTGCGAGGCGTCTACCGTACTGTGACCCGCAGGGCTTGATCGCACTGTTAAAAGCTGTAGTGCTGTATTGATTTACACTATATTATTTATGCATTACAAACTAATACTAGTTGAAAAGTCCTTTTTATATTGAGTGGTCACTGGCACTGAGGTAAATGGAGAATGAACTTCACTGTGGGTTAAGGGAACAATATCCTGACAACCTGTTTTTGGAGGACATAATTAATTACCTTTGCTTTAATAGTTGAAGTAGAGCAAACATGACCAAGAGACCGACTGCAATGATTATACCGCTTGTTGCTCGGTCTTATTTCTAAATTAATCAAGCGAATATCTTATAGTACTATGACAATACAGCCCGTGCATTTTCTTCTACAAATTCAAAACATTGAAAGCATTAGTTTGAAAACAAAATTATCGTCATAATACTTTACATAATTTTAGTGCTAAAACAATAACTGCCTTTATCTCTTTGTTATTTTATTCCTGTCTCCTGCCTAGGGCTCCCAGTCCGTGACGTAGCCCTGTGGTACTTCCTAGCTCTTCTTGCTCTCTACATTTCACCCGTGTTTATCCGCTCCCCTTGCCTGCTGAAGTACGAGGAGCTACCGCCTAAGCCTTTGGTCTTTGCCTACAGGGGTGCTGAACAGGTGCGTGGTTGGGGGTATAGAAATTACGTAACACCTGTCAGATAAACAAATATCTGCTACTGAAAAAAGTATTTATAGGACAATAGCATATTTGGAGTTAATGATAACAAAAATAATCATTATTATACCCTTGAGGTTGTTGTTACATGTACGATTCTTCTTATTACTATTGTAAAATAACTACTGCAGAAAACATATATATTTATTGGAGAATGGTTGTATATATTTGGGAGTTAATGATGACAAAAATAATCATTTTACCCTGGAGGTTGCTGTCGGGTGTAAAATTCTTAGTATTACTTCATTTATTATTAGTGCAGAAAAAAAATATTTTTATAGGACAAATGTTGTATAGTTTGGAGTTAATGATGACAAAAATACTTTTGCCTTTGAGGTTGCTCTCAGATGTACAATATCCACTACAGAATTATGTATTTAAAAAACAATAATGTCGAATGTTGGCGCTAATGATGACAAAAATAGTTACACCCTTGAGTGTAAGGCAATCGTTAGGCAAGAATCCTGTAGGTCTGCTACGGTTATGAAAGGCTAGTAAGCGGTTTCTTATGCAATTTGTTGGTTTTAGAGAGACAAACGAGACTAGGTTTCGCCTAGTCCAGATGGTCCCACTATAGGCTCAGTGTATGACATTACACGAAACGTTTGGCAGATGGGTTGGCATGTTGGTCAGCATACCAACTGCCGACCCTCTTGGGCAAACCCCAATTATAGGTGGTTGATTTTAGCTGATTTGCCAACAATGAGGTAACGTCTTATCAATACTGGGAAACTAACATTGCCCAGCGGTGTTTTACCATACTTGTCTGTATATTGTATTTAGACTCAGTGACTCAGTCAGGTAGTCAGTCAGTGAGGTCAGTCATTCCGGTCCAGCAAATCTATGTGGAGAAACTTTAGGATTTCTAAACAAGCGTAATATTCACACACTTACCAGGGGCAAATCCTGGCTTGGATCAAGAGGGGGATTTGGCTGTGGGAGGCTTCATTGACCTCGTAACGAAATTGACCATATTACATTGTTGTTTTCTCAGTGATAAATGGTGATTGTGTCCTTGGGCAAGACACTTTACAACACTTGTTTCTCCCCGATGGCATTATTATGCAAATCTAAGTGGAGAAACCTTAGGATTTCAAAACAAGGTTTGTTTTCGTAATCAGGCAACCAAGGGCTGATAGGAACCAATGTGCGGGGCCCATTTTTGTTTCATGACTCTACTTACCACAGAATTCTGAGCTAACGATCACCATATTCTGGATTTACAGCTTTAGCAAAAATATTCCTTGCTAAAAAAAACCGTAAGCACAGAAATCCTTACTGAAGTTAGATGGTAGCCCGTAAGAAACGGTAACCTACACTTAGGTTTTTGTTCACTAGCGGGTATTTGTTTGCTGATGGTAAGCTGCGATTTGATTTATGTTTCTAAATAGCGTAATATTCACATGCTTACCAGGGGCGAGTCCTGGCTTGGCTTAAGAGGGGGATTTAGCTGTCGGGGGGGGGGGGGGTGGATTCAGCAAGCATTTTTATTTTTATTTAATGATATTCCTTTTTCCCCGGCCCCAGGGGAAGGGGGGTTTCCACCCCAACCCCCTAGATCAGCTACTGTTTACCCCTCGAAAATTAACCAGATCGGCTTGCCGGGACTAGCATAAGTTAGATGTTTTTGCTAATTAAATGGAATAAAAAGTCTGCAAAACAACAACAGGATTTAGTATGAAGGCCCTTTTTGACGTAAATGACACCGTGTGTTCCCCTCTCGCAGTCATGAAATTTGAAACCTCTTTAAGCAGAAACTCGTTACCGTGTCTTTCCCCCAATAATGGATGAATTCTTGACAAACAACCCGTAATGAGGTTTGGTGCCGGTGGCTTATTGATTGGTTGTCCGTGATGCGTACTATATGCTACGCTAATACCAATAGCTGTCTGCTGATAATTGGATCTCGAGTGTGGTGTATGTCCTCGTTCACATTTTGTCGTTAACATGGTTCAGATTTTTTTCAGGATGTTTCCTGATTGCGTTTTTTTTCGTCAGGAGTTTTCCTGATTTCAAGATGTGTGGATAAGAATCTGTATTGAAATCTGGATTGCTTGAATAATACCGTAAAGGTGTTTTTATCTATAAGAAAGTTGATATGGAACTAAGGAAGAAATTTCTTTTAGTGTAATTTGATTTAATTTGATTTAATTTAGTTGTTTAATTTAATTCATTTTTGTGTGCATCTTTTAGTCAGGAGAGCCCTCGACAGAGACTTTGTCTCTTTTGGGCGATCCTTCGGGAGCTGTTAGGTTCTTGTTGTTCTCTGTTGTTGTCCTTTACCTTTTTCGTCTTGGTTTTACTGTCTATTCCGAGAGATAAAGGAAATGTAAAATGTAAAAGTAAAGAAGTGGGTATCGTAAGGGTTGCCTTTAGCCGAAATACGAATGTATACCATGGGTCCTCTGTGAGCCTCTAACACTCTGCCGATTATTCCGTGGAGTTTTCGTTTTGTCCCAATTTCACCCTTGCATTAATCTTAACGGATGGGCATTTTTTTGTCCACTGGATATACCCAAAGTTCAGCCAATGTCGATATTTCAAGAGAGAATCGAGGGAGTCAGGGAGGGCTTCCTAGCGGCATCTTTTCTCCCCCCCCCCCCTCCCCCCCCCTCCCAAAAAAAGTGGCAACTTTTCCCAGACCCGTGTTTGTATTGAGTGTAAATTGGCGTCTAGCCTGGTACACCCCGCTGTTCCATCTTTTGACAACCAGTATTTGTTATACCTAAAGTTTGTTGGAACCTTTGTCGTAGATATTAGTTACTCAAAGCAATCTTTTGTTTTAGCGAGAGAGCTGTGTGGACCCATAGGCGAACTGGACAATTTGACCAAATACTAAAAAAAAAAAGAGGTTTGGCAAATGTTTTGGTATATTTCAAACCCGTCTTACCGGAAATAACCAACAATGATGTATTAACTTTATTCCAACGTTGGGCTAAATAAAGTTGCCAACCATTTTTTGTTTACAGCTTATAAAGAAATTATCAGTAAGATTGTGGCAAATAGCGATTGTGTGTTGTGTTTCACCTTGTCTGTTCTTTCCAGCTTGCACCGGAAAACACCCCTGTTGCCTTTGAGCTTGCGCTAGACGTCTACCACGCTCACGGTATCCACACCGACGTACGGATAAGGTAACCAGTCTTTCCATGAAATCAGCAGGCAGGATATTTTTCCATGAAGGTTAATAATGGGGTGCTTATATATAGCGCCGTGTACCGAAGGTCTCAAAGCATGTCACATGTATTACCCCTGTTCATCAGGCCATTATTTTTCTGCTGCAGCTCAAGATGAGCACAATTTGGTCTTTACCTTCACAGGGACCAATGCTCTTGGGTGGAGAGACGCAATTGTAGTAAAGTGTCTTGCCCTAGAACACAAGCACCATACTTCCCGTCAGGGTTTGAACCCACGTGCCACCCGTAACGAGTCGAACGCCATTGAATGGAAATTCATGGTTAAATGGCAAAATTAAAGAAAAGGGGGGATTAAGCCTCCCTATCCCAGGTATTGACAATGTGTTGCCTAATCATGTGCTGAGCGTTGGCCTATCGACGTGGCGTAAAAGTAAATTGCTATATTAATGATGTTTTTTTCTTGCTTGAATATTGTTTTGGTAGTTATGACGGCGTGCCGTACATCATGCGTGACGAACGCCTCGGACGCACGACCAACGTGGCGGACGTGTTTCCCGAACGCTACGCGGACCACTCCGATAGCTTTACACTGACTGAGCTGAAGCAGCTGAACGCAGGCTCCTGGTTCATTACGGTGAGACGGGCTGGATTTGTCAAGGCCTTTTTTGAAAGTCCGGGCCGAGTTTGATTTCGGCACCAGCTCCGGCAGTTAGGAAACCTTGAATTAGACCACGTATTGTCTTTCGTGTCATGTAGCAGCGGGTACATGTATAGCGTATAAGACCTTAACTTGTGATAAGCTGAAGATTGAAGCTAATGAAAATTGTGTGACATTTTGGTAAAAGTCTACTCTACAGTAGTGAATGTTTTTCAGTTCGGTGTCTCACCCTCAACATTTTCTAGCAGCGTTGTGCCCAATTCGGTTTATTTCCAATTATTTTCTCAATTAGAAACACTGGCTCCCTCATTGTTTGACTGACCTTAAAACGTTTCTAGTCATACCAATCAATATGAAGTAGTCCGACCTCCCATCAAGTTGTTTTACTCTATCAACACGTAACCTACGCAATCACGAACACCTGCAGAGATCAACAATTACCCAAGTCCTTTTTTGTTTTTTTCTTTGAATAGATTGGCTACCTAGAAACTAGACAAAAGGCTTCATTGACCTCGTAAAAACTGACCACTTTGCATTGTTGTTTTCTCAGTGATAAATGATGATTGTGTCCTTGGGCAAGACACTTTACAACACTTGTTTCTCCCCGATGGCTTTATTGGTGCTTGGTTGGACAATATATAGTCATTGTTTGCAGTATCGGTTGATAGCAAATTGAAGCATGATTCTCTGACGAGGCTTAAATCCTTAGCGAGTTGGAAATATTTCCAGAAATGACATCAATCGGACATTGTGACATCATGCTTCGACGTATTTCTCCTCACAAAATGGGCACAAAGAGCGACATATTCTAACAGCTTCCGTTACAGTAAATTGTAGTGTTAACTGTCATTTCTCGAATCAGTTATTTCAACAAAATCAAAGTGAAAAATGAATTTTAGTTATAAATATTTGAATAAGTAATTCTCGGGATGCCAGCATGTAACACTCAGCAATATTTATTGATTGATTGCCAAGTCTACGTGTTTGTTGTTCAACCCACTTTTTAATTAAACGCCCAATCCTACCACCGCTGTCTAAACATTATTGCTTGCAATATACCTTCAGACCTTAATGCCAAAGATTAAAACCTTAGACCTTCTGCTGCTACCATGACAGGTTAAATTCTTCTAAAATTACATTTATAGGCCTACTACTGGCAAACCCCTCTCCGGGGAAAGAAATATACTAGACTCAAGGAAATGATTGACAAGAGAGTAATATTAAAGGAAGCATAAATATATTAAGCGTCTCTAGCTTTTATAGTTGTTATTCATTATTAATATTTCTAGCTCAGCAGGGTCGAAAACCAGTTTGGTTTGGCAACAAAAAGGTGCCTTGAATTAAAATCGCTAACAATCATGGGGAATTAATTTTGGTGGCCATTTGAAGACTTTTTCTAAAACCAGAGCGCATAAATGCACAATACTCTGTATTTGTTCTTGTAGTTGCAGGGGCTCTTAGATTTCAAATTTAAAATTGCAGTACCGACTGCCCCTGGCCCTTTACGCAAGGGACCGGACGTTATCAGTCCCGTCATGTCAAATTCAATTACTTTATTTCCGAGTATAATCGATTATTCTGTATTTACGGAGCGCTCATGAAAACACTCAAAACGCGTCATTATGAAGAACGTCCCTAATGGACGCTGGAGCATTCAAAATGACCGATGCAGTCTATGTTAAAGAAGTAGGCCTATCCAAATATTGTGGTTCGTTGTTGCGATATTAATTGAACACAAAACCTAAATTAATTAAAAAGCAAACTCGAGTTTCCTGTTGGTCCTTTGCCATATGCCATGATTTTTTACAAAATTATTACATGCTTAAAGTTGGTGTATACGTGCTTTTTGGGTGTGGCACCTTGAAAAATAGATTTTCAAATTGAATTGAGAATTTGTTAGCATTGCATTAGTTATAAGCTTTCCACTTAACCATCGCACGAAAAAATCGGCCCATTAGGCCAAAAAAAAAAAGTCTCCGGTTTCTGGTATGCGCGCGCGTCGCCGTGGCCATGCGCGTCGGCAAAATGAAAAAGTTTTTTTTTTCAATGAAAGATGATGTCTCAAAACCGCCAAACTCACTGGTTTGACTGGAATCCTGTTGCTGCACAATTTTAACGTGTTTTTAGATTGGGTTATGGTCGAGAATAAGCTTCATGTGGCCTCTCTGGACTCCCATATATTTGCACTTTAGTTTAGTCGGGCACCATTTGCAGTCATCAGCCGACATTTGAAGCAAAAAAATCAGGTAAAAAAAAAAAAAAGCCGCGTCGCCGCACCACTTTTTGGGCAAGCTCCGTACCAGAAACCGGAGACTTTTTTTTTTGGCCTTACAAGTACTTTTGAATTAAGAACGGGACGCTCTTAATTCGTTCTGCACAATTTCTAAACTGGAGCGCGCCATTTAAAACCAATTTTTAAAACATGTCACTTGTATTGTTTTTCTTTATCGCTAACAGTGCAATCCGTTCGGAAGCGCCGGCAAGCTCACCGAGACCGAAATGATTCGCTACAGAAAGCAGAAAATCCCAACCCTGGCGGAAATGCTGCTTCAGGTGGAAGAGAGAAACAAGACTATTTTATTCGATGTCCGGCCCCCACCTGACGACCACCCTTTCCACGAGGACTGGTTGAATATAACACTGCAGACGATACTGGACTCGGTATCGGGGGTCGCCGAAGATGACGTGGTAGGAGGCCATAATTAAATTAGAGATTGTTTCCATTCTCCCTATAGATGGATTCCGGAAAGGTTTCATTAAAATAATTAAAATAGTCAAAAAGTAAATAATTGATTTAAATGAAAATACGTTGAGTGTACTTTAGTGAAGTGCTCAGATAGCTCGGCTGAAAGCATTTACAAGGTCGACACTGAAACAAATCAAAACTTAATTGAATTGGTAGATTAAAGACGAAATAAAACTGGCAGGAGCTGGGTTTTGACCCTCCGGTCTCCGGAACAGCGTTCCGGCGCTCTACCAACTGAGCCATTAAACCCTATTTTTTTTTAAGCAACAAACCTCTGTGACCTATTGGTCACTGTCAGTGATTACGCCCAAAGTCACAATGTTTAAATAGCGAGGTCTGTAGCCACCCTCAGTCTGTTCTACAGATATTTCCATGGAAGGTGTTCCACCAGTTTGTTTGACTTGGTTTTTGGTTCCTCCAGGCCTGTCAGGATGTTTGAGCATGCAACCAGACTCTCTACTTCCTCTCACCCATAACACTCTGTGCCGAGATGTAGAGCACAGAGCTACTCTAATAGCTTGCCCACCTGCTGTATCTCTTTGATCTCTTTGAATCACCTTTCCTTGTGCGTGTTCCCCTATTCTATATGATCGAGCTATCCTGTTACAATAGGAATATCAATTCCTACCTCCAGCTGTCCTGATTGTTTTCGTCATATTTTTTTCTTCTTTCTAGCCCTTTGCCAAGAGTGGCTTTTATAGCCTTGCTTTGGGCGATTTTGCATAAAAAACAAAATGCTGCAAATCTGAGAATTGCAGTGGCAGAATCGCGTTTTATTTAATTTGTTGTAATTTTTTTTATTACAAATCCACGAATTGGAATCAGGACTTAATGGTAACTGGTTTCTTTATATTGTAAGTATTGTAGCAATATAAGGTCATTAAAAAGAAATGACGACAACCCAGTACTTGCACCGAGTGCAGAGTTACATTATCGGCAAATTTGAAGCTCAGTGAAAAAACAATTGAAGTTTCCTTTTTTTTTCTTTTTGGTTGAACAGAACTTCTGGCAGACGCCAAACAATGACACCAAGTACACCTTTGCGATCAACACTTTCGACGAACGGAGACTGATGACGGCATATAACGATATACCGTTCTTTGAAATAAGGTGAATATCATTATTTCGCTTTCTCTGATTCATCAATGTTGGCATGACTTTGCTTTTAAAGTTGTAACAAACTATTCAAGTTGTTTTGATCTATATTTTGCTTCAAATTGTATATACATTTTGGTTTCAAAACTAGTTTGGTAAGTGCGTTTTAACGTTCGGAAAGATTTTACATTAAAGTGTTCATGAAATGAACTTTTCTTAGGAACATATTTTGTGCAACTTTCTACTCCTCTAAAATGTATGAAAACTATTTTGACATCCTTTTTTGGTTAATTATATTCAAAAGTGCACTTCTTTAAACATTTTTTAAAAAATGTCCATGCTTTTCAGGACAACTAAGTGCGCTGTTGCTGTGATGTCATTTCAGGAAGACGCTGTTCAATTTCTTTTCAAATGTGAACCTAAAAATTTGCTCATTGAAACACTTGTGAGAAAAGTTTGCTCATTGGCTTACTGACATGTACTTTCACAACGATCTTACCAGAGAAAAGAAAATTTACAACGGCAAAATATCGACAATTCTGCTAACGTTTTGTGCTGGAGTGCTGTAACAGAGAAGTTTCTGCCTGAAATGACATCACACCTTTTGCACATGAATATGGAAATTCGCATCAGCATAAAAATACATAAGGCACAAAAATACCCTTGAAAATTGAATATAAGGTTTTATGGGACACTAAGGCGCATTTTCAAAGATTGCATTAAACAAATTACATTGCATGGCCCTTTAAGTTGTTAGCATCTTGTCTGTTAACGTTAACAAGTGATTGCCTTAGTTTGAACTTATTCTGATTGTTCATCAACGTTACAATGTTCTTTTTTCCCTTTCAAGGAGTAACGCAACTTTGAACGTAACAACCAATGTTTGGACAGTCAACGAAGACTGGCTGTTCTCTTTATTCTGGTGCGCAGGCGCAACTTCCATCTCTACGTCATCGTGTCAAAGGTTACGAACAGAAGACGCTCCTTTGTGGCAACTGGTAAGGAACTCGGGATGTAGTTTTTATTGTTTCTACCCTACGTTTGACCCGTTTTCAAACAAAAGATGGGACATCTGTACAAATTACTGATAGTTTTTGGTGTTTGCAATTTCATGCCATGTCCTGAATCACGTAGGCCTTTCCTGTAGCCTTGGTACCAATTTGTTTCAATCTTGTCATCTTGCGTACGCCGTGATATCACCACCCTCGTCTAGGTTTGATTTGTTGATCAACTTCAGCCCGACTTAATTGTTCGTTATCTCGTGGAGTGACCGCGGCCCGTACCCGGTGAATCTCCCGGAAATTGAGGCAAAAATCAATTAAGGACGTTACGTCCGTCCAATTAAATCGGTACAAGGAGCTAGGGTAGTTCGTAAACGAGCAAACGCCACAGGAAATCACGGACTTGAGCGTGATTTATCAGATTGTCGAACTCCGGCACGGAGGCCAATTTCAGCACGCTAGCCAATTCAGCACGCCGTCTAATAATTAGAGCAAGCTGGTACGTCCATTATCAAGCACGCGTCTTGCGCGGTCGAAAGCACGCGCAGTCTGAGCATTTTGAGCACGCAGTCGTTCCTCAGTCCAGATCGAAACTTCGCCTCCAGTACCTGTATCGGTTGATCTTTGTTTGAGAGAAAGTAAAATGCTGCTTGCCAATACGGTTAATCAGAGATGTTTGTAAACCTGTAACATACTTACAACTCAAAGTTTGTGACATTAATATCGTGTTGGAAGTAACCTATTTTTGAATATAATGTGTCAGTAGTATTTAAGTCCAATCAACACCGGTATGTTTTTACTCTGTTTTTGGTGTGTTTTTTGTTTGTTTTCCAGAGCCCAGTTCACTTCCTGGTGATGTGGATCCTCTTTGATGTCGTCTCCTTCGTTTGGGTCGTAATTATTTTTATAATACAAATCAGGTAAGAGCACGAGTTTACCATTTTCTTTTTTCGAGGTCAAAAGTTAAATGCCTGACTGCATGCGGCGTTTTGAGAGCTTGAAATAACTGGTATATGCAGTGTGTGATTTTCTAATCCTGTTCTAAGTGTGTGAAGTACTAGTTTTACCAAAATAAAATGAACATTGTTGTACTTTCGTTTTAAGATTACAGGGTGAGTCAAAATGATCTGGACCCAAGTTCACCATTTTTTTGTGGCAAATAGAGTATATTGAGAAAATACAGTGTTTCATATGAATGGTTAGTGCATTGTCTTCCACAGGAATTTTGATTTTTTTTTTTTTTAATTAGCGTCTGTGGTGAGGAGTTATGCCATTTTCATTTGAGTGGCTCAATTTCCAGTCTGCACAAGGAATTGGTTTTGCCTTTTTTAAGTATGCCAATAACTTCAAGTGAGTCAGTCACCATGACCAGGTTTCTATTTGTTATTACCCTGCTTCACATCAGTACGCGATTTCAATAAATTTGTTGAACCATGGAACCGTGGTCAGAGTGTTTATTAGCGTTTGTTCTTATAGCGCTTTTCTTCAAAATGGTACAATGGATTACATGAGACTCATATGCACTTTTTTTTTTATTATTGCTACATATTTTTAATATTTTCTTTAATTTGGGTCCAGATCATTCTAACTCACCCGACGAGATAAATTTTTACCTTGAGCTCATTTTGTTTCTATCATTTGTAAAGGAGATAGCAGTTCAGACGCTGCGTTAAAGTCTCACTCGTGTCATTTTCCTCATTGGCACACAATATCCTAAAACCTTGTGTTTCTTTGATTCAGCTCTAAAAGCAGAACCAAACCAGCCCGCCCTCAAGAGTCGGTCAGGCTCACAGCCGTGAGGGAGCACGTTGCGCGTGACGCACGGACGGAGCTCTGAGCATGTAACGCATGGTTTGTGCATGTGAGTCCTAACATTACTGACACAGGGTGGGGCTATTGGTGGTCTATTTCCGACACTGCCCTTACATCTGAAAGGTAGGCACATCAACCCAAACTATCTTGAATAAACATCATATCCCACCTGTAGGCGTACGAGGGTTTTACTTTTAAAACAAGATGATGAACACTATAAGTATAATAAAAGTAACTTCTTGTCAACATATTGCATGATGCCTAAAATGCACTTGTTATGTGTTCACAAGAAATATTCGCAAGACCGTGATGCAGTCGACCTTAAGAGCAAAGACTTGGTCGTCCAAGCAGAAGATTCCCCATGGGACGACCTGTGCCTGCCACGTCCCCTCGCGGACCTGACCTTGGTCTGTTTGGCCAGCTGCGCTCGTCAAATCGAGTTACTCTTCCTAAACAGCCCGTCCAAATACACGTACGCAGGAACGAGCCGTGGTTATCTCGATTTGTTGGGCAACGTGTGAAGCGTTCGATCAGCTCGCGGCAAGATTTTGCTTTTACCTGCTTACACGAATTGTCAGAGTGCCACTTTGCTTTGGTTTGTAAAGCGGAAGACTGTGAGTAGGCCTATTAAAATTCCGTGCGTTTGGGGTTGTTCCATTCCGTTTTTGTCATATTTCAAATTATTGAACCGTCGTTCCCGTGCATAAATAGCACTTCAACAGTTGAAAAGATTGAATGTTAGATAAGCGTTGCTGTACAACACACCTCATTTTCTTTTAGATAAAATTGATCAAGTAAAATATGTGACCAAAGAATGAGGGAAAACTGCATGCATTATCCGCCAGCTAGTTGGACCATTTCGATGAAATGACTTGTAATATTACATCTTTAACCCTCCTGCCTGTTGTCTGAACAATCACAGACAGTCAAACAATCAATGCTCTGCCCCTGCCATGCCTTGTACACAGGCCAGTCACCAACAGTCGGATCATATTTGTAGCAAGCACTGTGACCAGACAAATTCAGTCAACAGACAAAAGCAGGCAAGTGGTAAGCACAGCTGGCTTATCAGTCATCACCTACAGTCAAAGCATAGCTACATCAGGCTTAATAACAATCACAGCCAGTCAATCCTGCTAATTACTGTTAAAAACAGTCACTTGTTTGAATTTGACCGAAAGGACAACTTTGCACAGAGTGTACGTGTGTTTGCATAGCTGCGACCGTTTTTGCACGTTGCATGTCTGTCATGGTAGCCATAGTTACGTAGATTGCACATAATGTTCTTGGTTCTTAGTGAGGCACGACGGTGATCCGCCATCATATCAATGATAACACGAACCCCGATAGTCAAGACAGCAAGCTTAAAACCCGGATGGCGAATTTTTTTGTAAAACCCCTGCAAACAACTGTACGTGTTTTTAATTTAAACAGTAGCAAAGATAGAATTCAAGGGAGGTAGGTACAATGTATGTGATTTGGAACTCCAAAACGGAGCTGTAGCCTAAGTGCATGGCAGTAGCGTTTAAAAACCGTTGTATTGATTGCTAATAAAATGTCTTGCCATATACTATGCTTTGACGAAAAATATGTTCAAGTTGATAGACCGACTCGAGTAACGGGCAGAAGGGAAAACAGTCCATCAATTATTACCTAGGATTTTGCCCGTGGCCTGGTTATTTAGCGGCCCCGTTGCAAAAGAAAAGGTCTTGAGCTTAATTCACATGAAGGTGATGAGGCTTTATTGTCGCTCAACCAACTCACGTCACCAATATACGAGACTCTGTCGCTCTAAGCAGCGTGCCGAGCCAAAGCTGTCACGGGGCTTTTCATCGTTTCCCCCCCGGTAGGCCTTGACACGCTTCGGGCGTTTTACACCAAGCCCTGGCTCATTTTGTTTTCATTAAATTTCTCACGCACCATGCAAAGAACTAAAGGTGTTGTTTTCAAAGGAGGGGGAACGTGACCAGATAACAGAACCAGAGAATAAAAATGACTTTGTTTTTAATATTATAGTACATGTACGTTAATCCTCATTGTAATGTTTGCATTCATTGAAATCTGCTGAAACCAGTGGTAAAAAAAGTCTGTCGACTACGTAATTTCTCCCTTTTTACATTTCAGCTATTGCTCAGTGTACTTCAGTTGTACTTCCAAAAACGTCAGAGACCACTCACATCCCTGTCCACTGCAGATTTAATAAAAATTCATTAGGGACTTAAGCCCTTGCGTACAGGATGTTGCTTTAGAGGAAACGTAAGTCAGGTTTTACTGACCGAGTGCTTCCTAGTTTGCTTTTAACGGATTAAGATTGCTAGATACCAAAATCAATCTGACCGGCATTATAAAAATCTAATACCCATTAAGACATGGGGTTAATGGATAGCCTGTCCTTTCTACCCGTGATGACAGAACTATCAACGCGTCTCTCCTTACGCCGTGATGACTTCACTCGTTTGGATTGTTCTGAAGTCATCAAAAGAGAACGGATGAAAGATTACAATACAGCAACACTTATTTCTCATTTTTGTTGTATTGTGATATTTCCCTTGTGAAAACGGAAGCTCATATCTCCTCGCCAAGCCGTAAGCACGCATGGATGCACCATTTAAAAACCTTTCAATTTATCAATATAGCCTGTTCTGGAACGGAAGAGTTATTTAAGATTCCTCCAACAAACAGCTCGATCTTAAGGCGGAAATCAAGTTTTGTTAAAGCTATCCACTTGGCGTAAAAATAATTTCTCGCACGAGATGGTTACGAGTGAGTGTGAACTCTGAAAGTACTAACCAATGCAGCTCGTTGAATAGAACGAGGCAAAAATGAAAGAAAGAAAGCAACGAGTTAAGTGTAGAGTGAATCAAGCATTTCATCAAGAAATCAATGATTGAAGATCTGTGTGTACAGATCACTGGTCATACATCGATCATCAAAGGTCAGTGGACGTTGATCACAATATCGATGTTTGTGAGCAGATTGAAGATTAGAACTCAAAGATCAAGACTATCGATCAACGCAGCTTGTGAAATGTTGTGCAATTACATGACATACAAAATAATGGACGCGCAACGCGCAAAATCTGAGTCAAACAAAACTTAACGTGCAAAACTCCATAGGGTTGTCTAAGGGGCGTGGCTAACTCGCAAAGCTTTGCCAAATGCACGCACGCCCCAGATTTGAGAACGCGCTCGAGCGTGGTACCAGTTCAGTAATGGCGCCTAATCGCTGGATAACCCTTCCCATCCCAAAAGTGCATTCCCGTCATCCTTGACCCTCTCGTTAGATCAACCTTTGATCGATGTGTCTCTCTCTAGCTCTCTCACTGATTATCTTCTGACCGAATCGTTCTGTCTTCTCCTCCCTCCCTCCCTCCCTCCCTCCCTCCCTTGCAGCCGGAGAAAGCGCCGTCTGCAGCAGCAAGGAGACGAGCCACCGGAGCGGTACAATTACCGGCACTTCATGGCACTGGAGGAGCTGTCCAAGAACCAGAAGGCCGTGATTCTTTAGCGACGTCTCCCCGGAGTGTGTATACAACAGACAAGGCCTCCTCGATTCCTGTCACTCCGGTGACAGCGTGAAGCGAAGTGAAAGAGAATTGTGCCTGAACGAAAGACAGATACTCGGCCTTAATAGAATGGGATGTAAATAAACCAAACAAGAAAGTCTCTAATGGATTTGTATGCAGTACACTTTCTTGTAACCAAAACAAGCGGTTATTTGCTGACCGAATTATGTCAATATCGTCTACTTTTTTTTTTACCGAAGGTCAAATTGTACCGTTAAAGAAGGATGGCTGGCGTATAATTTGGTCTGCTTGGTTGTCTGAGCCACATGAAATTGCCATAAGACCGATGTGCCAAAGGCTAGCAATGCCTCGTATGATTTTTAATCTGTAAATAAAAAAGGAAGCTTTATTATAATTGATTTCACCATACTATGTGGTTTGTTTTTTCTGTAAATAAATATCCCGAAAATTGGCATCTACGGTGGCAAGTGCTTGTAGCAGTCAATTAAAGAGCCATGCAATGTAACTTTTTTAATGCAATCCTTGAAAATGCACCTTTATGTCCCATTAACCTTATTTCATTTTGGGGGCCATTTTCAAGGATATTTTGGTGCCCTTTATGCTAATGCAAATGTCCATGTTCATGTGCAAAAGTATAGTGTGATGTCATTATTCAGGCAGAAACCTCGATGTTATAGCTATTTCAGCGCAAAAGTTGCCACACTTTTGGATATGTTGCCGTTGAAGCTTTTCTTTCCTCTGATTTGTTGTGTCAGTACATGGCAGCAAGCCAATGAGCAAATATTTTTCACAAATGTTTTCAATGAACACATTTTTGGGTTCCATTGTAACGAAAACACCAAAAGTGAACAGCGTCTTCATGAAAGGACATCACAGCAACAACGCCCTCGGTTGTCCGGAAAAGCGTGGAACCTTGTTTTATGTTTTAAAAAAGTGCACTTTTTATTAAAATGAACAAAAAAAAGATGTCAAATAGTTTTCATACATTTCACAGGAGTAGAAAGTTGCAAAAAAAGTGTGAATGGTGAGAATCTGGAGGGCAAGACGCAGTCTTGTTTTGCATAATTTATCGCCGAATCTGCTCGCATATCATAGACCCTTGCCGGGGCCCCGGCTATATTACCGAGTTCATACAAATTAAAGCGTTCAACTTAAATGTACGGCACGCATGGTAAAGTGTACAGTCTGTAAATTAAAATTTGAGGACATTATTTTTGGGTTGCTGTTTAGTAGTGTGTACTGTAAACTGTAAAAAAAAAATAGACATCATCTACTCAGAGATGATGCAATAATGAAGTGTAATACATGTCCATTATGTTTGTTTTTTTTTATCGTTCGTGCAATATTTCGAGAGCTAGAATGTATCAGATTAATACCGCAACTGTTGGCGTCATATCTGCTCAGGTGATCTTAATCAAGTTTGTGAAGTGTTAAGTGAAAGACTTTTCATGCATACACGAAGCCCAGCTTCTTGCCGTTTTTAACCGTAGTCAAGACACGTTCACACCTCGTGTTCTTGCTTTCATCTGGTTCAGCAGAGGATGAGATTGCTAGTAGGCCTACTCATCAGTATTTGGGTTAGAGAATGAGCACAGAGTGCGACGACTGGTTGTGAGAATAGCAGCGTACAGAATAAGGCGAAGTTATGTTCAACTGCCCTGCGAACTTATTACGCGGGACTTAGCTTAGTTTAAGTAACGTGTCACCAAGGTTTGAAATAAGCCCATACTCACTTAATTCACTTAAGTAAATGTTGGTAAATGGGTAAGTGTGCCATGCCATTTCATTTTTAACCACGCCCACTACACACACGCAGTAGCATTAAAAAGCATTGGGTCCTGAGAACCAGAAGTAGTACAACTGCAAAGGGACGTGTTAAGCCAATGGGCGCGTGTTTGACGCAGTCTGTCTTACGAACCGGATAGACCACAGGTGTCATATACGCGCAGGCCGCACGCAGATGGCGAGCGCGGGCGCAGTGCTTTCTTGACCAATAGGGTTTCTAAATAACACGCGCGCCTCAACTTCAGGACGCGTCTGGCATTCGTGTGAGCGCGGCCGGCACCGCATCGATATTTAATAGCGACCGTCAGATTTAATCTATCTCGCTGTTCGAGTAACCTTTTACTTTTCAATCAACTATTCGCGATTCGCCAGTTTCTTCTTTTTAATTATCAAATTATACGAAACGATATACATCGAAGGTCGGCTGTCGTGTTGATATTAAAATGTAATCATGTTTCCCACTAACCTTTACCTGTCATTAAGTGCATGCAGCACGGGCAGGTTTCGACTTTGAGAGTCCGTGATTTAATATTTTTTTTAAGAGAGCTGGAACCTCGCAGGGAAATATCGTTTGGAAGATTGAAAACGGCAATAAGATAAATGAATCGTGTACGTTGCCATAACATGACTTCCTCTGTCACTAATGGTGCTCTAAAAATAAATTGAATTTGACCTGGAGGTGTTTTTGTTCCTTAAATGTAGTTCGAGAAATATAAATTCAACTTAAAATATCCATCCATTTCGATTTCTCAACTGTATGTTATAAATTTTGTAGCACTTGTGTATGCTCCATGTATAAATGACATGCACGTGCAACTCATTGTGCAGTGATTTTGTAAATAATTCTTTTTCTGAAAATCAAAAAGAAACAGTTGTATAAACAAGGTGTCTTGGCACAAATAAAGATATGGGGAATTAAAATATTCGTGTCTTAGTAAGACTTATTTCGCAGTTGAGAAACAGTTTCAATTTTTTTTCATGAACATTTGCATGAATATTTTTCAGACTAATTAATTAGTCTGAAATCAGACTTTTTGAACCTGAGAGAAAGACATTATCGGCATAGAAAGAAAAGCATCATTTCAGACCTTCCATCTAACTTCAAGACCTTTATATTTAAATCAACAACATCGATCTCGGCTTTTATACCGTTTATATCATGGATTTCTTGTTTTACAATATGCGATTTTATAACGGACTACAGCCCGATCATCAGTGTTTATTCGTCCTGCATGTAGCCTGAGTCTGAACTTCCTTCGCGTGATTCAACCTTTGAATTTAATAAGCAGTCCCATTTTGATTCTGTTATGATAATGCAAGTATGCATAGCCTCAGCATTGTTATTTCTACATAGAGAGAAAAAACAGTCATCATTTTTACGTCAACAAAACTCTTCAACCCGAAATGTTGATCAGGAATTTGTGGAGCATTGTTGAAGTACGTACCTCGACAAAGTCGTACGTTCATTTCCCTTCTTTATTTTCCTCCCATTCCGGGTAAATTTAATGAGGAAATACGTAGGCCATGCGCAGTTAGGAAATGTACTCAATATACGTGATTGGCGGTAAAGGGGCATTACGGCCTGAATCCCCGAAAATTTCATGTTTTGATTGTTTATACGTATATTAGGCCAAAAAAAAAGTCTCCGGTTTCTGGTATGCGCGCGCGTCGCCGAAGCCATGCGCGTCGGCAAAATGAAAAAAGGTTTTTTTTCAATACAAGATGATGTTTCAAAACCGCCAAACTCACTGGTTTGACTGGAATTCTGCTGCTGCACAATTTTAACGTGTTTTTAGAAGGGGTTATGATCGAGAATAAGATTTATGTGGCCTCTCTGGACTCCCATATATTTGCACTAAGTTTAGTCGGGCACCATTTGCAGTCATCAGCCGACATTTGAAGCAAAAAAAAAAAAAAAAACAGGTAAAAAAAAAAAAAAAAGCCGCGTCGCCGCACCACTTTTGGGGCAAGCTCCATACCAGAAACCGGAGACTTTTTTGGGGGGCCTTATTTAAAAGGTCTAGTTGAAAATACGACGGAGTACTTTTTCCTGTTGTTTTCGTTTAATATACGATACACGTTGTGAGTGTGACATAAATTACACAGCTTCAATACTTGCAAACAAATTGTTTCTTACAAGTCCACTGTGCGGCTTGGATCAGAACTACCACTCGAACAGCGCGATTTTTTTCGGGACGAAATTGTGACCCCGATACTCCTTCAACTCGCACGGTTCTCGCAATCTCGCAAGAATTACACAAAAACGTCCAGTTTTTGGATGGTTGTGTGGACGTTCTGAAATACTCTTTCCGGTTAATATTATTTCGTTGAAAATGCGTTTTCCTGGCCGAAATATCCCTTTCAAGAGTGAGACTCTGTTGAGCACAATCACCACAATCATGCACGTTATTACAACCCACGCTGTAGTTAATAGTGCGCAAGCGTGTCTCGACCTTTCGTCAGTTTTGGCGCCAAATACATCTTCCGAGTTTCCGGTACAAAAATAATGAAATGTTGAGCACAGGGCTAATCTGTAAAAGAAACTTGGACAGGAATATGTGTCGAGTGTTCGAACACGATTTTAATTTCCCGCTGACGAGGTAGCAAATGGTTGAAGCGTGACTGCCAATCCCGATCGAATTAATACAAACATGTCATTACTCATGAAACCAAGTCTCATATTTTATCGGGCTAGTGTGGTGTCTTTCAAGAATGACGACGTTTTTATGTTTCGAATCATTGATTGTGTTTACTCGGCTGAGGTGAGCTATCACGCTTGGCAAATAAAGTTTAATGTCATAATCTCGAGTGGCGGCATGGGCGTTGATCGGTGGAGGATAGGGAGGGGGACGGGTACATCCCCCCCCCACACTTTTTAAAGTGAGGGGATATATCTTTGTCCCCCATTTTTTTTCAAGTTATTATATGGCTCAGAATAGCTGATTCAGTGACTCCGAACTCATAACTGATGTTTAAATGATGATCTATTTGTCCAACAAACTTGGTTCAAATGGTCAGAAATTGCCTCAAATTGCGCCACAGAGCGTCTATAATCCATTATTTTTCCCCGGAGCCCTTGGGCGGGCCCCGAACCTCACACTGTTAATTTTAGGGCTTCGCGCTCGCATTAATTCTGATCGAGGTATGTCCCCCCCCCCCAAAAAAAAAAACTTTTTGAGAAGCGATTGACGCCCGTGAGTGACGGATCTGGTCAGTGGTTACATAATAATGAAATTGAGGGTTTGTTTTAACTTCCGCATGTAGAATGGAGGCAAATTTCCTGTAGTAGGTATACCGTTAAATAATTAAATACAATATTATTAGCAAACGAGGTTATCCAGCAAAAATGATATTCACGGGTTGCAAAGTATATCATTATATAATATTACTGTTCTGCAGTTTTTCTTCTTTTTTAGCAACCATTGGATTTGGTTATCCGGTCCATTCATTTCAGACTCCAGGTTGATTATTGTAAATATCTGGCACAGGGCCAAGTTAATTTAAATATTGACGCAAGCGCACAATTGGTGTTGCGTCTGCGCCGACTTGCAAAGCGCAGCCAATCAGACATCAGAGAAGGCAGATCGTCATGGACCTATAGCAACCAATGAGAACATCGAATCTGCGGTCGTTGTCTTGCCGTGATATCAGCAGGCTCCATTTTTAATAGGGTGACCAATTTTCTTCAGAGCCGTTTGAGGGGAAATTTAGTGTCGGAAATGAGAAATTGCTTACAAAATCCAACACACAGTGTTTTTCCGGGGGCAGAAACGTACCGATTTTCTGAAATGAGTGGCCAAACTTTTCAACATGTTTTGTTGAGAAGAATGAGGTAAATGTACATCGCACTCGACACGACTCGCATATTCACCCTCTAAATGCAAAATTACGTCTGTGCATGTTTTTGTGTGATAACCTCGCCCCGTTTATTCCGTAGCCAGCGATCGCCAAACAGTCGTAATCGTAAAACTGGAATACATAACTGTTGTGTTCCAACAGACTAGACACAAAACAAATACACATCTGTGGGAACCTTGAGGCTATACATGTACATGCTTTTGAATAATTAAATGCAATAACATCAAGGTTGTCAACAACAGTCATGCCTCATGGACGTACATGCCTCATTTGTTGTCAAATAAATTGCGGTGATCCTTCGTTGCCTCCATTATAATAATTTCCATAAGTTGAGTGTCGTGTATGTTCTCTGTACATTCACGATGTTTATCTCAAGGAAAGACATTTTAACATTAAACTGCACTTTTGTAAATCATCTACCGACATGATACCGACTGAACAGGACCTTCGATAGCATGGAACATCATAATCTCAACCTGCAAATTGGGAGATTCAAAAGGAGCTTATCAAGTTACGAGGGTATATATATATATATATATTTTATTTTTTGCAAATTCAATGCCAGTCTCTATAATTGAGTAGACAAGGCCGAAGGAGCGAGCAGTAAAGCGAATTGACTCGGCATTGGAAAGGATATTACTTAATTAGCTATGTCAAAGAATATACTGGCGATGTTTGTTTTCCGATCAACATCAGCAAAATCACCATTTTTTTTTTTTATTATGTGTACAACTACAAACACAAATGGTTGAAGTTGAGTGTGGTGTATGTTCTCTGTACATTCACGATGTTCATCCAAAGGAAAGACATTTAACATTAAACTGCACTTTTGTTTTATTATGTAATAATGTAATAATTGTGGTGCTTAATTTAGCGAAATACACCAAAGGTCTCAAAGCGCTACACAATTATTACCCCTGTAATTTGAAGGAAAATATTCACATACTGTTATGTATTTATTCGTAATTTTTTAGTTTATTTACAAATTTTCCTTGCAGGTTGCACAGTGTTGATTAAACATATAAGAGGTGCAACAAATGAAATTTGTAACCACAACAAAAATGAACAACATCTTGAATACTTGACCACAAGATGTGCAATGCTATATACAAGTTGTGAATACTAATATAAACAGGTGTTTTGTTCGTTTAATTTTAAAACAAATGTAACGTATTCTGTAGTGGGGCAGATATAGGGGAAGTATTTGAGATGATTGCGCCCTTGATGATACAAGCAAGGAATTTGGCATACAGTCAGAGTATGTCATGAGAAATTGGTATCTGGCCATAGGGCCATCGCAGATTTGTCCTTTGAAAAAAAATTAATGTAGAATATTAACAAGCAATTTTCAAAACTTTCAAAATGGCTGCCATTGCTTGTTATTCTACTTATATTTTTTCAAAGCACAAATCTGCAATGGCCCTATAGACAAATATCTTTCTCATGACATACTCTGACTGTGTGCCAAATGCCATGCTTGTATCGTCAAAGGCACAATCCAATCACCTATCTGCCGATTCTAATACCATCCAAAAGAAACGTAATTTCATTTACGTTATCTAATAACACTATTCTGTTTTTCGAATCGTGGATGTCGCTTTAAAAACAGTGTTTGCAATCGAGTTGGTATTTAATGACCACTTAATGAGGTAGCAGATGGTTTAATGTAAGTCTACAATTAAGGCCACTGGCAACAATTCCGTATGGTCTATTTTTATGAAGAAGGCGCCGATATTGTGTTTAAAGGTACACTATAATTTGCAATTATCCACAAAGTGACTGACGAAATTAGTGTTGAAAAGCATACTTGGTTTAAAGATAGTAATGACACTAAACTCCCTTTGAAATTATTGTTTCTGGCATGCTGTCATTTGAAGAAAACAATAAAAGAAGTCATATCCAAAGATGCAAGCATTTTTGGAAATGTCCGTTATAGTAGTTGGTTTTTAATTCGGCGAAGCCGTGAATGGGTGCGCGCAAGCGTTGACACGACGCACACGCGCGCGCGGTTGCTATAATTTGTCGGCTCAGTGCGTGATATCGCGTATAGGTGCAATCGGCTGAATGAGAAAGTGACCCAGACGCTGATTTTAGGCGCAATTCAAATCTTGACTCGGCAACTTTTGAATTGAAATCGAGATCCTAGAATATTTTTTTCTCGGAATATTCAGCATTCACTGAGCGAAAAACTTCATCAGGTTAGTTGTTAAGCACCCTTCTTTAGAGTTTGAGCACTTTTGTTGCTTCAAACGAAAACAAAATGCATATATAACAAATGGTATACTTCAGGTATTAATACAACTTGACTTCTGTAGACATAAGGCCGAGTAAACAAAATAAGTAGTTTCTCGTCCGAGCTTTTCTTTTTAAATGAAGGAGGCGGGCGCTTTTTCCCCGAGTTGGCGGATTTTTGAGTCCAAGATAATAGATAGATACTTCAATTTTCTAGACTGCTTTCATGATACAAAAATTGTTTCCAAAGAAGCCATAACGCTTTGTTCTTAGCTACAAGATGGTTGGGAACAGAATTTTTAAAAATACAAGATATTGACAATGTACGTGCAAAATATATTGCAAATGTATGAATTAAAAAAAATAATTAAAAAGGAGCTAGGCGGCCGGGGAAAAAGAAGCGGACAGGCACGAGAAACTGTCGGTTTTTATTTTATTTGGCCTGAAATATCTTAGATGCTGTCAGCAGTGCCTTTGGGAATTAGAACCGTGACATTTACTTCACCGACGAAGGGATTCTTCCGTGACATTTGAGAACACCACAACATCAAACATGACAATTCACAAGGGGTGTTCTTGGCGTACACAAATTGAGTTGTCGAGAAAATCGATTTGAATACATAAATAGTATTAAAACAATTGTATCATCACGCAGTGCGTACGGGTGTTGTGAAGCGATTTTCACAATCTCCTGTACATTCGGCATTAAGATAAAGTGCATTATGTCCATACATCAATTTTTGGGTTCAAAATATCAAAAACTGAACTCCTTGATTGGTTTTGATATTTTGAACCCAAAAATTGATGTATGGACATAATGCACTTTATCTTAATGCCGAATGTGATTGGTTTTGATGACGAAAGGACATCGTATCACACTGTTTGCAGTGAATCAAATTTTTTTTTCAATTTCACTTTCTATATTTGCACAAGGGTCTATGTTCCGATACACCTATGTTCTGACACACACCCTAATCCTTTCCCTATAACCCTAACCCTACCCCTTACCCGGGCAAGGGGTGTCGGAGCACAGGGGTGTCGGAACATAGAGCAGTCACCTACACAAGGATGCAAGCCTTAAATAGAATTCCATGTGAGCTTAATGCTGTGTTGGACCAGATGCGGCTTTGAGACATTGATGAAAACGGAAAAGGTCACTCACTGTTGGAATTAGATTTGATCTGTCATGTTCACTGCCTCTACATTCATGTCGCCAATTACGCCAAAGACTATTTGCTGTAAATGCAATTTAAATGTGAGTGTGAAGAAATCGTCCGTTCATAACTCAATCATTGAGCTTTTCCCCCATGCTTCTATAAACACACGACACTGTCTGCTGTCGTTGAACTTATACGAAGTTCAGCATGGTGTCAAGTGTTCTTAAAAGGGTTGCTCGTCATCCGAATTTTAACTGGAGTAAATGCTGAAGCTGTTTCTGTTGGGATGCTTCAGTGTTTTTTGGTAGGTGTAAATTATTGTAGGGAATTATTTTGAGTAGCCTACAGTGTTGCATCTCGAGTGTTCTGGTGATTAGTCTACAACTGTTCCCATGGTGCTTCGATCTGTTAGTGATCCATTCATGATGGCCCTGCCTCTCCGTCGACAGCGTATGATCAGCTTCAGTCCAGCCTATAGTCTTGCATCTCGAGTGTTGTGGTGATTAGTCGACAACTGTTCCCATGGTGCTTCGATCTGTTAGGGATCCATTCATGATGGCCCTGCCTCTCCGTCGACAGCGTATGATCAGCTTCAGTCCAGCCTATAGTCTTGCATCTCGAGTGTTGTGGTGATTAGTCGACAACTGTTCCCATGGTGCTTCGATCTGTTAGGGATCCATCCATGATGGCTCTGCCTCTCCGTCGACAGCGTATGATCAGCTTCAGTCCTGCTTGGAACTGCTTGTGCATCAACGCGTAAACGAACGGATTAGCGCATGAGTTGATAAAGGCAGCGGCGACTGTAAACAGGTACCAGGCCCCGTCGAAGTTCACCGACCCGCCCAGGTTGAACTGCAGGAAAGTAAATTGGTTGGGAGTCCAGCACAGAACGTAGACGACGAAGACGGTGAGGAGCGTGATGGTGACGTTACGACGCCGGGAGTAGGCCGCTTTAGACGGGGCACGGTTGCCGCCGCTCACGGTCGGCACGGTCTGGCTCTGGGTCGACGCCGTCAGAGCTTTCTCTTTCTGCTTCAGAGTCCAGACGATGGTGATGTAAGCGTAAGACATGATGACACATGGCAAGAAGTACTCCCAGACGAAGAGACACACACCGACAGCCGAGCCTGCAATCGGCGTCCACGTGGACTGGAACGTGCATTTCCCATCTGTCAAAGACCGCTGGAAGATGGGAAAAATGTACTGCATGATGGGCGCGATCAGCCAAACCAGTACGATGGTGAGTTTGGTGAAGCGAGGAGTGAAGAGCTTACCGTAGCGCAACGGGTGCACGACGGCTATGTACCGCTCAAAGGACATCAAGGTGAGATTGTGAGCGGAAACGGCAAAGCCTGAGAAGAGGAAGAAACGAGACCACCACAGGCGGCAGAGGAACACACCTTGAGCCCCAACAAGGGGGATATCAGACCGGTAGACCCGGGTGGTGCCGAACGCGATCAGGAGTAAAGCTGTGACCAAATCAGCGAAGGCTTGGTTGAGGATGTACAAGTTGACCTGGCTCCGCCGTTGCTTCAACACACGGAAGATGATGCACACCAGAGTGTTACCAATGACGCCCAACGAGCCGATAGTCCAGTAGATGATCACACTAGCCAACTCGCTGCCCGAGAGGGCCGCAGGACCCTCCAACATCTCTCCGTCAGTTGCCTCCGTACTGACATCCCAAGGCGTCGTCGTACCAGTCATGTTCGCCTCCATGGGCTCTCTCGACATCACGCCATCTGTCCAAGCTACGGTCTCCATTACATGTACTCACACGGCAACTCGATATGCCAATAAACAGGCAATTTTACAGGATCATTCGAAGTGTCTTACGTGCTCCCAGCGAGAGTTTTTTATTTTATATAATCCGTCCACAACCAACGCAAGGTAGTTATTTATTGCCAACATGCAGGAATGTTTGCTGTTGCACACATGACGTCATACTTTGGTGACTGCGCTTTGGGCGGAGACTGGCCAAACATCGCAGCCAATAAACGAGGTTTATTAGTTACTCCTGCCTTAAAATTATACAACCCCCTCTATATTCACAATAAATGGGCTGATCCGCGTGCATCACGTTAGGCCGTCAATGAAGCAAGACACACAGACCTTTTTAATTGCCATATACGCAATGTAAACCAAAGCAGAGTCGAACGGCAGTCCATAATGTACACAAATCATGCAGGTGAAACTGTGATGAACGCCAGTGAAGCGATGAAGACATTGTTGCAGACACTTGATGGGACTGATAGTAAATATTGATTTGTTTTAAGTGTATCGGATTACGTGACCAGAATTCTATTGGTTTTTGATAATTTCAACTGGAACCACTCCAAACCAAAACAGTTAGAAAATCTGGAGAGAGTAAGTAATTATGTCTCCAACGAGTCGGAAGATGTCATGCGAACAGAAAGAAAACCGCAGTTTCATCTGCTCGCAGGTGGGAGTTAAGCTGTGGAGTCCCAGTGAAATATTCACCGAACACTGCTTTGACCCAATACAAACAATAGGTGGCGCTCTATTCTATGCCCGATCGTCATTGCGATGATACCCTTACAAAGGTTATTAAAGCAGTACGTTTGATCTCCCGTCTTGGTTTTCAGCCTCAGCGCTTCTGCAAAAGAAAACTCAAAACAAATTGACATTTGTGCCGATGCTTTCACAAATTTGTGGCCCAAACTCCTTCCTTTTTGATAAGAGGATTAAAAAGTAAAAAGAAAACCGATGGTGTTCTTCGCATCTTACATCCTTCCGGAGTTTCCTCCTAGGAGGAGGAGGAGCATTAATCGGCTTAGAACTCTTGACTTGTTAAGCCAAGAAACTGACAATAAGTCACGTACACTATCTTAATGTCTTAAGGAGGCTCACTTGGGTTGTCATGGTCAACCTTTAAAGGGCCCATGCAATGTAATGTTGTTAATTAAAGCAATCCTTGAAAATGCACCCTTGTGTCGTGTCCCATTTAACCTTTTTTTTCTTCAATTTTCATTTGTGCCATTTTAAGGGGTATATACGAACATGTTATGATGCCTTCTTGGTTTTTATGCTAATACAAATTTGGAATATTCATGAGCAAAACTGTGATGTCATTCAGGGCAGAAACCTTAATGTTACAGCTAACTGAGCACAATAAGATGCCTGAATGTTGGATATGTTGCTGTACAGTCATACATTTTCTCTCTGTTTTTGGTGATTCGTTGTTGTGTAAGGACTAGCAGTAAGCTAGTAAGCATTTTAAATGTGACTTTGCACTTTTTTTTATAATAGCGAATAAACTCGATCACAGAAGAATAATTCAAAGTGCTCCAATATAGGAATATTATGTATTTCAATTTCTTCGGACAGTTACCTTGAGTTATGGTAATTGTATCGAGTAACCATGGATTTTTTTTTTTTTTTACGAAATGGATAAGTTTGTCGACCCTATACACATTTTGATCACATCTACTTTACGTTTACTAGACTTAAAAGTTGGTTCACCCATTTAGGGTAACAATTCAATTGGTGAACCCTTCAAATACAAACATTCCAGAACAAAGTTTGTTGCCATCCACCATCAGATCAACTGAGTATTGATTAGTAAAATAAGGAGAGTCACGTGGTTGGCTGGAAAAGATCCCCAGCGATATTACAATGACGTCACAGCGTGCAAGAACTGTGTCAAGGTTTTTACGCTGGTATACGGATACAAACTTACGCAATTGTCACAGATATTGGTTTGAGTCACCATTTTCATGGTCAGAAATACATGGAATGTATTACAATTTGAAAAAAATTAAAAGTTACATTACAATAAATAATGTTAACATTACTTGAATTCGAATGTAGGTATTAAACTTGTTCACTATTATTTTCGTTAAAGAAAAGCTACACTCCTTTTTCTATTTCTTTAAAAGGGGCATCAATGGCGAATAAATATGAGTGTTTCGCGTGGACTACAAGACGCCACCAGGAGTCTAAAAGGATAAACTTTCCAAATTTGGCACTCGTTTGGTGTCAAAAAGACGCAAGACATCAGCTGACCAAGGTGATAAGACCGAAATTGGTATGATAAAAGGGTTTCGAAGCTGGAGATGCTGTTTGTTCTTTTTATTTAGAGTTTGTCAGAGTCTCGAACCCAATTGGGACCGATTTTAGCTTTTCGACTAAACTCTTGCTTCCATTGCCGAAAAGAATTGAATAACTTTCAACTAAACCTTTAAAACAAAACAAAAATAAAACCTTACATTTCATTTCAGGATTCCTTTAGAAGACCTTCACCTTTCACTGTGACTATTGCCTTAAAAAGTTTGTCGGACTTCGCTTTGTCACCTAGAATTTGAATTCGAGTCCTAACAGTTTGTTGACCTTAACACTTTGTCCCTGAACAATCAGCAGGGGAAAGAAATACAGTAACCTTATAATGTAGTTCAGCTATTTGAACTGATACCTAGTGGAACTGGATGCAACGCTGCTCGGTGATGGGCGCCCCCAGTCGGCACAGGCTCTAACGTTAAACTTGCTAGCAGTCCCTCCAGGGTCTTCACGCTTGCATTCCTATTCAGAGCTGATCCGGGGATTCTTAATTTTACAAATCAGCAAAGTTGTTTGCTAAAAAGCTGTGTGAATCTTGCTTGGGACGGCGAAAAGACAATTCGTTTGGCCGAGACTCGGTGTGAACAGCGCCCTCAGTCATTTCGTCTAAGAGAGTCGATGAGCACATTAAGTTTTGTGTATCGCACTGATAATACTCAAAAGTTTGGCTTTTAATCTGGCCCTAATTTGGTTGCGTCATTTAATACGTCACTTTGGGAAAGATGGCATTGAGGTACACGTCGACTTAGGAACATCGAACATCTCCATAATTCTCATTTTTGTTCATTTTCTTTCTCTTCTCACACACAATAAACATGATGAAACGTGTGTGGTATTACTGACAAGGCTGGAGAGATTATATATCGGCTTCAACACGGAGTGATTTATTGACAATCGTCTGATTGCTTTACAGGGAGGTTGCACACATAACACACGAGTACAATTGTGTACGTTGCGTACGTAACCAAGGATAGACATGAATAGACTTGTACCAGTCATGCGTTATATCACAACACCTTCCCCCTAAAGAAAGTATTTTTCTTAAACCTTTTTTTTTTTTTTTTTTTTCTTAAGCCTTAAACTTGAATCATTCCAACAACTTTTGATTCTTTAATAAAAATAAAACATATCAACTGTCTTAATGCCTTTATCCTCCTTGTTTTTCCGGGAAGGGCCGACTGATCATGCACTTTTTTCTGACTGAAATTTAGGACGACTAATGCAGCTGATCTAAACATGTTTTTTTTTGTTTTGTTTTTTTCTTTTTCTTTTTTCTCGAAAACTAAACTTACAAGGTTGACTTAAACCTTAAACTAAACTTATAGTGTTGACTTAAACCCAAAATTTAACTGATCTGGTTGAGGTATGTTATGTGAATCATAGCTAAAGTGTTTAGCACGATAATGCTCATGTTAACAGAGTTATAGTGTTTCTATCAGACGTTCTGGACGCCTGATGGTGCGGGTGGATCTTCTCAAAGTTTGTTCCCGAAGTGATCGAACAGGTGTGGCATGATCCTGTTTAGCTGGCTCTTGTGCCTCAGTCCCAACCAGATGTTCAGTGGCTAGCTGTAGAGCCAGTTCCTCCTCCAGCAGTTCAGGATCAATCGATGTCTGGTCCGGTACTGTGTCTTTTCGTATGGCTCCTCTGTTGCGACGTAAGATCCAGCCAACGTCAGTCTTGATTTCGTAGGATCGGGGTGCCAGCTTGCGGAGAACAGTGGCTCTCACTGTCCATAGTCCTGTGCGATGGTCCTGCACCCTCACTCTGTCCTGTGTGTGAAGTGGTTTCAGCGGATGTGCATTCCTATCATGCACCTGTTTTTGTTGGTTTCGTCTCAGGATCTTGTCGGAGACCACACCTTGTTGCACCTCTGGCTCCAAGCGTTGTGGATGAACAGGTAGGGTTGTCTTAACACGCCTGTTCATTAGCATCTGACTCGGGGACAGCCCATTTTGGAGTGGCGTAGAGCGATAGGCTAACAGAGCTTTGTGAAAGTCCTGTTTTGTTTCCTGGCACTTCTTGATCATCTGTTTTACAGTTTTGACAGCACTCTCTGCCAAGCCGTTGGATCTTGGGTAGTGTGGGCTTGAAGTATGATGTTCAAATCCCCAGTCTTTAGTGAAGTCTGCGAATTCTCGGCTGCCAAACTGTGGTCCGTTGTCTGAAATAACCACATCTGGCACGCCATGTCGAGCAAACATTGATTTCATGGCATTGATTACAGCTTTGCTTGTAGTGGTGGTTAGGGTTACCACCTCTGGATATCCCGAGTAGTAGTCACAGACAATTAAGTACTCCTTTCCTTTGACGGTACCAATGTCTGCTCCAACTCGTTGCCATGCTCGAACTGGTATCTCATGTGGATTTAGTGGTTCCACGGATTGACTGGGTTGATGTTTCTGGCAAGCATCGCATTGGCTTACCATGTCGCTGATTTCGGCGTTCATGCCTGGCCAGTAAACAACATCACGGGCACGACGGCGGCATTTCTCTATTCCCATATGCCCCTCGTGAACCTTGAGCAATACATCTTTGCGCAGGACTCGAGGGATAACGATTCTCGTACCCTTGAATATGACATCCTCGGCCACTGTCAGTTCAGCTCGAATATTCCAGAAGGGGCGAATGTCACTTGGACATTGTTGGCTCGCCTCTGGCCAACCCTGTAGTATTACCTGCTTCAGGTTGGTCAGCTGGTCGTCAGCTTGAGTAGCTTCACGTATCTGCTTCATTCTGTTGTCAGATACAGGCATTGTCTCGATGATCATGTCTACAAATGCCTCGACGACATCATCAAGGCTTTGGACTTGTGCTGCTTCCCCTTGATCAGCATTTCGGTCTGGTGCACGCGATAGGGCGTCTGCGACCACCAGTTGCTTCCCAGGGGTGTAGACTACGTGCAAGTCATACCTCTGTACCCTGAGCAGCAACCGTTGCACTCTGAGTGGGCAATCGTTCAGTGGCTTCTTAAACAGACTGATGAGAGGCTTATGGTCCGTTTCGGCCTCGACCGTAGCTCCGTAGATAAACTGATGAAAGCGCTCGCATGCGAAGACTATCCCAAGAAGCTCCTTCTCTATCTGCGCATAGCGAGTCTCTGCGCTTGTCATGGCTCTCGATGCATAGGCCACGGGTGACCACTTGTCGTCATGAAGTTGCAGGATCACTGCTCCCAGACCGTCCTTACTTGCATCGGATGACAGGCGTATTGGGCAATTTGAGTCATAGTACTGAAGAACTGGGTCCGTAGATACTGTAGCCTTCAGGTCGCTCCATGCCCTCTCCTGTTCTGGACCCCACTGCCATTCATTGTCATCTTTCAGCAGTGCTCGAAGCGGGGCTGATTTTTGCGAGAGTCCCGCGATCCACTTGGCCAAATATGTTACCATGCCCAAGAAGCGCTGAAGCTCTTGCTTGTTTTCTGGTTTGGGCATGTTGTTGATCGCCGCGACCTTATTGGGGTCTGGTTTGACACCATCTGTCGTTACCAGATCACCAATGAATGTGAGCTGTGTGACGCCAATTTCACATTTGCTTCTGTTCAGCTTCAGGTTCACTTGACGTGCTGTTTCAAGTGTCAGTCGTAGGCTGCGATCATGGGCCTCTTTGGTTGCTCCATAGATGATGATGTCGTCAGCGAAGGTACTGACACCATCGATTGACTCGAAGATTTGGTGAACAGTTTTATGGTAGACCTCTGGTGCTGATGATATGCCGAACGGTAGTCTCGTATATCTGAACCTACCGAACGGCGTGTTGAATGTACACAAGCGACTGCTTTTGTCGTCTAGTTGAAGCTGCCAAAATCCTTGTGATGCATCGAGTTTGGAGTAGTATGATGCACCAGCGAACTGTGACATGACTTCTTCTCGTGTGGGCATTTTGTAGTGCTCTCTTTTAATGGCACGATTGAGATCTCTCGGATCCATGCACACACGAATGTCTCCATTCTTTTTCTTGACAACGACTAGGGAATTTACCCAGTCGGTAGGCTCATCCACTCTGGTGATGACGCCAAGACTCTCCATACGTTCAAGTTCTCTCTTTAGACCATTATGGAGTGCGAATGGTACTTTGCGGCAGGCATGTACAACTGGCTGTGCTGTCTCATCAATGATGATTGTGTGCATCCCTGGCAAACAACCCAGTCCTTCGAATATGTCACCGTATTCGTGTAGCAGGTTCGCGTAGTTGTCGTTGGGGTCTTTGGGTTGCTCCTGATTCGTGACAGCACAGGCTACTTTGACAAGCCCTAACTGTTCGCAAGCTTGTCTGCCCAACAGTGCTTGTTTATCACCTGGGACGACGAAGAACAGCATTTTGTGTTTTCGTGCTGCATGGTCCACAGTCACTACACACTTGCCTTTGACGATTATCTGGCTGTGGTTGTAGGCTTTCAGTGTCTCTGTGGCTGGGTGTAGTTGTGGCTTATTTTTCAGCCGACTGAAGTCTGTCTCTGTCAAAATGTTCACCTGTGCCCCTGTATCCAATTTGACAGGTATGATTGTACCATTCATAGCGAGGGGAAATATCCAGTCATTTGCTTGTGTCTTGACTGAATCTACTGTAATGGTGTCAAGAAAAAAGTCAGTGGACTCGTCATTGTCTACTGTGTGCACTTGGCCCTGTGCGCGTTTCTTGAAGCAACACTTGGCAAAATGATTTTTGCCTCTACAGTAAGCACATGTTTCACCGTACGCTGGGCATTTTCCCGAGACATGCCAGTTGTCGCAGCGTCTACAGTGATGTTTGTCACTAGTTTGTTGCTGTTGATCATTTCTGGGCTTCCAGCGACTGGGCTTTCCTTTAGGTGCATTCTGTGGCTTAGCTGTTGCCTGGGGTTTTCTATTAGCTCCCTGCGGTTTTGGTTTTGCAGATGGATTTTTCTGCACGGCATGGACTGTTGGAGTTGTTGATTGTAGCTCCTTTGAACGCTCTTTCACAAGTTCAGCAGCCTTGCAGATTTTGACTGCTTTTTCAAGAGTTAAGTCTTCCTCTCGAAGCAGGCGTTCTCTGGTTACATTAGCGACGATGCCACATACCAGTCTATCTTTGACCAGCGAATCCTGTAGTGTGCCAAATTCACACTTTTTGCTGTGCTTTTTCAGTCTAGTGAGGTACGCGTCAATGCCTTCACCAGGTTGCTGGCAACAGTTATTGAAGTGAAATCTCTCCAGTGTCAAGTTGGTCTTGGGGGTGCAGTATTTCTCTAGTTTGGCCATTACTTTCACCAGGCGCATGTTATCCCCTTCCTGGTCGCCCTCTTCATCCCATTTGAATGTATTGTAAACGTCAAGGGCTTGCTCACCGATAACATGTAGCAGGATCGACGTTTGTTGTCTGTCGTCCTTCTTCGATGCCCCAATTGCATCAATGTATAACTGAAAACGTTGTTTGAACCTTTTCCAGTTTTCCGCCACATTACCGGTAAGTTCAAGTGCGCTTGGTGGCGGCAGTACATCCATCACTGCAAGAATAGTTTATCTATTTTGTGCACACAGTAGCCGAAAGCAAGTTACACACAGTGTAATGTTTGTACGACAGGGCCTACACTGTAGCATGCGGTATTGTACAGTACGTAATACACACGCTGAATGTACGCGTGTAATTTTCCAGAATAAGCGACAGATAGTCAGCCACTTTGCACCTATTTTCGCTGGTTTTGTAGTCACTGTATCTACTGAAATACCTGTTCAGGTAAGTCCCAAGGGTCCTTTAATACTTCTGACACCATGTGGTATTACTGACAAGGCTGGAGAGATTATATATCGGCTTCAACACGGAGTGATTTATTGACAATCGTCTGATAGTCAGGTGGCATATGGTCGGAATCGTGACCGACTGGTCCAAAGCACCAAACTTGGCACATAGATTATTATAGTCCTAGAGAAGATATTTAGAAGGGGTGACACCTGAAATTCTTTTGGGAAGGGTGCCTAATTTGCATAAATCGTTAATCCCTGCCGTGTAATATATTTATTCCCATATTTGGGTATATTTTTATTTTTTTATTTTTTGAAAAGTGTATTTTGGTGATTCTACTTGCATATTCTTACTTCAATAACATTTTGTACAACATATAAGTTACTGAATAATTAGGAGGACATAGTAAAGAACCAAAATTGCTACTATTTTACCCTAAAGTTACGCGCATTTACCTTTTCCTCAGATATCATCAACTAGTCTCGCCAAACGTGGGTATTGATGAGCTTCAAATTCACAAAGTTACTTACTGGCATAGTTACCCTAACAAAAATAACTTAGAAATCAATTGAAAATTGAAAAAAATCTTGATGTTTAGCCCAAAAGACCAAAAAAGGGGGGGAAAATGTGGTGTCCGTCAATTGGGCTAGTACGGGAAGGGTAACGTAGGGACTTGAACAAGTTCAACGAAATCCACCTAAATAAGAGATTATTGTTGTTTACAATAATTTTGTCTACGCCAAAACGTTTTCTCAACAATAATTTTGGGAATTTCCTTGAACTTGTTCCAGTGTTCCATGTTAGGCAACCCTTCACCTACTTGTTAGCCTAATTTATAGGCACCTCGTTTTTTCCCAGTTTTTGTTTTCTGGGCTAAATATCACAATGCTATCATTGTTCACATGATTTTGCATAAGGTTTTAATAGGGTAACTGTACCAGTAAGCTACTTGGTGAATTTGAAGTTCATCAGTGCTGATGTTTGGCAAGACTAATTGATGATATCTGGAGACAAGGTAAATGCGCGCAATTTTAGGGCATAATAGTAGCCATTTTTGATCGTTACTATGTCCTCATAATTATTCAGTCACTTATATGCTTTGGAAAATGTTATTTGGGTAAAGATATGTAAGTAGAATCCCCACAATACACTTTTCAAAAAAAAAAAAAATAGAAATATACCCAAATATGGGATTAAATATATTACACGACAGGGATTATCGATTTATGCAAATTAAGCACCCTTCCCAAAAGAATTTTAGGTGTCACCCCTTCTAAATATCTTTTCTAGGTCTATAAGAATCTATCTGCCAAGTTTGGTGCTTTGGACCAGTCGGTCACGATCTGGACAAAAATTAGATCTAAGCCACCTGACTATGATTGCTTTACAGGGAGGTTGCACACATAACACACGAGTACAATTGTGTACGTTGCGTACGTAACCAAGGATAGACATGAATAGACTTGTACCAGTCATGCGTTATATCACAACAACGTGATGAAATAGTCCCTTTAATAAGTGTTCATTTCTTTGCTGTAAACACAATTATCAGTCTGATTGTGTGGCCCAATCGTGCCCAATCTTTAGTGATTGTAGAAACAATTTTAATGCAAACATCGGTGTTTACCTCTCCATGCTGGGGGATTCCAAATTTCATAGATAATAGATTTCGAAATCCCTGCCAAAGCTGGTGCCCCCATCCTCTTTTTGGTTTTATTTTTTATTTGTTGCTTCTCTGTAAAAGATTCAGATAATTATCTTTTGCATCAGGTAATTTCTATAATAAATTGCAAAAATATAACAAATCCTTGAAATTTAGATTTACTGAGATGTTTCGAAAATTTAACTAAACGAAAAACATCAGTCCAGTAAATCAACGAAATAATAAAGAGCTACTAATGATACCCTTTTCTCATTAGGTTGGGCAGGATCCAAACTCTTTCCTAACTCCCTTTGTTTGCAGAGTACTATTCAGTTTCGTTTCTTTCATTAATTTGTGAACCTGAACCTTGTACCGCAGAAAACCCCAGCCGAAAAGTTTGTTGCCATGACCAGCTTGCCAAAACCAATAACAGCATAGACTATATATTTTGTTTACTCTTTATCTAAATGTAATCAAGTCTAATCAGCAATAAACACTCAAGCGCCAAACACGAATGTAAGGCAAAAGAGGTACTTCTTTCGTATTAATGCTCTCTCCCCGCGCATAATTAAAGACTTTCCTTCTTTTACTGGTTTTGTCTTTATTTTCTTAAAAGTCCTTTTGAAATTGAGATGAAAACAAATAACATAGTATAATTTAAGTATATGTTCTTTGGTTCCTGGCAAGAAAATCACGGTAAATCATCTTGTTCAAGAACAGAACCATGCGGTTAAATATCCCTTTACGAGTTCTGGCTTTTGAACATTTTGCTTATTGTAAGAATCAAGCCAAAAATGTGTTCGTTTTTTATAAGGAAAACACAAAATAATAAACAGAATCAGAAATTCATACATTTATGTAATTATGGCAAACCAAAAAGTTGACTTGCTTTTATGACCCTGGCGGCAGACTTAGAAAAGTCATCTGCGGGTCCATGTCAACAAACTTTGTGGCAGCAGAATCCTGAGAATCTGGGGTCAAATTCTCTTGGAACAATTACGATAAGTAACAAACTTGTGTAATAAACAAAACTCGTCACGTCACGGGTATATTACGTGCGTTTCCAGGACGAAAAACATGATAGCATAGCAGTTGCGAAATTTGACGGCCTTTAAACTTGTTGAACTTTGGTTGATACCCAGCAAGCATAGCCCCCCCCCCCCCATCTTTAATAGTCTAAATCGTTAAGCGGAGGATCCGGGAATCGGACGGGAGGGGGATGCTATTCTAAACACAACCCTAACAAGACATTTAGCCAGCTCTCCTGCAGTCATGGGAGCTGGGGGTCTTATCCAGAGGAAGGGGCGGGGCAGACACCCTCAGCCCCCTCCTGTTTCCACCATTCATGTCATATCATTTGCCTGACTTTGGAAAAATGGCAATGTCAACACTGTCTAAACCCTCCAGGTCTATTATTTTCAGTTAATGCTTTCTCCAATGTATAGAAATACGAAGTCGAAACCCTATGAATTATGCTATCATTTGCATATTAACTCATACCATTCACCTTTAACCTTGCGACACATCCAATAGAGATCATGAGTGACACGCCCGTGACTTTGAACCACCTGTGACTATAAAACCGAAGCCAAAAACCTCAACGGAATATTCACTTTGACTTTGATCATCAACCTGAACCAGCAGTGCTTCCATCGAAACCTCGGCACTAAAATGGCCTTTCAGACAGCCGTCCAGATGTTCTCCTACCTGCCGAGTGTCCGCGTTCTCTTGGCCTTCTTCTTGACCGTTCTCATCATCAAATGGACCCTAGAGTGGCTCTGTGGTCCCGCCAACCTTCCCCCGGGGCCTTGGGGTCTTCCTCTGCTCGGAGCCAACTTCCGTCTGGGCAGCAACCCGGGGCAGTCCCTCTTCGAGATGAGCAAGAGGTACGGCAAGATCTTCAGTCTACGCATCGGTCCTCGCTTAACGGTGGTGATCACCGATCCGGAACTCGTCCGTGAGGCCCACTGCAAGAAAGCTGAGGCGACCAGCGCACGAGACCCCTCCACGCTTGATTGGTTGGATGTGTCTGGTAAAACTTTTTAAAACCACCATGTATTTCCAATAATTCCACAGAGTTCGCCCCCTATTTTATGGTGCCGGGTTGGCGTAGTGGTACTTACCTTGCCTCCAATAAATGAGTTAGGTTTTCCCCATTTTATTTGAGGTTTTCATCACATCCCCTGAAGGTTTCTTCGGGCTTTCAAGCTATAATATTGTAAATCTGGGTGCTTTTCGCCTTTCTTTGATTGGGTCGTCACCCGAAAAAAAAAAACTAAATTCGACGGTCAGTCTTGATTCCCTTGATTGTTATTGTCTGATGCTCCAACTAGCTCAGGCTGTGTCAGTCATGTTTATAATAATAACAAAGTTACATGTGTCTTGTCCTATTCGAGTTTCGAAAAATCTGTTCTCAAAAAATTCTCCATCACGCAGGCTCAATAATAAGCTGCAGCGGCAGTGACGTCAAGCCACTTCGTCGCTTCATCCTCCGGGCTCTTCGAGACTTCGGTCTGGGCAAGAAGTCCTCGGAGAGACTGATCATGGAGGAGGCCCAGCACTTGTGCCGAGCCTTAGAGAGGACCGGTAAAGGAACCTTCTTCGATCCAAGAAACCAGATCCAGATGGCGGTGGCTAACATCATCTGCACTCTCTGCTTCGGGCGGAGGTTCGACTACGCGTCCTCGGAGTTGATGCAGCTTGTCCTCAGTCTGCAGGCCGTGTCTCACATCTCAGGCCTCAGCATCACTCGGGAGATCCCGCTCCTCTTCCTCGCACCCCGCTTCAAGGTCTTCCGAGAGGGAGGCCTGACCTACCGGAAGATCATCACTGACATCGTGGCCCAACACAAGGCAACCTTTGACCCGGATCACCACCGTGACGTCACCGACAAGTTGATTCAGGAGACTTCAAACGAGGACTCGCTGTTCTCGTTCGGAGACGATCGGATTTACCGGACATTGATTGACATGTTCGGGGCGGGGGCAGACACGACGTCCTCGGTACTACAGTTTGCCTTATGGCACATGGCGCTCAAACCTAACGTTCAGAAAAAGGTAAGATTTTTCTTCCACTTCCGTTTTCTATGTTATGTCCAACTTAACATAAGCTTAAATTGGTACATCGTCAGGATCAGACGATTCCTTATATAGCAAATGAAATATCTCAGTTATAATAACAAACTGGACAGTTGACAATGTTCAACGTTGAGGGCGCGATGTAGTGCGCCCGTAGGATTTTTTTTTTGGATCGTTTCGAGTAGATTCGAAAATTTTGATTTACATACTCGAGTAGATCTTTTTCTTTCATAATGAGGTCTGTTTTATATAGATATTTTTTAAAACTGCTTTTTTTCACACCAGGTCCGCAGTGAAATACTGACCGCAGTAGGCACCGAGCGTGCCCCCGATTTATCGGACCGGCCCCGCCTCCCGTACACCCAAGCCACGGTGAACGAGGTCCTCCGCCTGACCCACCCGGTACCCCTGAACCTACTCCACCGTACCACGGCATCCATCGAGCTGGCTGGGTATGACATACCGGAGGGCACGGAGCTCATGACCCCCATCGCCTGTATGAACATGGACCCCGGGACGTGGAAGGAACCGGAGGAGTTTGATCCGGAAAGGTTTCTGTCTAAAGACGGGAAGTCGATGGTGCTGCCACCTGGTTTTCTGCCCTTCGGCACGGGTAGGTCACTTTGAAAAAAGAAAACACAACCAACCAGCCATTATCTCCCAATAGAACGGTTCAGCACAGATGGTGATGTAGTTTTATGGAGAACTTCCCTTTCCTTGCCCTTGCCCTTTTTATCGAACTATCACTCTTTGCAAAAAAAAAATGTATAATTGGGTTTCTTTTTCCTGCTCATTTCCCGATTACACATACATTTTCACCAGTCTTATTTGTTCTGTGGGGATTCCCCTTGCTTGTACAGTAGGCCTACCACAATTTAATTCACTCCTGCTCGCAACAATGTGAAGATTGCTAGACACAATCCAACTTTTTAATTAGATATTTTTACACTTCACTACAGTTTGGCTCACTGAGTATAGATAGGCTCCTCTCTGCCAAAACCAAACCTGATAGTTCGCTGTTTGGTTTTTACTTCTCAGGTTCCCGGATGTGCCTGGGTAAAACCTTGGCCCGTAGTGAGTTGTTCCTGTTCTTTGCGACCATGATGCAGCGCTTCACCTTTGACCTTCCGCCGAAAGCGCCAGGGTCACACTCGGGCTATTTCGGTTTCTTCCTTTGGTTTCCGGACCACTTCAAAATCAGTGCCACTCCGAACTTCTAATTCTTTTTTTTTTATTTTTATTTTCAGTTATCAATTCGGGGTAACTTTTCTCACCACAGTTTCATTTTTGTGTTCATTTTCAACGTGATGACTGTACTGACATTTAAGAGGTGTCATTGTTGATTAAAAAATTGTACCAAACGCAGTCATCTTAATGATCATAATTTATGAAAATACTTGATTTATGAAAGTTAAATTAACGCGAATTGGTAAATATGGGTCTTTGGCCCTAATAAGGGCACAGCGCATGCGCAGTGATAATATATTGACCTAGATCGTCGTTTTGTTTTGTTTCTCATTTATAACTCTGTAAATTCTTTAATTTGTTGAATAATTTGTTTTCATGTCGGCAAAATATGTAAGATTATCAATATTTGGTTTTTACGTAACATTCCAATCGTGTGCCGACGCGATGCCATTGCTCTGTTTGTGTGTGCCTTAACTACTCGGGTTGCGTGAAGTTTGTGTTGGTCCAATCAACACCGTCATCAAGGTTTACTGTCAGAGAACGGTCAGACCGTCACGTCAGCTTTCTGCACTAATGACCCCAAGCGTGGGGTCAACTTCGATTAGCACGTACGTACTTTATGGGCGAGTGCTATGGTTTCAGACCAGAAAATAGACTGCCATAGACCTCAGTGATAATATTACGTACAATTCCAAAATTTATTTTAAAATACTCACAACTCTCCCAGATGTTTGAGACATATCAAATTAAAGATTATTTCATCATCTTTATGTTCAATTTTTTTCGGGGTCAACAAGTGATTTTGGGGAGAAAATTCCATCGAAAGATGATCACCCCTAAAAGTAGTCCTGAAGCACATCGCCATTTTGAAAAAGGATGCCCGCGCTCTGGTTGCAAAATAGAGCCATTTTAGGGCCTAATTCCACCCCAGTTTCACAGAAATACGAGTTGGCACTTCTTTGCACAGCTTCCACTTTTTTTTTTCTTTTTTTTTACAAACCCTCAACTTCATGGCCCTCGCAATACTCTAATACCGAAGAATTTGAGGGCATGCAGATCGTGTTTTGGCCGGCGTGGGCAATTTCGGGCCTATTTACTGCCCTGCACCCCTATGCTGAGTTTGCACTCATTAAGGGAGCCTGTCAAGTTATGACTGATAGAGGGCGGGCTAACCTCAAAGTAACCACAGACTCGAGCAGATGCAGAACAGAGTTTTATCCTTGAAGTGCCAACTCCCTGAAATATTTAATATTCAAGGAAAATGCTTACATTACTTTACTTTTAATACAAAGTATTACTTCCTTAACGACAGCAAAATTTATATCGACACAAAAAATATATATACAAGAACTATTTCGAAAAAATACAAATCGTTTCATTTTCATATTGACATCAGGAAAAAAAACTTAGACAATCGATTTGCAAATAAAGGTAGCTTATAATTAGCTTACGCGGGGTTGATCATCAGAGTAACCCAGGAGTTGACCACCGGGAATTTGGAGAAACTTACAAGAAAGCACCATCAATATTTCACGAACTAGGCTCTCATCCATGACCCCCAGCCCCCCCCCCCCCAAAAAAAAATGAGCCGGGTTCATAATTAAATAAGCCGCTCTAAAATAAATAATGTACAACATTTGCTTTTGCTGCTATTTTCAGAAATGGATACATTTTGGGGGTTATTTTATTGCAAATATTGTTACACTGAAGTTTAAGTTTTGTGTTCATAGATACTGGAAAAACTAAGAAAAACAAATACGTTCTTGTAGTCTGGTTCCCTGACCCCACCTAAAATGAAACGGAGCAATTTTTAGACATCGAGGAATTGTAAGGTCAAGGAACCAGTTCATGGGTGTGTAATCGATTGCAAACAAATGCGGACTCGCTAATTTGGGAGCAGTATTTACTAACTAAATATGATAAATTAGGAGCAGTATTTAAAAAAAACTTTCTCCCAACGCTGGTGGGCGGACTAGCGTTAGAAATTGATTTAAAAAAAAGTACACCTTTCTTGAAAATGTCAGCGCACCAGGTGCCATGATTTTACAGGATGCTTTAGACTGTCATTCACTGAAGGTCATTTCGTGATAAATTGGTAGTTTTGTTTGTTGATATTTGCAAATGTTGTATATTCCCTTTAAGGAACAGTTCAATTATACACGTAACTCTTGCTGAGTGTGTTTACTTTCTTCTCCGGATAAATATTATGTACATAATTATAACCTTGGAGATGGTATTATAAGATTCGAAGTAAAAAAATAGTATTACACTGTCTTCGAATTTCTTGTATTGGTTTATAATACAAATATGCAACTGTTACTATTACTGTTTGATTTAAACGAGTCTCGTTTGTGGGATATTATAACATACTTCAAGTCAAACCTACATTAGAAAAGCCTTGAAGATTAAAATATTAATTCTTATTATCTGTTTTGTTTTATAAAATATGTCATGCATGCAATAACTGCTTGAACAAAAAAAGTATCTCTTTGGTGACATTCATAACACACTTGAAGTCAAAACTACATTAGAAAAGCCTTGAAGATTAAAATTTTAATTCTTTTTTCCTGTTTTGTTTTATTAAACATGTCACGCAAGTGTTACAGTCTGCTTGAAAAAAATATCTCTTTGGTGATATTCACGACACACTTGAAGCCAAAACTACATTAGAAAAAAAATGAAGAAAAATATTTAATTTAGAAGGTGTTGTTTCTCAAGCACCTCTCCTTAAAACATCAATCAACGATCCTGCTCAAAGAAAATGTTTTTTTTTTCTGAACAATTAAACCTTTATTTTTCTTCATGTCCCTCATTTCAAAGAAATGCAAGCTAGTGTAACTATGTCGCTTTACTGATGGCAAGACAGAACGGCACACTTCCCCAGGGCTGAGATAAACTGCGTATTACCGAGCAACAGGCACGTTGCTCACGGTATTTAACTTTATAAGAACAATCTCGTTCCTTGAATAAACACGTTTGGCGAACTTCGTTCAAGTACCCCCTCAATGGTTGAAATGAAAAAGAGCGTCGATAGATCATTAGTATAACCATATAATATTCAGTATAAACATACAATGTGAACGCTGTACAGTATTTGTCAAATCGCCCTCTTTGGTTTGATCACAGAGTCCGTTAATGCAAAATGATATGATGTCTAGAAAAAAAGTATATATGGGCTATGAATAAGGGAATAAAATGTGTGCTTGACCGGTTTTAAACACTATGTTTAAGACCGGTTTGGAGTCTGGACGTTGATAATGACCCGAGCCGAAGGCAGGGGTCATTATCAGCGTCCAGTCTCAAAACAGGTCTAGACTTATTAATTTAATAGCTATATGAAGGAAAATAGCGGCATTTACAATAACAATAGTTTACAGTGTCTGTTTCCCTGCTAACCGGGTAAAGACATTACAGTGGTTTTGAGAGAATTGGCCGGCCATACGCCTGTGTGTGCGTTCACGTTGGGTCAAAGGACAATAATAACAATGGGTCGATGCCAAATGAGTGCACTCTCTTACATTTCCCTTTCAGTAAATTCTAAGTTAGAAAAAAATAAATACATCTTCCTATGGCAAGCAAGCTGCGGACATGATTTAAACATTGGTATATCCAAAGCTCAAATACGGTTCAGTTTGTTGTAGCGTTTATAGTCTTAAAACTACTAATTATCATATTGTCTTGTAATGCAACGACTTGCTATAAACTAAATGTATGAATAAATGCATACTTTACGACGTTCCGTTGGTGTTGTGTGTCTGATTTGAGGTGGCCTTCTTTGCAGGAAATGGTGAACCCTCAGGCGAGGCAGTATTCTCCGGAGTCCGCGAGATACTGGCGTTGTCGTGCCGCGTCAGCTTAAACATCTTGCCGAGTTTCTCCCGGCGAGTCGACCACTTGCTGCTGGTGGAGGCCGGATCGCGGAACAGTTCGTTGTCGGACTCGTCCGCGCGGTCGAAAGCGCCACACCGACACCTCAACATGAGTAGGACCCGAACGCGGAACTGCCGCAGTCGGAAGGCGTAGACGAACGGATTGATGCAGCAATTCATGAAACCTAGGATCACAGTGAAGTGGTACCACCCACCGTTAAAATCCAGCGGGCCTCCGAGGTTGAACTGGACGAACGTGGTTTGGTTGGGAGTCCAGCAGATGACGAACAGGATGAAGAGGATCAAGAGCGTCATGGTGATGTCTCGACGAACTTTCTTCTTGGCTGGTTTGAAGACGGAGCCAGCTCTCTCTGGTTTGACTTTGACCATAGTGGGAGTCCTACACGCCAGCTCCTTCCTCCGTAAGGTTCTGACGATGGAGAAGAAGCACACGCCCATGACGCAAATTGGAGTTATGAGCTCCCACAGGAACAGCAGGACACCAAAGAAAGGCTGTCCGACTTGATCCCAGGATGCAACAGTCACACAGGTACCGTTGACCACTGTGTAACCCCACAAAGGCTGACCCCACTGCATGATGGGACATAACAGCCAGATGACGACAACGAAGATCTTGGTGTTGCGTCGAGTGAAGCGTTTGGCGTAGGTCAACGGGTGCACCACGGCTATGTAACGCTCCAGCGAGATCAGCGTCAGGTTGTACGTGGAGATGGCGAAGAAGTAAAAGATGAGGAATCGAGTCCACCAGAATCGACAGAGCCACTCGCCGGTACTGCCGGTAGTCGGCAACCGGTGTCGATACACCCTGGTGATACCGAATATTATTAAGACGAAACTCGATACCAGATCGGCCACGGCTTGCGTGAAGATGAGCAAACTGACCTGGTTCCGTTTGGATTTGATCGTCTTGAACACGATGCAGGCGAAGAGGTTGCCTACCAGACCGAAGCAGCCAATGATGCAGTAGATGGCGATTCCGAATTTGTCACTGGGCGAAAGCTCGTCCCGGTCGGCGTAGACGGTCATCGAAGTTGTGGGAGTCGTCTTGGGAGTTTCTTGCATCATAGTGGTTGCGTTTTCCATCTTTGCTTGATGGTATCGATGCTGTCAGATTGGCGATCAGACTCGGTGAAGGTCCGTCTCGAAGCTCAGTGGTGTGCTCAGCTTTTCAATCCTTCGGTTGAAAATAACACAAAGCAATAATGAGTAGGCTATGGTTTTAAACAGGCGAAACATTCCCCTGTCCTTACGTGAATTCACGCCCTCGGTCGTAACGTGCTCCACGCAATGAATTCTGATTGGTTCATCACACGGTCACTGTACTCACTACTGATGACCAATGGCTGAGCAAGAAAATTACGTCACTTTTAACAATGACTTTGGGCATTATTGTCCCACCAATTTACATACAATAATCGTTAAGTAAATTTATGTAAAAACAAATTGAATAATATTGAGACAGAAACAAGGAAGCAACGCACTTCCCATGTCCTCAAGACTGCTGCACTGAACTTGAAATTGGGAAATATTGTAACTGCTACAATGATTTCAACGGTATGTTCTGTACTTTCCTGTAAGAAATGAGACCCTTCAGTGTAGCGTGTGGTATCCTGAAACCATACCTCGCCTAACAACACATAAGAGGTCAAACAGTTAGGCTGCATTTGTGTTTTAGTTCCTTCACACTGAATAAAAAGCCATCAAAACTTCGCAGTGGTTTAGTGATTCGCAATATTATTGATTAGAATACTCATCGTGCACGAGAAAACACTTGAAATGAGGAAAAAGGAAACCAAAATGGCGATATTGTTTTCCTACTTCCGTGAACTTATTTTTATTTTTTAAAGACGACTTCAGGAATGAGAAAAAGGGGAGCTTGAGGTCGTCGACCGGGGAAAAAATGACATCAATTCGGTCACAATTTTTTAATGAAAAAGAAACGATCTATTGATTGAAATCCTTGTTTCATTAACCATAATCTCAAGTTCCATGGCTCAATGGTTAAGAACCGACAGACGTCTTGTAGCGGCTGCACCGTTAATCCCCAACGCCCTCCATAGGTCGACATGTCCGTATAGCCTAGAGCCATTCAATTTAAGCTCCTCAGAATAACGTAAATCTCAAAATCTGCAGAAGAGATGGGAAATATAGTCGCTACAAAAACATGCCGATCGTTTTAGCTTTCCATTTGATTTTGAGTTCGATTTCGATTTCAAATGCTAATCGTCCAGCCATTTTCAATGACCAAAAATTAAGTTTTTTTGACTTTTTTTTCATTTGAACCCAGTTCAGTCCACTATGGCCCATAATTATGTTAAGTCATGACTGTATTCCACTCAAATTTAACTAAATCGGGAAGCTGTTTCTTAAGTGGAGGAGGAAATAAAATTAAAAAAACAACATTTTCTTATCTTTAACTACCGTGACATTTTGACACCACTTTTGATTGTCGAGGGGCGAGTTTATCTACACAAAAGCGAGTGTTTTATACTGATTAGCCTCGCGGAAACAGATGATGTAGTCTACGGATCCGGGCCTCAGATCTGACGGCTCTTCTTACCGTAAGCGAAGTCTCAACTGACCGTAGCAGGAATTCCCCCACTTTACACCGATCCGATTCTGACATTACGACACTGATTAAAGGGGAATGCATTGTGCGAAATACCACAGCGAGCATAGAGCGTACCAGTGGTGGAGAGACAGCCAGTAACCACACAAACATGGGCAAAGTGATTGGTCGATAGGTTTAATTACCGCATTTCGTGGTCTAGCAAGATATTTTTGGTTTGTGCGCATGCGTACATCTGTAATTTGAGAATTCTGGGGTCACTGAGTCAGCCAAGGAGTGCAAATGCTGCGCTTTTAGCACAGAAATGAGATCGTAATCTCAAATCGTAAGCGGGGCCATTAATGTACAGCTCCATTATTAAATTGTATCCGTTTGAGCAAGAATGTATGGAACGCCAAAGCTGCCTTTTATGGTTCATATCGCTCCATGGTCAGACTCGTCCCTCCATTCGGCCAACTCATTCAAGTCCGCGAATTCGTCACTCTTTTTTTAGCGAAATCATTATTTCATGAGCTTTATCATTCGGTTCTGTGATTTCAACATTCGGCAAAATCAGTATTTCATTCACTGTGGCGAAATCATCATTTTATTTCCGCCAAATCGTCACGTTCAAACGGCCAATTCCCCAAATCATTCGGCGAATTCATCAGCATGAATTCGCTGAATGAAATGATGAAATTGCCGAACAGAATGGTGAATTTGCACAATGAAATTGGAATTCGCACAGAAAAGAATGTGGAATTCGGAGCCAAAAAAATGATGAAATTGCCGAATGGAATGATGAAATTGCCGAATGGAATGATGAATTTGCCGAATGGAATGATGAATTTGCCGAATAGAATGATGAATTTGCCGAATAGAATGATGAATTTGCCGAATAGAATGATGAATTTGCCGAATAGAATGATGAATTTGCCGAATAGAATGATGAATTTGCCGAATAGAATGATGAATTTGCCGAATAGAATGATGAATTTGCCGAATGGGATGATGAATTTGCCGAATGGAATGATGAATTTGCCGAATGGAATGATGAATTTGCCGAATCGAATTATCAATCTGACGAATCAAATGATAGCGAGCTATCAAAGGCAGCTAACTTTGGCGTCGATCCCATCATAAGGAGGATTAGAGGATTAGGAACAGTTATGAGCATTCTTGCACGTACTTACAAATCCGTCCATTCTCTGACTGAAACTATACATCTGAAAAATTCAAAGCTTATGCAAATGATTCCCCAGGATTCCTAATTCTCCACATTTCTGTGGCGGTGTAGACCTACTCGATTTCCCCTCGACCTTACCATACAGTATTTACATGATCTTGTAGTTACCGACTGCAAACGTTAAAAGCCATTGCAAGTTTCGGTTAAGCCATAACTAGTAAGATTCTTAAATGCTGCGTGAAATGCATACGTACACTATAGTGAAATAAGGTTGTGGGCACACGATGGAAAAATATCTCTTTGTGAGAAAGCGGTGGTACCGGAAAATACTGGAAGAGTGGACATCGAAATTTCGACCACTGTGCTCAGTCACAGACCGCCATTAACACCGGAGTGTAGTCAACCTTAGCCCCATAAATGTGGCCTATTTACTGGACTGCCTCCGTAAACATAGGCCACACATCCACATGTACAAAAAAGTGTCGCACTTTGCCAAATTTTGATTTTCGCATTTAGGCTTAGTTTGTAGGGTTTTTTGCTTAAGAAGCATACTCACCCTCTTTATAGGCTAATCAGAAAGTGCTGCCTTTTTTCAGATGTATATTTTTCGTGCAATTTCCAGATTCATTTTTACACGTTTGCGTATCAAAATTTCAACATGAAATTTTACAAAAATTAGACATCTGAAAAAGGCAGCACTTTCTGATTAGCCTATAAAGAGGGTTAGTATGCTTCTAAAGCAAAAAAATCGTACAAACTAAGCCTAAATGTGAAAATCAAAATTTGGCAAAGTGCGACACGTTTTTGTACATGTGGATGTGTGGCATATGTTTACGGAGGCAGTCCAGTAAAATAGGCCACATTTATGGGGCTAAGTCAACCTAAATGTATCCGTTCTACTGTCGTTCACCTTGAGAAGCAACATGGCGATTTATGGTACAGCCACGCCGGAAACTGACTGGATTTACGAAAACTACCGAACACCCATGTGTTCTAGCGCCGGGAATGGAGAAATTCATTCCCCACTTGAAGGGCACTGCTCTGGCTTCGGTCGAGCAGTAACTCTGTTGCGTTTGTGTTATTGCTGATGGATCATTACAGTGCGAGAGGACTGCGATATTGACAGGAAGATTTCGAATGTACAGCAAGCACTAATTGGGAATAACATCACTCTACAGAAGTATGCATTGGTAAGTTTTCAGTGTTCAATTTTTCATTTCGTTAATTTGAGCTGTTAAATTTATTATCTCTATTTGTCCACGGATAGCAATGACATTTTTCGAACGGATATAAACTTGATATATCGGTTTTACAATAAAAGGGATATAAAAGTGGAAATTGCGATAAAATGAACCCAACAAATGTCTTTCCAATAAATGAAAAATATTTCAAGATCACTCCGAAAATATAGACGGAAACACATGATAATCAAGGAACACGACTCAAGAAGAAAGTTTGCCTCTAAGTTTCACTTCACATACAAACAGTTTGTAATCGACAACACTTACCCGTCTGCGAAAATTAAGCGCGACAAGCTGTCACTGCGATACTGCACGTTGTTCGAAATCCAAGAAATTTCATAACTTTAGTCCAGTTTTCAAAAACTGATTGTGACACAAAGTTGTCGATGTAAAGACAGAACTCTGGAAAGGGGACTGACACACTATACATCCTGGTTTGCACACCAAGGGTCTTATATGTGGTTTATAGCAGGAAGTACGTGGTGTACGCACTCAGGAAATGTCAGAAGGGTCTAGAGCCACAAAGTAATTTCCGCTAGGCAGTTTAATATGTTTAAAGCAAGATTGTTTGCTTTGTCCGTGAACTACTGGTGTTGCCAATGGGTGTTTGAACTGTGTAAAATGGTCCGTGTTGACTGACTGCTTCGCAACAGACCCTTTGCAGCTGACGTCACAGCTGAGGGCAGGTCTTTTTTTCTCTCTGATACGCATGAGTGGACAGTTTGTACTTTCATTTTCACTGAATTTAAACAACCAAAAAAATGCCCTCAGCAAGGGCGCACCGTGCAAGGTTGTAATTTTTATTTTATTTTTACAATTGCAAGACGGAAAATGCACCCTTAATTTTTGTCCAACTCCACGAATCTTCAAGTTTAAAGGACAATACCTGCCCGAATTCCCGCTTGAGCTTTTAGTCTGTAATCATTAAAATTAACTGTTTGTGCCGTATACATGTTGTACATAATGTTGAATGTAGCAGATTAAAACGTCCCTTTAAATGGGCTTTTCCCACTGTTATGATTACATTCGAACACCACAGGAAACACATGCAGATTCACCCGACCAGATGATTTGACAAGTAATTCCGGTTGAAGTTCTTGCTCGAGGTCACAGACCTCTCGGAAAGTGTAGCATATCGTACACGATTTGCACGTAGCAAAAATACTGGACGTAGCAGCGATCGAGGCCATTTTGACAGCAGCACAAAACCGTACAGGTTACGATGGCTAAAAGTGAAAGTTCAACGAATCTTAAAGTTAAGAAAAGCTGTAAACATGAGGAACAAAGCTAATTACTTTCTTGCTCCGAAATTTTTGAAATTACAGAAACTAATACTCCACCATAGGAAGCAAACAGAGGGATTTAATGTTTAGTGAACTGTCCTGCTCACGGACGTTTTCGAGTTTTGGTTGGTTCGGCTCGGCTCGGCTCGGCTCGGCTCGATTCGAAAGAGATCGGTACGGTTCCACTAGATTCGGTTTGGTTCGGATCACTTCGTGTTTGGTTCGGCAAACTTCATGAAATAGGAATGGTGGTTTGCATATAAATTATTCATCAGCATTCAAAATTCTTAAAAGGGATAGGCCTAGTGAATATTCACTAGCTGAAAAATACTACGCCAAATAAAATACATTAACTTTTTTTTAGTTTACATTTTCATTATTAATGCTTATCAACTGTCCTACCATTAAGAATTGCCTTTGATAACTGTGCCAGTGTGATATTTCCATCTTAACTCGATATGAGGAACACCGTGACTAGAATGGACACAAAGGGAAATCGAACAAAGCGAAGCGAAGTGATATCAGACAATAACAATGTATAACTTGAGTGACAAAGAATGAATCAAACGAACAAAAGATTCGAAATTCGATCATTGCTGCGTGCATCTCTCGGTCCAAATTGCTATCCATAGTTCGTCATTGAAGAGACCACGTGTACCACCATTCATTAACCTGTTCACGTGGATTCGCGCGATCGTTACTTGATTACATTCTAATGCTATTGAATGCGGCTCCAAATAGCCATTTTGTTTAATTTCAAATTGGTTGCATCTTTTACAATGGGGTGCGTGGATCATTAATTATCTTCTCCGCAGTTCTTCGCAGCAACGCCAGTACAAAGTACAATTGATTTAATTTGTGGTTTGTTTTAAATCCTGTCCACGAAAAGTGAAAATTGCAGATATTGTATCCCACATCTCATTGTAGACCTAACGACTACAGTTCGCCGAGATATTTTGTGATTTTGTGAACTGTTTTGTGTTGTGGTTTGTTTTTAGGAGGAGATGTCGTGTTTTCTTTTCCATGCGTTTCCAAAACATATTATGAAAGTCAGTTGAGTGTTAGACTGTTAGTTCTTATTTCAAATTTACGATTTCATTCCAAACGTATGTAGGTATAAAGACACCTGGCGTGGCGTTGTGAACGAGATCTCGGTTGCGACCGCTAGATGATGATGAAGTTGTTCGTTTGCTTTTATGCAGAATTATTTTCCCCGAAACAGAAATGAAAGATTACACAAACAGAACGAGTACCGTGAGTCACTATTTATCATGTTACCCACAGATACCAATCAACTATGTAAATACGCATAACAAACGGATCATGCATTTTATGTTTTTATGTAAATAATGACATGGTGTACTATCAACAGTCGAGCTCCGCATGTTGGATGTACTGCATTGCAGGCGGTATTGTACGCGGTACGCGGTAGGCCTACTTTATACTTCATACTTCATGTACTTGTGTTGAACTTTTGGCTGGTACACATAGGCTTTTGTAATGGCGGCGTTCAGGTACATGTACATTGCTTCGCAGAACTAAACTGACCTGATCGAAACTGTTTTCGTTAGAGTGTTTACACCTCATAGGGCTCGGTTCAGGACCCACGGTGAATGCCTAGTCATCGCAAAGCCTTTGTTGCCAAAAATATGAATGGATTAGTCCCTGAAAAAAAATATAGGCCTATTCTATTTTTGTGTTGCGCTTCACCTCAGTACAAAAGTAGGTCACTTCGAATTGTGTTTTCTTTTTACGCTTATCAGGCTAAATTCAAGACGCAAAATGTCGGCCAAAACGAAAGTCAAATTTTTAATTATTTAATATTTACAGAAAAACAGCTGTTGAGATCGTTCTTTTTTTCTCAATTTCGTTAGTGGATTTGATTTGATTTGAATTGATTTAGTTCCAATCATCACAATAATTGTAAAAAAAAAAATGAACAATTAAATTGAACAGACTATACAAGTGAATGATGGAGTCTGGCAGAAAACCAAGGCCTACACTTGGCCGAACCCCGTGAATATACCGTTGAGCTTAGGTTTATCAACACCAAAAATATCTAAACTGAAATAGATAGCTTTTAGACTTAACAACAACAAATGGTTACATAAATAACAGTAATAATAGAACTAAATATTAAACATTAAATAAAGATAAGTATAAAGATGAAAGATTAGGTAAAGAGTGAAGATTTGGATATGTATATTTTACATATAAAAGCTTCCTGAGAAATTAATACTGATTTAATTAGAATTCTTCAAGAGATATTTCTTGACGTATTTTTAAAAACTACAAATTGACCTAAGCATGCACATTTAAATCGTCTCTCTTTTGTTATTGAAAGAGAATTGGATATAAGTAACCTCTAAATGAAAGGGCGTTTTGGTGCAAACGTGCAGCCAGTTTAAAGGTCGTGAAGACGACAAATCGCCGGAAGAAAAAAATATAACTTTTGACAACAAAATGTAGGTTAATGGAGAAATCGAAATGGCACTGAGCAAATCACGGCTTGATGGACGATATACATAATTATGTCCAGGTCTCGCTTAATATACCAAGCTTTTACATTATACAAGGATTTCTAAATGCCGTCAACTCACCGTGAATGATTGCAATCTGCCGGCAGTTGATTGTCTGCTCGTCAACGAGACAGGAGTCCGCACGGAAGAAAATAAAACCGAAGAATGAGATGGGATGAGGAATAACATGCATGAATTGCAGTGAACGTTGTTAACGTATATACCGGTGGATGTGACTTGAATCCTGGTCGGGGAATCATCACATGACTGAGTTCCTGCTCTGTCAGTGCGCAGTCATTTATAATGTCTCGTCAAACGCCAGTGCTTTTTATCGCCAACGTTATCACATAGACAGAGCCATTAGTTTTGGCTTCATAAAGTTAAGAACTAGTCAAAACGTGGCTGATTCTATCAGTGTGCTCAGTCATAATAATTCACGAATCCCCCTTTCTGCGTTTGGTTCCAAAGGTCGGGTACTTTATGAGAAGTCAGCCGTTTAGGCCTACATGTAATTTGTTTTTTTCTTTCCTCGTTTTACAGTATGGAGCGCAAAATAGGCATATAGTTTTTGCCTGTAAGCCTACTTGTTGAATTGAAAATTCATCAGTATTTTTTTCCAGCGGCAAATGGCCTTTGCAAACTGGTTAGGTTGGGATTTTTTTAATGTGACTGGTGCGCTTTTTGTCTCATCGGTGAATTTTTCTGATTATAAAGTATGTATTTATTTACAGTATTTTTGTGTGAAATATAATAATCAAACTTTATTAAAACAAAGATTGAAACAACGTTTCAAGCCTAGGCTATTTCTGTAGGCTATGAGCAGGGCATTACAAGGCTGACAATACAATACATTCAAGACTAGACAAGGACAAAATACGAACAATGAGAAACAGTAAAATAAAACGGTTTCGAAACAGTTAAAAATGGTAAAAACATGCGATGAACAAAATTACGTTGAGTCATAAGAACAACTCTGCAGATTAAGACGTCGAACATACTTTAAAAGATTTACATGATGAAAGGCAGTTTTTGCCAAGTTGATTCTTTCCTGGAATTGAAGATGGCATAAGAGGCTAAAATGGCTACTTTGGATATAGGTATATGTCTAAAATGAGCTGCAGTTTTGGCCGATCTATTGACAGCTTTTAGCAAAGCACCAATGCAGTTGTTATTGTCTTTAGTTATCAGTCCACGGTAGCCTACTTCAAAGCAGATTGGTTTACAGTCGTACCCCCTCTCCTCAATACCAGCTGCAAGTGGAGCATAGATCTCTTTGATTTGCTGGGGGATGTCAAAACGTAGCAGGAGTGACCGAGAACACTTTGGATGTCTAGTTTGTATGTTACTCTCCTGACTACAGGGGTGGAAAATAAAACGATTTTTCTAACCAGATGGGGGAAAAAAATACAACAGAAGGGACGGAATCAACTTTGGCTTCCCATAGGCCTATTCAGCAGAGCGTACCTCGAACTAATAAACGAAGGTGTCCTCTGACATCACAATAATATGTTAAAGGGAAAATACAACATTTGCAAACATCAAAAAATAAAACTACCAAATCATTTTGAAATACCTTGCTGGACTGTTAGTGAATGACAGTGTAAAGCATCCTGTAAAATCATGGCACCTGGTATACTGTCATTTTCAAGAAAAGTAGTATTTTTGTATCAATTTCCAACGCTGGTCGGCCGATCAGCGTTGGAAAAACTGGCTTTGTTTCAAATACTGGCCCCAATTGACCATCGAACTTGTTTGCAATCGATTACACACCTATGAACGGGTACAAGCCAGCTAGACTGGTTCCCTGACCTTACAATTCCCCAATGTATGTAAACTGCTCTGTTTCTTCTTATATGGAGTCAGGGAACCAGACTACAGAAAAATGATTGTTTTTCTTGGTTTTTATAGTACCGGCACAAACAGTCCTGGAGTTCGATAGTTCTGCTGGTACCGTTGGTAAATATAATAATTCATAGATTCAAAACTGCTAAGCTTATCGTCTTAATATAATTGTCAGATAATATTCATGTCTCTTTTCTTAATGCCTTAGGATTATTATTCATGTTTATATAAACGCATCACTTGATATCCGGGGAATTTATACACGAAAGCCTGAACGTTAACAATTCGTTTGTATCCAAATGTATTCCCCTATACCTATGGTACGAGCTTCCTCTGAAAGCAGCCTACGGTGAAAAGTCATTGCTTTTTTATATAAACAGATCTTGGTGACTGGAAAATAAAACTTTTGAAGTAAAAAACGAAATATGTTTTCAAACTATGAAGTTAAATGTACGGTAACCTTCCGAGTTGAGCACTAAGTCCGAAATTTCGGACTTAATGAGGCGTCAGACTTATGAAGCGTCGGACTTATGAGGCGTGCATGACATATATTTATTCCACCTCATATGTCCCACGCCTCATAAGTCCGACGCCTCATAGCTCCGACGCCTCATAAGTCCGAAACAGCGTTTGTCCATTGTCGGACTTATGAGGTGTCGGACCTATGAGGCGTCGGACTTATGATACGGCCCCAGCTAAGCGACGGCAATCTACGACACCCACCCCGACCCAACAACGACTGCTAATTTAAACTGTCTCGTAGATTGGCGCTTTCATTTTCAAAATATTAGTTCTTGAGACTTAGACTTAACTTAAATAGAATGAGCAGTTATGTGTCAGTCATCAGATGACAAATCAATCGGCAAAGGCAAATTTAAACTAACGACTAAAGATTGTCCCCAAATATTACGTTTGCACGGTTTTACCGAAACATGTAATGTGTTGAAAATCAAAAAAGTAACAACATTGTTTTTGCGAAGTTCCAGTTATACCAATACATTTCTTACCTGTCTCAGATCCAGGCAGACCAAGGCGCTTTGCTTTCCACACCCGATGCCGGTTGATACAGATTTCAAACTGTCACACTTATTTAATAAACTAGAAATTCTGCGAACACATATTCAGAAATACACCCCGAAGATTGATCGTTGATTCCAGCTGCGAAGAAAGGCGCGGCACTATGGTGTTGATTATTAATGTTGCACTCATGTCCAAACGACTGTGAAATGTTGCATCTAACAAAACCGCCGGACTGACTTGCGTATGGTACATGTATTCCCAACACAGGGACTTTGCCACATTGTATTTCTTTTTTTTTCAGCGCGGACTATATTCTGCTCACTAATGATATTATACTCATTATGTCCAATCCTTGACTTTCCCTGGCCAATAACAATGACGCACACAGACGAGGAAGCATTGTTTGTGTATTGTCGTAAGTAGTCTGCGACAGCGTGGCCGGAAACGTAGGCATATGAACATCGCAGACAACGCCTCAGGACGCAGACTCGTCCATGGCGTTCGTATAGGATTATGACGCCGTCGGCGCCGCCCCACGATCGAAGATGATTTGCGGCACGCAGTGCGGCCTTTCTGCAAATCTTCGGGGAAATTATATTGCATTATTTGCTGCAGAATGGAGTCGAAGGGCGTTTACAATGAGATTTTAGGAGCAGGACAAAAAGGAAAGAAAAGCAAGCCGAGATCGAAAGAAGTGGCACAATACGTCATAATAGAACTTTATTCATGCATCGAGAAACGGCTATTGTTATTATTCGGGCACTGTTACCGCTACGGTAAATATTTTGAAGAAAACAAATAATGTACATTTGGTTGCAAGTACATGGACATTTTACTATGTATTTTGGTAGTTGAAACAAAGGCTATTCTTATACAATTCAACCGACAAGTTTTGTATGAGTTTCGGCTTTAATTCTTGGTGATTTACAACGAATTTGAGTGAAAATTGATTCGCAAACTCGTACGCTATATAAACCTCTTTGTTTTAAATGCACCCAACACCGGGGGTCAGTTCTAAAAAGCGCAATTTTGTAGTAGGCTCTATAAATTTTATTTTATTTTTGGCGGAAAGAAAAAGATTCATCTTGACTTTCCATATCGTAGATGAGACATCGCGCGGTCTTGAAAAAAAAATGTTCGCACACGACGTGACGTACAGGACGTGCAATAGGGCGCGCAGCAAATAATTACGCGCGCATTACGCTCTGAATAATCAATCATTGTCGTTTTCGTAATCTACACGGCCAGGGGTTAGTGAGAAACGCGCACGCAGCCCACAGAGTCGAGGCTTTATACTTTAAGGATCACTTTGATCTTACTTCTCCATTATGCAGCTGCACTTTCAGAGGGATCAAGCTAGCATTAACGTGGGTGGATGTGGCCAGTTATGTTGGTGAAGAATACAGGGAGCATGGAAATCGGAAGACTTGGAGAACACGTTCCATTTCGATTAGATGTACAGGGCTTGCCGGTCGGCTTGTTTGCATTGATTAATCACCTGAAACTTGATCGTTCCCTTGCGGGATTCTGTCGCGTGTTGCCGGCCGCGAGGGACCGCAACCGACACGAACAACGGTGGGTCGTATGAGCAATTCATTCGCACGAGCTCACGTTCCAGGAATTACATTAATTTCTGCCCATTAGTAGCGAGATTAACACTCCCAGAAAGTGTGTAAGCCGTGTAAACATAATTGCAGACACTCAGAGAAAGTAGTCCGTTTGTAGGGGTGACATTAATCATTATCAATTTGATCAAGACAGTGACAGCAACTGTTTGGGGCTCAGTAGGTCAACTCAGTCGTTTTCGATAATTAAACTTTTACGTCATTTGGGTAAAAATTACAGTTACTAACTCACTAACTGTCTTTAAGCAAAATTATTCACTAACTTGGATGGAGCTGACTAACTGGGATATAATTTTTAAAAGTTATAATTATGTGTGCGGTTTCATTGGCTGAGCTTAATAAAGTGGTGGAATGAAGTTGGATCCGTGATGTCGATTGGTAGATCTACTCTATTTTCTAAACGACATTTCGGCAAAATCCTCCCCTTTCGCCAGTTTCTCTCTCAGAAGCCTTTTCAAAAGAATCTCCAGAGCGGACATATTTATCGCTTCCTCATCCTTCACCGTGAGAGGGGGCTTTTTAACTTCAGGAGGAACCGCGCCCTCTGTTGACGGGGCTGCATGATATCTGTTGGCCATCAGCCTCGAGATCAGATCCTTCGCTGGGGGCGCTCCGTCATCTCCATGGGAACCCATCGCCATAGATGAATCGTCTGGATGACCTTCACGATCTGTCTGCGTGAGGTATCTCACCGGACTGGATTCCAATCCGATGAATCGCTTCACGGGAACCTCATCACCTTCTTGACGAAGTAACCTCACTGGCAAGGTCTCATCCACCGAACCTCGTAGAAGCTTAGATACCATAGATGCGGCTGAATCGAGACTAGCAGCTGACATCATAGGGTCCCTCCATTCAGGACGGCGGAGGGGTGGTTCTGGCCGCCGGTCGGAGAGTGAGGTGCTGATGAACCTCTTGGATCGATGGAGGGAGTTGTGAGGTTCTGAGTCCCGTCTTGAAGCGGCGAACCTCATCGAGGCGTGGGTGATATCGGGGAGAGGCTTCGGGGATACGCCCGAAATAAGGAGGCTCAGCAAAACAAGAAGTGTAGCCAGCATTGTGTCAAATGAATCTGGATTGAAAAAAAAGAGACAATCCGGTGATGCAATTACTAAATGCAGGTGGAGAACAATGATTCCAAATAATTTTGAAGAGACCAAGCAAAATAGATTACAAAATAGGTTTGACTCCTTTACTCATGTTACATTGCGTGTCATCTTAAACCGTTGAAATTCGAAATACCCAAATAGGTTATAAACGTTTTGTAAAATATCCAACACATTCAAATCTTGTTAAACATACCTTTCAGCAAGCGGGAACGATGTAAGGTATGGGAGCCAACTTGAACAAAACTGCCCTTTTAGCAACGATGCAGTGGCTTTTTTTGCCTCGACGGATAGTGGACCATTGCAAATTGGAAATACGTCATACTTCACTGGACCAATCACAATCCTTACACCTGTTCCACTGACCAATAACAATACCGGAAATGGTACATACAACCTCTTACCAAAAACAATCATAAACTGCAGCGGCTGCGCAAATAAGACTTGATTGAACCTGATGATTTTCAGGCGGTCAGTTGGCAGTTAATTAAATTATCGATTAATTGAATAAGTAACAGGTGTCATTCCTTTGTTGAAGGTATACACCATACTTTTCATATTCCTGATAAGACTCTAGGAAGTCAAGGAATACATATGGAACCAGCTACTTTTCTAAAATATTCGTTTATTAATTTGCATTCATTTTAAAATTTACAGCTGATAATATTATTGGCCTGTACACCACGCAAGAAGTATTAAAAAAATACCCCGGCCTTAGAATGCCCGTCTGTATATGAAGGCACGAGTTTGGTTTACAAAATATCATTATTGTTAAAAAAAATTGATAATTTTGAAGTTAACATGGGTTTTTTTTGTTAATGTTTTTCTCCGCTATTTTCTGATCAGCATGTTTTTTAGAGCAAAGATGATATGTTTAAATACATGTAACAATTAGATACAAGAATCCTTGTTTTTTTTTAACAATAATAACAAAAAAAAAAATTTGACTGTTCACTAATCAATGGTCGGGTGGAAAATCCCGTCAATTTGCAAGCAGAATGCGAGCTGTTAAATAATACAATGTGCAACGCTTTCAGTAAGAATCAAAATTATAAATTCAAAACAAATTTGGCCTGCAATTATTTAAGCGTTCATTGCATTGCACTGGAAAGTCTATTTACATTTCGACACCTTCATCAAGATTAGAGAGAAAATTCATAAGTGATACAAAAAGTGACCAGGCATGATGCATGCAATTTACATGAATTAGAACAATCGAGACAAATCTCCATCAGGCGACGATAAAGGTCAGAGGTCAGCAAGTATTGGATTTTCGAACGCTTGGTGGCGCCTTTGTTGATATGTGTGAATCAAGGCAGCGACCAGGCGTTCAAGTAAGTTTCCAATTTTATTTACGGAAAAACTTTGTTACAAAATTATAAGAATGTTTAAGCAGGATTGCAGCATTCACTCTTTGTATCATAGCCATGCAATTACGATTGAAGGCTTAGTTTATTATGGCCAACATGACCAGTAATATCTCACTTTTTGGTTTAGGAAAGTTCAACCATAGTCGACTGATATCTGAAACCGTGTACACGTCACATGGTGACTTTATGCTTGCGTGACATGTAAAACGATTTATTAGACAATGGGGTTGCTGCAGTCGCCTATAATGGAGGGGTATCAATGCTGCTATAGGGCCAGCTAATGTCGGTTTTTGGACGGGCATTGGCTAGCTTCGATTGTCGACGATAATTGGGGAATAGTTTAATCCGGATTATTAATGTTTGACCACAAGAAGTAGGCGCATATACCCATGGTCTATTTGAAACGTGGATTACCGGGCATGCATTATGAACATGTTTTAAATAGGTCTGCAAGAATCGGTCAAATAGCGGACGAGCGTTTGGGTCTTCAGTGCCTCACTGTCTTCCACGGATACTGAGCCTGTTTGAACTCCGCCAGAGAATGCTGCGCTCGATCACGCCGTTTTTTTTTACTCGACGGGATATCTTCTAACTGTAGCGTATGCCTAGCGCCCTCTCCGGACGCAAAGAGAATGCAGTTTGATTGTATTTTGATTGAAACACGGGTTAAATTTATGCGATACTTAACTATTCAAGACTTGTGAATGGACGATTTAAAACATTTTTTTTTTCAGACGTTTGTTTCCGGAACATATGTCATACGTCTTGAGTTTGTTCTCCTGGTTTCCTTCAAACGCCTCCGTTGGTAACCGTCAGGTCAATCATGTGCAGGCCGTTGAAGTATGTCACGTGATGCCCATCTGAAGGAATACTCCGCTTCCGAAGAACTGTTTTTTAGAAACAAACACAATTTTCGGTATCATCTTAAATAATTATTGTATATATATTGTCAGGTGAAACTTCAAAAGCCAGTTACATGCTGGTTTAACTAACTGCAACTGTTTTATTACTTAGTTAATTAACTTTTCCACTACAGTTCAGCTGGTTAAATTTGCTAACTCAGTTAACACCTTACCCGGTGTTCCCGGCTTGACGAGCCAGTATGTCGGCAGCTCGTGGCATAAGAGCTCAGTCCCTAAGCCCAGGGAGGAAATGTCGGCAATAGGGGGCGTCTGAACCTCCATGGTCTCCTGAATGGTGTCAATATCCAGCGCAAAATCACCTCTCTGAAAAAAGAAAATGGGTAGAAAATGAACATTAATTTTATTCCAACACTAGTCAAACGTGAAGAAGCCATGCACCACTGACACCAGCAAGAACAATCTTGCAGTGGTTACTGAACCATGTAATACGAAAGTAACAATGAAGTACAATAAACTACTTTGAGTGACATTATTATACAAACCTAGATCAATGAAACAAAATCAGATTATGTTAACATTTTGAGTATCTTCGTTTGGTGTCTTTCTTTCTTTTTTGTCTGTGTCCACTCGCGGCTAAGATATTTAACATAATGTGGACGTCGTTCTGTATTTAGGCAAGTAAACGCCAAATGATATAAGTAAATGACGTCATCATACATCAAATATAATTGTTCGGAAACTATCACTTGTTGCCTTTGCGTGTTTACTTTAAAAGTTTCCGTAACAACAGCTACAATGGCGGTTCAGCTTTCATATAACTCTTTATGCAATAATTGCGAATTGTCACTATGGTGCCTGAGTATGGACTTTTGTTCTAACAAACCTTGTATCTGATGAATGCCTCCAGCAGATACCTGGGCGGCACAACTTGTGTTGTGTTCAGCTTCATGACGAAACATATCCCCTCCAATCGATCCAGATACACTGTGACCTCCTGCCATTCAGAAAAGAACATCATGCAGCCATGATTAACCCAATTAGTACTGACTCTTTGAAGCACACAACCCTCACGAGGGTGGGGGGTAGTAAAGATAGTCCCAGAGCGAACAAAATACTACATTGAATTAAATCAGAATGGCTATTCACTGGAAGTCTTTTCATACTGGAGTTAGCCCATTCATTGGTGTCACCGGGTACTTCTATACAATAGCACTGCCCGGGTCACAATTGACAGTCAGTCAGTCAGTCGGTAAGCCGGTCTATGAGTCAGTCAGCGAGTCGGTCCGCTACAAAATATTTAGTTGAATTTAATATTAACGCGTGAAAAAGTAACTGACTGAGACTGAGATGTCAGGCAAACTCCTAAAAAACTCGGTTAAATTTGATGAGATAACAATCATTATAAAACTTGCAACCAAGCCACAGCTATAAATTTAGCAGGAGTCATCTTTTTGGGTTTTTTCCCCATGTTTTTGTTTACAATGATGTGTTTACGTAAGAGTCCAACAGCCAATAAAGGAGAAGACGGCGATTTAGGGAGTGGTTCGAAAGCGCCCTCTACTGTCATCGTTATGCCGACATCTTCAAACGGGAAACTGCGTGTATGTTTCAGTTCCTTTGCCAAAACATGTTTTCAATTACTGCTCGGCGCAGTTGTGCTACAAGCAACTCGTATCCGTGCGATGTAGTAGCACATAGAACAGATCATGTAGAGGGCTAGCGCCGTGGAATCAGACGGCGTTGTACATGGATACGCCCATTCTGTCAGGCCGTGACCACCTCCTGGTCCATCCGTTCTGATCCCTGGGGGAACCTAGCCCCTACCCTGCCAAGACATTGGGTTTGTTTTTCTCCGAATTGGTCTCGGAGGTGCTTTCGCAATACGAGTTACGCACTATGTGCAATTTCTGACAAAACCAGCGTTGAATTATTTGTATCTTCAAACTTTGGCAGCCATCTTGAAATTCCGTATCACTCACTTAAATCATGGTTGAACTGTCGTTTTGAATAAGCCATAGTGTGGACGAATGAGGGCGCTATAATCAAAGCTATTTTAGTCCTGTGAACTAACAGTGGATTGGAAATTGTATGTTTTATGAAGCAGTTAAAAGTGTAGTTATTTAATTATAGCAACATGTAAACTAAAATTAATAATTTTGGATTATACAATGTTTGTGCACCCCGCAAAAAGCGCCCTCTTTCGCGCAAAATTAGGGCCTATTGTTATTGAAAACATTGGTTATTTCCCCGGCATATTCTTACATTGTAAAAGTCGTGCATGATAGTGGCTGGGTGGTTGGCGTTGATCTCCGGGATGTCAAAGGTCTCTGTCATAGTCTCCTTGTCAGCCGCCATGTGCTGCTTGTAACCGTATGGCTGACGTTCGTCGGGAAGAATCGGCAACTCGCATTCGCCAACACTGAAGCTATCCTGCGAATAAAATACACAAGACTTAATAAACTGTTATCCATGCAGTATCAAGTTCAGTGTCGATTGTTTTAACGAATAATTATTAAGACTTTTATTTGACTGGTACTGTGATTGATTTGGGATTGGTTTGTGATGGACTGATGGACTAGTGATTGACTAGTGATTGATTTGTGATTGGCTTGTGATTGGCTTATGATTGATTTGTGATGAACTTGATATTCACTTATGATTGGCTTGTGATTGGCTTGTGATTGGCTTATGATTGACCGTTGATTGACTTGTGATTGATTTGTGATCGGCCTGTTATTGACTTGTGATTGACTTGTGATTTCATGACTTGTGATTGACTTGTGATTGGCTTGTGATTTGCTTGTGTTTGACTTGTGATTGGCTTGTGATTGACTTGTGATTGATTTGTGATTGACCTGTGATTGACTTGTGATTGACTTGTGATTGGCTTGTGATTGACTTGTGATTGGCTAGTGATTGGCTTATTATTGACTGCTTATTGATTGATTTGTGCTTAACTTGATATTTACTTGTGATTATCTTGTGATTGGCCGCTGATTGACCGGTAATTGTCCTGTGATTGATTTGTGTTCGACTTGTCATTGTTTGTGATTGACTTGTGATTGACCGGGGATTGACCGGAGATTGACTTGTGATTGATTTATGATTGACTAGATTAACTCTCCAAACCCCCTGTAAAGATGACAAGTCTCAGAACAAAAGACACTTCTACGGGCGCTGTTACACTTGTTCATGTCAGAATCCTTTACCGTCCACTCGGCAAACTTATTTCACTTCTCTTTCTGCTCCCAATAAACAAAGCTAAGGTATTGATTAAAAAAAGAACGAAAACCGGTTAAGGAGGTTTATTAAGCTGTCAATGCGCCAGTGCTAAATACCCACTTGACTTTGAAGTTAGGTTAGGACAAACTGCGTAACTCAAATGTATGATACAATTCCAAGATGGCGGCGACTGCAGTGGCTGTATCATAACACACGCACTCCTCTTCTAAGTCCATATAGTACGGGGTCAACCCTACGCCGGAAAAGCTATCACTTCATGGTTTGAATACCAGTCGAAAGGGAATCGACAGAAATGAATCACTCAGCGGTGAATAGTCACCACTTTGCAACTTGTGTTTCTGTAACATGGCCCTGTCCTTCGTGCGGAACTTGGTAATACTGACTCGTATGTCACGATCGAGTAAACTTAACATTCACCCGAACAAGATACGTCAGCAGTAATGGAATTTGACAATTTCATCTGCAAAACTGGAGGGCTACAGAAGCAACTTCAGACATTAACACATTGAATGCTATACCATAAACCCAATGTGCTCAGGCTGTAAAAAAGGAGACTTTATTTGTTATGTTATTGCTTAAGATTATCCGTAGTTGGAAATCCATCAGACCTACTCTTTGGGGCTTCAGAGTTACTTGTGTTACCAAAGTAAAAGGTTAACCTGATTAGGGTTTGGTGCCTTGCTTCTAAATCCATATTTTCAAAAGGAAACGCTGATTAACAGCAAGTCCCCGAACTCCTCGAAGACTTTCCCGCGCTTTTTTATGTCCACGCTACTCCGAGTCGGGCAGCGCACTATACACTCTATTTTTACAAGCCATGTTTGCATGCTTTTCAAAAGTCGTTCTCACTGGCCTCCTTTTTCTTGCCGGAATTTTACCCCCGGCCACGTGATTCATTCACAACATGGCGGAAGACCGTTTTTGGCGCGAACTTGCCACACCGCAATTATCACACGCGCATTGCGCGGAATTCAGTTTAAGTATTATTTTTAACCGAACAAGCTCTGTGGGCTTATGATATTTTCTCAAGGACGGCAGAAGCATTTATAAACGGTTGAGGAGTCTTCAAGCCTGCGTCTTCCTCCCTTGGGGGTTGGGCTAATCTTATGCAAGGGGCGATAAGATTACAAGTTGGCTAAACTTGCCATAGAAGTCTCCTAGTGCTTGGCTACATGAGCTTAGCCCCGCGTAGGACGAGACGGGGGTATGGAAAGTCTTTTTTAAGGAGAGAGCTGAGCTTCCTTGAGCAAGAGAGGAACAGGAAATTAGCTGACAGGAGTAAATCTTCAAAATCCGTGCCCTTAATGAAATCAGTGCCCGCTTGGCACCGAGCCACTTTTCACAACTGGGCTACTACTACGATATAGACTTGATTCCAGGCTGATTCCAGTCCAACGCAAAACCAATGCAGATTGGTGTTTGCCAATCGTTACTTTCAAATGCACTCACGCCTTCAACGACAACCGCCCATGTTGGTTACGCCCCTGTGGCCGTGTCTCAAGCTTTTTGGAATCGTCTCTGTGCATGATCAATGAGAGTCGTTACCACTAACAGACTCGAAACGCGTCTAGATGTACATGCAGCCCGGGTACAGGGACAGATAGCCCTGTCACTAATCATTTCCTGATTGGTCAGCTGCCTGCCCATGCACCTGTTTCCAAAATGTCAAAGGTCATCTTTTGATTGGCCTGGATGTACGAAGGAGGAGGTGTTTAACGTAAATGATAGCGCTTTCCCGCTTCCCATGGGCACAGTGTGTACTGTGCACTACTGAAACCACCAACAGTTGAGATGCACTAAATCCTTGTTTTCCGTAAACCCAAACTTTCACTGAAAGCCTGAACTTCCGGATCTCATTACCATCCACTCAAAAAAAGATAAAGTAAAACGAAGGTTTATTTAAAGTTCAAGCAAGGTCTTCAAAGTGGAACGCCCTTGTGTCCGACATTCTATTTTTAAAAATCCTCAAAACCGTGCTAAAGTGTGTTGTGGCAAGAAAAAAAATCTATCGCTTATTGGCCTAATGTTTTTACCAATTCAATTCATGACGGAGATCAAATTTAACCATCTTTTTTTTCTGATGCCAAATTATAGTATGGACGTATATTGGATGCAAGTAATTATGGTATTACATAACCCATTATTTCTTTCAATAAAGCTTGCTGGTATTCAAATTCCTGTTGACGTACCCTTAAGGAGACATTTTCGTCATAAGTAGTTATACCTTAGGGAGACAACGGACATTATAAGGAGACATTTCAACGTCTCCCTAATGTCACAACTCCTAGTTAGAGGCACAATTGTATCGTCGCCAATAGGCTAGATCGATTCGTGGTTCAAAACGTAGATATACCTGAATTTGTACAGGTAAAAATTGGGGTTAGGGGTCATTAAAGTTGGAATAATTTTGTGCACGTTCTTATATTCCCCGTAATAAAAATACTTGCTGGTATTTAAACATTTGTGGAAGTAAGTTGAGCTACGGCAACTCTGGAATTAAGACTACCAAAAACCTCCCTGTCTTTACTATGAATAGCAGATTTTACAACAAATAAAGAGAAAATGCGTAAAAGCCGCAAAGGAAATTATGTGGGTGTATTCCGAGCTCTGAATGGGAAGTTTTGAAACCTCAAAGGAAACACTAATTCAGTTTATATTATTATAACGGTGTGCAAACTGAACCATTTTTTCGGATGTGAATTTTTAACAATCTCTGTTGCCGTAAAATGTTACCCGAATTGCCACTTTGGGACTTTGGTCAGTGAGGATGCTTGAAATAAAATTCTGCACTTAACTGGTAACTGACCTCGACTTTATCGCTCAAACAATACCGGCTCAAGATCAAAGCTTTGATTTCGTGTCGATTTCTTTATCTGTAGTTCAAATATTAGCCAGATTTATCGAGTCCATTACAGGCGGAATTGACAACAGAAATTATCTTGAATTGCACTTGAAAGTTTAACTTTAAGTCAAAATTCGACATGTCGCTTCTTGTTTTATTTTCTCCCCAAATACATGTATTCTCATTTTAATTCTGTCGGGCGTTGTAAAATAAATCCTCTCAAAACGTTTGTCATTTTTAATTAAAGGTAGTTACAACATTTGCTTTTGTTGTAATTTTCAAAAATGGATGGATATGGGGGTTAGTATTTATAGCAAAAATTGTTACACTGACTCGTATGAAGTTTTGTGTTCATAGATGCTGGAATACGAAGGAAAAAAAATGATGTTCCTGTACTCTGGTTCCCTGGCCCAACTTCAAACGAAACGGGGCAATTTATAGACGTCGGTAAATTGTCAGGTCAGGGAACCAGACTAGCTGGCTTGCGAGTCCGTTCACGTATGTAAACCGATTGCAAGCAAAATGTGGACTAATTAAAATTGGAGGCAGTATTTGAAAAAGTCAGGGTTTTTTTCAAACGATGGTCGGCTGACCACCGTTGAAAATGATACAAAAAATTCACTTTTCTTGAAAATGATAGCAAACCAGGTGCCATGATTTCACAGGCCACTTGAGAACATTATTCACTTACAGTCAAGTAATTAGGTAATTCCTATTATTTGTTTAATGTTTCCAAATGTTGTATATTACCTTAACGGTCGCCAGAACTCAAACTCATTGAATTAGCATGTAAAGGGGAACCTACCTCTATTGACACCGGCCTCGCAGCGGAGTAGAGAAGCACGAACAAACCAACCGAGGCAACAATGGAGAATATTAGACAGGCACTCAGGCCGCAGCTCCAGCAGCGGGTCTGGTGGTGGTTCGGCGTAACTTTTGGATGGGAGGACTTGGTCAACTTTAGGTCTTCGTCTTTACACTACAAATTAACGAAACAAAAATCACATTTTACAACGAAGTAATATTAAACATTGTTAAAAATCTGATGTTTTTTTTCTCATTCCAAATCATACGAAATAACTTCGATAAGATACTTTCTGTTTAGTTTTTGATGTCTTAACAAAGTGTTTTTGTAAATTTTGAATCTCTTAATTCAATCTCGAATCTCTTGGATTTATTCGTTCAATTGAATTTCTTCTAAAAAAAGTGGTAAATATACTGTTGAACTTCAGTCGGTATATACATGTTAAAAACAGGCTGGATTGGAGACTAGATTTCCAGGTGGGTTCACTATGGAGGGGTCTCCCGTGGGGTCGATTCCATGTGTTATCATGAATAACCGGGGGTGCGCGCAGGTGGATGAACTAGAGACCTGTCGCTCACTGGACCAGGGGGTGTGGGTTGATGTGTCACACCTTGCAACTGAACATGGGTGCATTCACGATACCGTGCAAAAAATGAGACAGGAATAAACTGCCAAAACCGGCCTTTAAGAATTGTCAAGTCGCGATCGAGGTTTTAGCCAATAGCCACGGCACTGATGATCAGAGAACGATGTCATAAATCTGCTGAGATGTAAATCAATTTCTTGGCCAATTTCTGTTGTGTGTTCAACAATCTCGTATGTAGGCCCGTTAGCGAAGGTTGGTTTTAAATGTATCTAGACGTGGGATTTTCGAGAAACAGTGATACATGAATAGAAAGCTGGATATTAGGACAACAATATGCAACAATCCCCAAGTTTCTCAAATAGTTTTGGAGATATGACAAGATATAATGTATTGATCAGCTTCTGTTGTGTGTCAAACATCCCGTGTGTAGGCCTGTTAGCAAAGGTTGATTATACACGTGAATGTATTTAGAATGGATTTTTTTCTCCACACATTTTATGGATAGAAAGCTTTATAGTAGGATCGGACGACAACATGCACAAATCTCCAAGTTTCTAGACCAATTACTTTTGGAGATACGGCGAGATATAAATTAATTTCTTCGTCAGTCAGAATTTTCTTCTAATTTTAAATCAAAGATATTTTAGGCTTGTTGTCAAGCATCTAATTAAGTTGATCAAAAAATAAACAGTGTATCTAATAGAAACAGGGAGATTTTGCAAGAATGCGGGATTTCCGGGCGCCCTGCGTGGCAAATACAATTATCGCTGAGAGTGTATATAAAATCATGGATTAGACCAAATGTTTGACACCTCAAAATCCTTAATGGCTAACCAGTTAAGATGGCGGCGCTCGTGTTGTATTCATCCCAGGTCACTTGTTTGTGAAATTGGTTATCAGTTCAGCATCCTGGGCTTTTCGGGCTGTGATCTTCTTTCCGCTTTGATGCGTGTTTAAGCCTTGGCGGTAATTAGTTGAGATCACCTTGTCAGGACTAATCACTTCACCCACTAACTACTACTTCCCGCGCTTATTGTAAACTCACTTTGCGCGCGAAACCGTCTGGAAAACATCAACTCCTGCTGATAATGTTTTGTTTAAACTTCTATCTTTGGCGTTACCGCTTGTAGGCGTTACATTTCCAACTTGCTATTTCTGAGCTTATAACATGGTCGCCATCTTGTCTTGTCTCCTGACGTCGATGGTTGAAACGCTATGGACTCTTGTGGTAACCGTGTGCCAGGCAACTTTAGTCACGTGTCTTGAATTTGTGCTGAACAGAAATGTACAGTCAGAAACAATATGACCGCGTTAACGTGACGTTAATTTAGGACAAGGACGTGTACAGCTGAAGTTATTTTGCAAACCACAATCTGTTGGTGACGACATTAATTTTTTTATAGCAGTTTAGCTGGCATAACAATCGGGATATATACGTTTGAAACAAAACTGTTTTATTTGAATATTAATGCCTTTTTAGAGGTTAGTAATGTTCAGACTGTTTCTTGTTAAACTGAGATTTGATTTAAAGTTTTCTCAGACAAAGTTAATCTATATCAAGGGAACACCATAAATAAGACTAAAAGAAAATGGCTGCTGTCTAAAAATAAATTCACACCGAGGCTATATTTACAACTCGTCTCGACCCCAATGACCTTCTTAAATTCTCCCTGCTTTCCCGAACCTTCCTTCCCAGACCGTTGAATCTTAGCCAAAAACTCTACGAGCTAAAATCTAAGGCGAAGGGGGCGTCTAAATATAGACGTTGAGTACTTCTGGCGTCGTTTCCCCCCACGCTGAGCAGACCGGTGTTTGGTCAATTACTACATCGGCAGATAGAGCCTGTAGAGTTCCCGCTAAACAGAGCTTCCTGCAACTAGGCTGCCGTGAGCCCCTAACACGCAGCGCAGCCGGGCCCACTAGACGGCCACCGGACGCGCCCAACCATGTTGACTGAGGAGTTGTGTCTGATAATGGCGGGAAAAATACTGCCCATGCAGTTCTTACATTGCTTGTCCATGTCTCTGTGAGTAACATGCTCCGTAGGTATTGGGGAGCACATGCTGCTGGTTTTCGAGACTAGACCGGTTCGTTTGTCTCGAGACTAAACGTAGAGTCGTTGGCTAGTTTGTTTACTGTGACTTGAATGAGTGTCATTATAATCGATGATTCTTTTCGGTAGATTCTGTCTGAGTTAAAGGTCTGTGCAACAGTTAAAATGAAAGCCTTGCTCAATGCAACAAAATACAACAGTGGGTCACGTTGCATGCACCAACCTTAGCACGATGAGCTGTTACCCTCCTTAATTTTTGCAACAAAATCCAACTCAGTTAAAAAGACAATGTTGATGAAATCAACAAATGATCAACAGTGCATGTTGCACCACCAGCCTTGGCATATGCACGCAGATACCATGCTAAATGCAACCAAATGCAACATTGCATTCTGTCGTATAAACCTTCAAACTATCAGCAGATACCCTGCTAAATGCAACCAAATACAACAGTGAACTATGTTGCATATGCGCAGTTACCGTGCTAAATTTTACAAACTACAACAGTGGATTCTGAGCCTTGGAACTATAAGCAGTTGCCCTGCTGAATGCAAGAAGCTGCAAAAGTCAACAGTTGGTTATTTTGTATAGCTAGGCCTATAGCATTGGCACAATAATGAGCAGTTACCCTATGCAACAAGATGCAACAACGCATTCTGTTGCATTTAGCCGGGTCAAGGATGTCACAACCAATAAAAATGACGCTTTGCCTTTAATGTTTTTCCTCGCAATGTATTTTACAAGTTGTTTTTGTATTGTGTGTGCATCAGTGGATGATTCATGATGAATAATGTGCGATATGACCCGGTCCCTAGCTGGCCGCTATTTTTATACCTAGTCTCCTTGTTGTTTTAGTAGTCTTCCTGTCAAGCTCAGTTTGTGCGTAGTGCACTTACAAACCAGCAACAAATGTCGCTCGGTGCGGACAGAAATAGACACATCACCGATCTAGGGGGCTTTATTATGATATTCCGGGCCCCGTAGCTCTAAGGAACTCCGGATGTTTTTGTCATAACAATTAAAAGTGATTTTTAAGTGTTAAACATTTTGACCGCAGTGTAACCATATGCCTACGAGGATTGAATTTGTGTGTGTTTTGATATCTGCAGGATTTCAAAATGGAAACATTTCAACTTGTTATTTTCATTTCCAGCTAACGTCAGATGTTAGTTTTTAAGTATTAGACTGTATTATATAGTGTAACGCGCTGGAGGAACCTTCGTGTGACTTGATTTCGGGAAGAACAAAATCGACACTTTTTAAACAAAATCACACTTCATTCAAAACAATAACTTCCTTCAGCAAGTTTTCTTCAAGCAATTGCTAATGTAAGCTACTGTCAAAAAAGGGCATATTTTACCAAGGTCTTATTCTTCATAACTTACTGCCTGTCATTTCCCATGTGTGTCAGTAGAGGGCGCTACAATAGTGGCTCATTAACAAGCACAAAACTTCGTCCCGTGGGAGATACGGTCGCCTTGAAAAATATTTATCCAAAGCAGAACACTTAATTGGACGGGTTCAAAACAAGCCTTAGCTGGACACTCGAGTTGAAGGTCAGAAATACATAAAGACGTCATTCGGTTTAGGAAGGAAAAAGCCCTAATAATCTGAACTTCCGCAGGGGGTAGGGGAGGGGGTAGGGGTACAGATGGGATCCTCTGTCTAAAGGAACTGTTGACAAGTCGAGGAAGACGAGGTCTATAATTGCTTAATCTTCGAGATGAAAATCCATACCAACATAAGACGCTGACTGTCGGTGGCAAAGTGATGTTGGTCTTATTTCAAACCAACACGCTCTGGAAGTAACAGAAGATGAAGAATTTATATGCAGGCATGAATATAAAACTCATCCAATCACCACAATTTTTGAAGTCATTACGCGGTTGGCACGCACGAGGCTCGCGCGCAGGCTGCACGCGCGCGCTCAATGCTCTTTCGACCAATAGCATGTCTGTAATCTCGTAAAATACGCGGGGCCTCAAAAGTAAGGCTAAAAAATAGTTTACATGCAGATATCAATTAATCCGACTTATATCTCAAATTGATACCTCATTGTTTGAACATAATTATCCAGCATGCTACTTTTATGGACTGACTCACAGGGGGGAAATACGGTTCTTCTCGTGCAGAAGCACGTTTTGTGTGGCTCCTTGAAGCCGAAAACACATCACCTGCGAGAGATGACAACTTCGTGATACAACATCCGCTAAATACACGGGGGAAACCACGCCAGAACCCCGGTACTATCCACGCCAGAATCACGCTAGAATACCATAGGTTGAGGTGACTTGGCCATGATTGTACATGTTCTTACTATAAAGGCTCGTATTCAAAGTGCACGACTGCTATCAAGGTTCGAGATTAAACCGTTTCTAATCGACTTATCTTGTGGATTGGTTTATTAGTGTTAGACAAGTCATGTTTTTAGCCCCTAAAGGGATAACTTGAATTCATTGACTGAAAAGCGGTGAGAGTGTGCTGATTGTTAGATCGAGTAGGCTGTGTCACATGAGAAATGACATACACTGGCAGAGTATTAAAAACCCACACTGCATGCAAAAACTGTGTTTAGCTATTAAACACTTTTCTAAACACTTTCTTGCTATCAGTTTGTAAACATGTTTAAATACTAAACATGTTTAACGTAATGATGGATTGTGTTTAGCAATTGAACATAGATGTTTAGGAATTTAACATACAGGTATAATGTTAAGCTTCTAAAAATGTGATAGCAAGATTATGTTTAATTGCTAAACAAAGTTTTTAGAGTGCACACTATAAGTGACATTTGCACAACCTGACACACGGCACTAACATTGACAATGACCTCATGTAAATTTAGAAGAAAACAAATAGAAACAGTCGATCTTGGGAATGGTTCGATTTCAGTTTTGTTTTTCGTACGATAATTTCAGGAATTCTCGCAAAACAAAGATTGTATGGAAAAAAAGACTAATATTTTTGTTGCCGAATGAAAACGTAAGAGGTAACGATCGCAATTTTTTATCGCAAAATTTGCAATGATTAATTTAATAACAACAGTGAGCACTTTGTTTGCAATTTTTAAAGTTGGTTGCTCTGGCAATACGTAAAGTCTGCGTCAACATTTGAAAACAATCGTCAATCTGCATTGCCATCATGGGAAATACCGAGGAAATCTCAATAAACTCTACTGCTTTCCCTAACATCGTTTCGCTATAAACCTGTATGACGAGGAACAAATTATGAATACTTGTCCATCTTGCTCTTTCTTATGTTTCTTTACCTAATTATGTAAAGAGACCATTTTTTTGTATCGCGAGAACGGCACTGTTCCCTTTGATGGCCAGTCCAGTCACCATTTTATTCGCGTGAAAAGCACTATTCATTTAAGGGGCCAGTTTTCCATCTTAAGAAGGGGCACAATAATTTTAATGTTGTGAGCGGGGCACTAACTGTGCTTTCGATGGGGCAGTTTTCCATCTCGAGAAGTTATCATGAGAGGAGCACTATTGTTTTTGACGGCCAATTTTCCATCTCGAGAGGGGCAACATGTTATAAGTGCGAGACGGGTGTTTGTGCTTTCGAGGGATAGTTTTCCATCTCGAGAAGGTGCACAATATTTTTACATCGAGAGGGGTACTTGTGTTTTTGAGCGGCAATTTAGCATTACAAGAGAGCAGACAATTTTATTGGTACCGCGATCAAATGCTTTGACGTGTGCGGTTGAGGGGCATTAGTAGTTTTGCTTTCATCTCAAGGGGCACATTTATAAACGCGAGAGGGGTACTATTGTTGGCCTGGGAAAATGGGGGGGGGGGGGGCGGTAAAAGTCCTCCGGCCCTGGTACGTTATGCATTGAAGAGGCACGAACCTTCTGGGACATATTTAGCAATCGGAAGGTATTGCCCTATTTACATTGTAGTTTGCAAGTATTTGCCATATGATAGCGGTTGAACAAACCAAACTTATCGCATATCATTTTGTAAATGCGGCTTAATTGATCTCAAAGTTCATTTTCATTCACTGAAGATCTCCAATTTGCATACAAAGAATAAACGTATATAGTCGGACCACCAGACCAGCCGATCGAACTACTCACGTGAAAATAAATATACGAGGTTGTATGTCACAAGTTCTACGTTTTAAGCGTGACGGTAGTATAATACGCACACCGTGGCCAGTATTTAAGTTAGGCACCAAATCAAGTTTGTTAGGCGTTCTAGCAAAATCAGACATAACTGGGCAGAGGACGAAATAAGGGTTTGCGAGCATGAGGAAAGAGAATAAAAGTCTCCTTGCAATACTGTCTGTTGCACTCCAATTGAACATTCCGTTGACAAGTTATGGTTGTTTAAAGTTTGCTTTTATCGACAAGAAAAAAAAGTAAAATACTGAGAAAAGTGGCCTTTAAAGATTCAGAGTTTTGTAGTGAAAATGAAAGATGCCAATTTTTCCATAAAAACACTTTTTTCCACAATTGTCATGCCATTTCTTTAAAATATGTGTTGTACACATATCAAAGATTACCAATACATCTGCAAATTAAACACAAATTACCCCAATTTGGTATTTTGCATTTTTTCTCCACTACGGCCTGTGCCTAGTTCCGTCTCATTTAAAAAAAAACGCCTAACATTGTTTTCTAATCCATAACACTTCAGTCTTCAACCAAAATGCATGATCGATAATATGGTGAAGAACACTTTACCGACCAGAGACAATATACGCTTTTTCTTGCATCATTCTGCAAAGTTTGTTTGTCACGACGAACAAACAGACATATGGAAATATAACGTTGCAAAATCTAACGCAGAAACAAAACTTCTGTGTATCCGTACCATATGGTGAGTTTTCGGACGATCAGCTAACGGTTGGATGTCAAAAACTAAATGAATTTACGGTCTTCAATATCAAGTTTAACATGTCCTTCATTATACGTGCACAGTGTACGGTCTTCAATTATTTACCTTGCCATGTACGTGAACAATATGCACATGCAGGTACTCATGCAGTGTGTGTTTAGGCTAACTACGCCCAGGGTGACATGTCTAACCTACCTTGCATTCATACTGCCCTGCCTTAGTTGGCACAGCTACTGTGGTGTACGTGTCACCATTGTACACAACTTTAGCCTGTTGCACCTTGCCGTCCGCCGCGTAAATCTTCATTATTCCCCCGTCACTGCTGGCCAGACAACCGCTCAAAACACGCTGGAGAATTGCAGCACGGGCGTAACTACAACTTGGAGTGTTAAACCAACAATTTTTAACACAAAATAACAACGAACTTCAACTGCTGGCGCAGACTACACTACGGGTCCTCTCGTCACTCTGTGTGTAGCTTTCGTGACCCGTAAAATCAAGTTTGACATGACAGCGCCTAACTGAATGATGGCTGGCCTTGCCCCGAGGCCTTGATGAACAGCGCCACCTGTTGGTGTCTAGAGTCATGATAGACTTTTAGCAGTTTAACACTATGACGTAGTACGCTGTTTGTCCTTTCGAGTCATTTGTGGGAAGTTGCACTGCTGGGGTCAGATTAAGTGCAAGGTTTATTTTTGTCCCCAGTCAATTGTAGTTTGTTCCCTATCTTTGAAAGTGTGTTAATTCCTCATAATTCTGGTAGCACTTCTCGGTAAAGGCAAAAGATCTGACAAGTAGAAAGGGGTCATCCTTTAACAAAATCCATATGATCCTCTTATTTAAGTTTTGATTTGCCCCCCCCCCCCAAAAAAAAGCAGCACCCAAAAATATACTTATGTAACGGCAAATGTACAAGTGAGTGGTGGTACAGTATATCAACACAATAAACATGCAAGAATCAAAATAACCGAAAAGTCTTATTAATCAAATTGTTAAATATATTTGAAGTTCATTAAAATGCAAATAATGCACAAATATTGCTGCTTGCTATACGGTCAATCGTTACAATTAAAAATATAAATCAAGCGCGCTCTTGTACGCGGAATGATCTTTGTAGAGTGTTGTTAAAGCAAGTATGATTCGACAATGAAAAGAGAGAAAAAAACCGAGAATTAAATAACGTTAATTGAAAAGGCTAGTTTCGGATGGGAATTGGAAAAATTCGATTTGGTTCAATAATGACCCGTCAAGTTCCAAACATCTTGTTATTTCACCACATGTTATACTAACTCTTTCAGTATAATCTCACGTCAATTAAAACATAAAGTCTCAATAAGTATTAGCAGCATACGACAATTGTTTCTCTGTTGTTTTTCTTGAACGGAATGTCAAAATGTAAACATGTACATGTACATAGTGTTTACGTAGATGATTAATTACGATTAAGATTGGACTTTATAAAGATACTCGTAATTAGATATACAATTCTGCTTCATGTTGTTAATATTGTAAATATAGGCTGTCTCTATGTTAGTGGACCATGTACGCCGAGCACAAAGTAATAACTTCGTATTGAGGATGTAGTCCTGAAGACAGCAATAACTATGTTCACGTTATTGTGATCAATGTAGTTCACGCTACTGATTCTAACCATAAAACATCCGTCTGCATGATCTCTGCTTATATAATATTATTACCACGACGTTCAAAAGAATGTGCGCATGCGTGCACTTATGGTTGAAATGATTATTCATAAATACCTCAGACAGTTTAGCTATTCCTATTGGTCGAGAGCCCGTCACGTGGCCGGTCTTAAACGGATGATAAAGACATGGCTAGCTGGTCTTAAACACTTTTCCAGTGTCACAATAAAATGTGGACTCCTAAAAATCCAGTGCCTCTTACCGTTTCATTGGTTGAACGTTCACAATCCTCACGTAGGCATGCGCAACACTACAAGCGAGTCAGAATTTTATAGTTCTAAATTCAAAACGCAACGCGCCAGGTGCGTTCTGCGCGACATCGCATAGAACATGATACGCGCGCGTCAATCTCCATAAAAGGGTTGTTTTCATCTTACTCGCCAGCTGAACACTCCATTATTTTGCAGGAGGGATGATTCAAAAAGCATAAAGTGAATTTGTTGAACAAAATCGGGATGTTTTGAACGAATTATATGATATTTTTTTTACCGGGTAATTATCAGCACCCAGACTCTAAGTGGTATTAAACAGAGTGATAAAAACCTCCGGAGCACACATTTATTCCCTTATTAAATACCTGTTTTACGTTTAAAACTAAATTGAGCGTTCTGTTTTATTCGTGAGCTAATGTGGCATTGATGAAGCATGGAACAGTGAGGACTGTTTTTCCTTGGAATATGCCTGCTCCCATTACGTACAGTATTATCACCGCCATGATGGGAGTGATCACGATAATCAGCCAGCAGACGACTGTTTCCAGTATCCATATAGCCCTGTAGGTAAAGAAAAGAACAGTCGTTAATGTGGAACCTTGCTGTTTAAAATCTGCAGGCGTTCACTCTCATCTTTCCCTCCGATCGACTTTGGTTCGACTTTGAATTCCCTTACAGCATACACATTTCGTTCCTACAAACCCTGTATTTGGATATAATTAATATATTAGTTAAACTTTAGGGTCGGCTAGAAAACCAAACAGCCACTCTGCTAGTCGGTCTGTTCATTATGTCGATCTGGATATTAATTATGTCGATCAGTCGACAATATTTCTATCAGCTGGGTTCGCTTGGGTCCCATTTCATCATAGAGCTTCTCACCACAAAACAGGCATTTTGCCCAAATGTGTATGAAACTATGGTTGATTGCTGGCCCCAGAGTGCCACCCTCTGCTATGTACCCATCTCATGGACTGACCGTAACTGGTGACCCGGGCAGTGCCATTATATAGGGTTACCCCAAAGCCAGTGAAAGGGCAGAATCCGGCCCATTACGAAGTCAAGATGAACAGAGATTCTGATTAATCTGTGTAGAAATGTCTATGCTTTCGGGACCAGCAATACTTTAAAATCTGTCATGTTCTCAGCGATTATGCGCCGAGCACATCACATGTGTCAGATATTCTTTCCTTTTTTAGTTCAAACAAAATTGGTCTGACCGTCTGTCCACCGATCGTGAGCTTACTTGGATTCTTTGTATTTCTCAGGCGTGTGGATGTTGCGAAGCCGTAGGTAACACATAGCGGGAGCCATGAGGACAAGGATGGGGAAGCAGATGCCGCCCAGCAGGGTAAAGATGACTCCAAAGTGTGGTATAGTCTCGCCAACCAAGAGCTGCATGACAAACACGACAGTCCGCAATACCACTCGCTTCCACGTAAACTCTGAGGAGGAAAGCCACAAGAAAAGATAGGCCAATGGACATGGACATGATGAGCATGCTGTTTGGTACGCATTAAAGCAAAAGACGACTTTTATAGCGAAACATGCTGAATACAGACCAAATGTTGACCAACCTGTTGTGTATGGCTTGGTATACTTTTGGGGGAATTTTCGCTGATTTTTTTTAAGCAAGTGTACTTAACAGTATACTCTAATGCTTAAATAATGTCCAATGTGCCAGCGATATGTAAAACAGGAAATCCATAGAAAATGACTCCTGTGCCGTTTTGCGCGTGTCGCCGTCCGCAAAACAACAACCGAGAAAAAGGTAAATATCAAAAACGGATTCGTATTTAATGATTTTATTAAACAAAATTCAGGGAGTTTGTACAAAAAAAATCAAAGAGTTTATAAAGTTTGGAACGAGATATTCAACGGTTCAGTCTTTTCCAGGGGCACGGCCGTTTCATGGATACCGCCATCTTTCTGGTCACGTGATATTTTCTGGTGCATTTCGGAGGGAATACATTCCATTGCGCCGTTGCATCCTATAAGCATGATGAGACATAATTTTTTTTCCACGAATTTGAAATGTGCCCCTGAGGCCACCAAGTGAGGGCGGTATATTGGCTGTGGGTACATTTCGATCACGAATTTCTTCACCTCCAATTATGAAAAGAAAACTGTTGACTTCTTTTGTACCTGAAGGAATGTCTAGTCTTTCCTCCAGTGATTGGAAGAGTGGATTATTGCTACTGACTAGCACCATAACGCTACGGAGTAGAAACAGCGCAGCAGCGACAACAGACAGCGGCCCCGGGGTCAGCACGGCAAGAACGGTGGTGTCGGCTGTCACGTAAGCTAGACGATCTCGCTGAAAGACGTATGTTACAACCAGAACAGGTATAGCTAAAGCAAATGTGTCTGGGGGAAAATAAAACAATCGAAGAAATACAGTTAGGACTTCGGGGAAAAAAACAAGGGCAAATCAAGGCTTTCTAAAGAAAATAAAAGAGTTCTCCGATTGATACCTGCAAATTATGTCATACATAATTAAACAGAATTCAAGTGCCTTCAGTATGATTTATAAACGGGAGAAGGCTAACCTTTGAACATGCATCAAAAACGCATTTTGTAAAATAAAATTGAGGTGGACCAATATGCGGATTGGGTTTTCAGTCACGACTTGATTCCGTGTTTTTTCCCCGAACATTCTTCTGGAGTTTTCAACTGAAATTTCTTCACATTGTCTTCTCTCTTTTGGGATCCATGTGAGACCAGTGAATTCCACTGAATGCTTTTCAGTTAAAATAAGAATGAAATAGATGAATAAGTAAAATAAAATAATATATTACAAGGTAAATGATAGAAGTATCTTAATAATCTGTCTCGCGCGATCACTCACATGCAAACGACACACAGACAGTCTTGGTAAATTTCTCCGGCCGTTTCATGTCGCGCTGGAGACCCGGCGCAATGTAATGTATACCAAGGGCGACCTGGACGATTCCGCAAATCTCCGCCAGATGCACCAGCACAGTACTGTGTAGCAAAGTACCGCGTACATGTCCAACGTTAGAGGGCGTACCTACGGTAACATTGGTGACGTTGGAGTAGTCGGTATCGGCCTCCGTGTCTTCGTCGTCGACGATTGCGCCGATGAATAGCAGCAGGTACACTAGGGTACCAGTCAGAGCGCCCCATACACCCAATTGCCTAAGGAAGAACAATAACGATGGACTCACATGCACTTGAAGTACCCCCTCAACGGTGACAAAGAATCAGGCGGGTCTACTTTGAAGGTTATTCTGCCCTAAAGCATGGCACCAAGCATTGCGTGGGTTTCAGAGAAACTAAAGCTTTCGATTTTGTTTAGAAAGTTGTCAATCTTTTTTACAGGGCAAAAAAAGACCTATAGATGCCAGAAAAAAAAAGGAATCTGTATCTATGAGCTTAAATATATTGTCAGGTTGTAATGTGTGGATACAGAAATCAAAGCAATATTGTCATAAAATGTAATACTGTTCTGTTTTGAGCTCTTTACTACAGCCAAATCTGCATGTAAGTTCATTTTCCGTCAATTGCAGTCATTTTCAAAACAAAATGTTACGGGAAAAAAAGAGACTTTTTCCAGCACATAATACAAAGACAGTTTAATACCGTGGTTACTTACCAAAGATCCCGGGGAGTCCCAAGCCACATGAACGGGCAGGCGACCACGGCAATCACGACCGGGAGAAGACAATATTTGCCGTGAAGCGCCTGCCCGCCGAGCACGAAGAGATTCTCTGCTGTCACCATCAGAACGCCAGTAGTGACAGCAAAACAGCAGATATCCACGATCACATTAATGGCGGTCCTATCGAGGCAAAAGCAAGACGCCCTCACGAAAATAAGAACACATAAAATAAAGGCGCTTGGAGGCAGCAAACATAACGGTCATTTACAATTATTGCTTACGTCATTTTGAAGATGCGCACATTAGCTTAAACATGACGTAACCAATTATGGAAAAGGACCTTTGTGTTTGCTGCCACCACGCGTCTGAAAAGTCTCCCATTGGAATTGAGCTGACAAAAACTGGAACATTTATCTGGTGACATGATCTATTACATGAAACAAGACAGGCATTGCCTGGAATTAAGTGTCTTTAAATTGTTATAATTATGCCTAGACGATTCAAACTTCCCTAAAGTCTGATTGCTCCTCGTTCAAGCGCGCCTATTTTTGTACGTTTACAATTTGCATACTATAAATTGTACCCAATTTAGAGGTCGTGAAGACATCCACGAAAACACCGGTCTCTGATACTTTATATAAAGTTGACAATTCGGATCGGATCATTGGAAAACTCGACTTAAGTCGATCTCGGGCGATTCACAATGCAGTGCGCCACCAAGAGTTTGCCACGGAGAGTTCATTTTTCCCAGTGCATTGTGGGAGATGGTCGACAAATTCGCAGCGCGGGCAGAACGCTATGCCCCAATCTATGACATATTAGCTCAAATTGTCTACCGACACTCATTCAAATGGACCATGTGTTTGTCGACCGTAAACTTGAAAAATGGACTCTCCGTTGCAAACTCTTGGTGGCGCACTGCATTGTGAATCGCCCGAATTAATTACTTGTTTGCACGTGAGATACTTCATTATTGACCCCCAAAATATACCATGGCAACTCGAGTGTAACCGTGATATGGAGTGACATATGGCTTTCCTTTTTCAAATCGCAAAGCGCCGTAATGAGGTCTCTGTATCAAACAGCCCCCTCTATCGTAAATGGCGCCCTCTTGCATCTCAGAGGTGTTATCAACTGACCTTGCCCATGACCCGAAAGCCTCATAGCCGATAGCTCCGTAAGGATGCCGCTCATTCTGCCATCTTCCCCGTACGATGTTCCAGCAACGGCCGATCAGTATCGCGGTGAAGACAATCACGCTACATAGAACAGTCGCCAGAAAGAGGCCAATCCAGCCTACGGAAGCCGCAAAAGAGACCATTGTAATTAATGACCGCTTTAAAATTAACACCGAAAATGGGATCTTCTTTGGTAGCAAGTATGGCTGAATGAAATTTACCGGTCCTACAATCAAGGCTAAGTACTGAGTGCCTTTTTATTTTAATATTTCAAGTTTAAATAGATTTGAAAAGTCAGGGATTTTTTTCCTGTGATCTGTGTTTGTTATTAAACAATTAAGGAAGTCGTCCCACATTGATTTGGGTACGCCTTTATGAAAACAAATTTCGCAATACACATATATAATTTTGTTTTACATGCCTGAACGCGAGAATAAACTTCCTTATTTCGGGATCTCAGGAATTTCTGTAGAGAAAAAAAACAGCATTTTTTTTTAATTTTTCTTTAGGTATCAAAGTCCAAATCCTACCTGTATTGACGACCAAAGCTTCCACAGCGAGAAGAGAGTAATCAACGAGAAGACCGGTGATAAACAGAACGGCCTGCCACACATTCAAACCATTGCCACTCTGTGGAGAAAATATACACTAAACTGGTCAATAGAAATCAAGACAAACTTCCAAGCTGTTGAATAATGCATAACGGACTATGACGTCAGCCTATGTACATGTATAATGCTCGTTTCTAAGCAGGTTTTTCGATGTAAATTTTCGAAATGCAAGTTAACTGGTTGTATTTTTCTTGTTTTTGGAAATGTAGGTTGATAATTGAAACAAACCATTTGCTGTTTACATAAACAATTAAGTAAAGTTTTAGAAAATTAAATGATCAACTAAGTATATATTAAAAAAGGAATGTATTCGTAGTGTTATAGTTTTATTCGATCAATGGGCCATGTCGTTGTGTAGTATAGACGCCATTTTCTGGGACAGACAGTAGAATGGCAAATTTATCGAAGCAATTTAGTAACGTTACTTCAATGGAGAATACAAAAATTGCAATTATGTAAATTTTGAATTAACCTAGCCTCAATAACCTAAGATTCACAATTGTTGGTATCCCCACCCATTCCCCCCCCCCCCCAAAAAAGAGCCCGTAACGGAGCCCTCTAGCCTCATTCGCTCAAAAAAACCTCACTTGACTGTCGTTTGGCTCATCCAGTTCTTCATATTTTTCGTCGCCATTTTTCGCCGGTTCCGTGTGGTTCAAAGACAAGGAATGAGGTCCCGTTCCGTTTAACGAAGCGTTGCTAGGAGACAGGATGGGAGATGTTTCCCGTGATGTTTCCATTTCCATGGTTACGGCTGGCCAGGGTTATCAGACGAACAGATATATTTCAATTCTTTCTCACTACGTTGGCTTCACGGCTGTAATATGCAAACGAACGATTGTGTGACTGTGCAATTAAAGAAGTTTATAGCAAATCAATGTTACTGTGAAGATTTAATCCAATGATTGACATGCGGACGGGAGATTAGGCTAAAATCAGGCTTGGACATCTTGCAGAAAAAAAATTATGCAACACAAAATTAGGGCAACTCACTCCTTAATAGCAGACACAATTGTCTAAAATGTTCATGAGGCAAAGACAAGGTCCTCGATCAGTATATCACCAGCCAAGTTTGAGCTCATTTCAATTTTGGAAGGAGATCCTTCTTCACCATTCGCAACTGAGAGTGATGCAAAATGATTTCAATTTGAAGCCTAAGACTAGATTGGTACATATCCAACTTTTTGAGAAGATTGACCATGCGGTAGTCTGGAGGCATCTATGGCGATGTACTGTAGCCTACATTTGTACCATGTTGTCCTACACAACAGCACTTAATTGTCACCTCAGTGCCATGGCTGCGATCCGTTACAAGTTGTGCTCACCTTTCATGAGTTGCTTTACTTCAGTCGGTATTCCTCAAACTGTTCATAAAGATCGGTAGCAATCCAAAGTTAGTACCGAGATATCACCTATCAGTTAAGATATCACCTGTTTTAGAGTGGTGATTTAAGATTCATCGCGGATCTGTTCGTTGCTCTGTGGTATACGGTACTCCACTGACTGCATAACAATTCCTCCGGCGAGTGGAGTGAGTGTACCTGGCGGAAATCAGCGGTGCTTTCGTCAATAGAATCAAGATGTGGTTGAATGAACATCAACAGTCTGTGTTTCTGCGTTTAGGCACAAACTTTTGTACTAACCCTAGGAGGCTCGGACCCTTTCTTACTGTGACAATACCTGGTGAGCGTACCATGCCCATAATTACGTACAGGGTACAGCATAATTTACCTTTATACATGTACATGTGTATTCAGATCTGAAGCCTTAAGATGCCTATTCCAGTGAAAACTTTTGTGTACGTGTTCTGGGAAACTACAGTACAGCTTATGAACTGCTCGTGTGTGTGATTGGGCGTGTGTGATTTGTTCCCTGATTTTCGTCAAAATGATTTTGGCTCCAGCTTTCTTCAGGACAAAAACTGCACAAACAAAAAACATGACCCCAAGCCTCTTTTTAACTGGTGATTTCGAGCTTAATCCCCAGTACTTATCTGAAAAACAAAATAGCTTTTTCCCCTCACAATACGTCCATGGTAATAAAACAAAGCTTCACCAGACTTCGAGTTCGAGAGTTAAAATTCCGACCTTTTTTTTCTTCAAAGAAAGTTTGTTTTGCATAACTTTAAGAATTGTGACATTCCATTCAATTCCTTGAGGTCTCAGAATATTAATTACGCTTTAGAGCAGAAAATTGGTAATAGTTTACCTTCAATCATTACAAAAATAATAATTGCTCCCCGCGCGTTCATGACAGCGCCCTCTTGCGGCTGTATTAACATGAAAACGTCGACGACTTTGTTCATACCTTATATTGAGTGGTAGACTGCATTAGAAGTAACCCTGACGACGCTTTATGTAATGTTAGTTTCCTTTACGCCGGGGACCTGACCATCGTAATGGGGGATGGACGCGGTTGGATGGACTCTTTTTTTATGATAATAAAATAAAATGCCTGATCACACCATTACCCTCATTCCCTGCCAAAATCCAATTAAATTAAAGCCGATATTAATTGTTCAAATATCATCAAGGCTCCGTTGTCTGATACCGTAGTCTCACTCTCGTGTCGTTTTATTTTGTACTGCCGAACTGTGAGTCAAGATCATTAAGCTACAATCTTTACAACCAAAATGATCTATCAATTTCCCTCCTGCAGAGAAAACAAATGGAATTTTGTTCAGTGTACCGTTATTTGGGTGATGTGGTGCAATGGTTACGGTGTTCGACTCGTGGTACGTGGGTTCGAATCCTGACTGTGAGAACATGGTGCTTGTGCTCTTAAGCAAGGCACTTTACAATTATTGCTTTGTCCTTCGGATGGGACGCGAAGCCGTAGGTCCCGTGTGTTGTGTAATGCACGTTAAAGAACCCAGTAACACTTATCGCTAAGAGAAGGGGTTTGCCCCGGTGTTTCTGGCAGTGGCTGCAATATGTGCCGCAGCACCTTGTAAACCCTTATAAGGTGCTACATAATGGGTCTCATATTTCTCATAGACCTGTTGAACAAAAACACACCTCCAAGTTGGCCGCAGTGCAAACGGTCTATTAACTGTGGTACTATAGGTGCAGCGTTGCTTAAAAAAAAAAACATTATGCAGCAAAGGGTAAAGCTGTGGACGTCGACGTGTAACAGGTGTTAGTGACGTTAACGATCCAAGAGATTCTTCTTTTTCAAAAATATGAAGTCAATTTCGCAAGCTTTTTAGGCAGATTACAGAGCACCTACGTGTTCCATTGTTTTAAAGCTTTTAAAAGGTTCAAAATCCTTTAAGCTACGCAATTTTTTTTCCCGGGATGCCATTAGCAGCTCCTTGACGTATTTCGTAAATTTTATTTTGAGTTGATACCTGCAACAAAATAACTAACAGCTTTTGGCGAGTAAAGGCAATTATGACTGGAAACAAGTGTCTCTCTCTAGTGGTTTTTTTGGGGTGCGGTTTTTAAGTGTCTTTCCCATTAAACCAATTGTTTTGTTTTGCCTGTTATAAGAAGAGGAGTTCCAATTACGTTGGTGTGTAGACGATGATGCGTGTATTGTCGATACATGACTAGTTTGGCAATCGGAAGCAACTGTCTATTTGGAAGTGTCCTACTGAGTTATTTCTCTCCGTTAACCTATAATATCAGTTAATTTATTTCACCTGTATTTTGAATACAGCACAATGGATTATACGACCATAGTGAGTGATATTGAAAATACTTTGAACACAACTCTCGACTCTTCCACTCGTGTATTTGATGTTGACGACGAGTTTACACCGATTCAGAAGTTTAAGACTGCCGCTTACTGCGCGATCGGCCTGTGTGGTTTGCTGGGGAACCTGTTGGCCTGTGCTGCCTTCTGGTCCTTCCAATCTCAACTGAACCGAGTCAGTTTGCTCATCTTCACCCAAGCCTTGGCTGATCTGATCACCAGTGTGTTGCTGATCCTCTTCGGCATCACGCAGATCTGGCGACACCGGTCTCCGACCAGCCCCTGGCTCTGCCGGTTCTGGTGGACCCAGTTTGTCCTGTTCTTCTTCACCGCCATCTCTTCCTTCAACCTGATGCTGATGTCTCTGGAGCGCTACTCCGCCGTGGTACACCCTCTCAAGTACGCCCGCTGCTTCACGCGACGCAACACCAAGATCTTCGTGGCGATTCTCTGGCTGGTTGCGCCCGTTATGCAATACGCTCATCCTACCTTCTGGACGACCGTAGCTAGCGGGTCCTGCAAGGCGGTCGCCCCGTTGGGGCGAATCGTCCAAGCCCTGACCGGCTCTATGCTCTACCTCTGGGAGTTCCTGCTACCAGTCTGCATCATGGGATTCTGTTACATCTCCATCGTGAGAGCTCTTCGTCGCCAGGAGCGAGTGTGTCATACACCGGCTCAGCCCGGGAGCACCGGTGCTGGCAAGATGTCGGCTCGTAACAGAAACATCACCATGACTCTCATCACCCTCTTCGTCCTATTCGTCATCTGCTGGGCGCCTAATCAGACCACCTTCTTCCAGTTTAACCTGGGAGGTCCGCTGGACTACCAGGGTGGTTGGTACCACTTCACCGTCATCCTTGCCTTCTTGAACTCCTGCGTCAATCCGTTCGTCTACGCGTTCCGGATGAAGCAGTTCCGGCAGAGGGTCGTAATGATGCTGTGTTGCGGTTGTGGTTCAAGGGGAAACCGACGGCAAGGTTCTCAAAGCAACAGGACCACAGTGGTCCAGTCAGTGGCGTAAACAATCCCCTGAGCAGCCTATGGTGGTAGCGACTTCCTCTAACTGCATCTTAGAAATGGGAATTTTAACTCCTCAACTTGTCTCAGCATCTACTTCAATGCAATACTTCAAAATGACAAATATTGTTAAAAGTATTTACATTTACTGTGATATATCACAAATCTTGTACTACTTGTTGTTCTTATTATCACCAAATTGTTTTCTATTACATTGGCACTACATCTACCTACTTAGTAATTCAAGTATAAAAGGTAAAGGGTTTTTTAATTTGTTTTTATATTGTTTTATTACCTTAAATCTTATGAATAATTTGTGGTATTTTCAAAATGTTGAAATAAGTAAACATGTCGAGCACATTCTTTTTTCTTCTTTTTTAGTGGAAACATGTTAGTGGCAAAAAGGTAAGAAATTGCTTCAGCCGTATTTTGAAGAGATTAAGCATTATGTTACCATTCTGAAGTCCTAAAATCGACACTTGTCACAATAGAGTGAGCCCTCTCGCGTATCAAGTACGTAGCAGTGTGCCATTTGTGTTGTGATTTCTCCCATTATATCAACATTTTTAACCTTGTTTTCCACGATCGTCGTCCTAGCTGATGCTTGTCTCCGACATGTCAAGATGTTGTGTCTGACAGTAGTCGATCAGTATCCAAGACACACCGCTTCCAACTGTCGGCGACTATATCTGTAGCTTATTTACAATTTCGCAATTTCATGACAACGACTGATCTTAAAGGATATAGGCCTATTCTCTAAGACGTAGGCGGCTGCTATTAACCCACGCCCTGTCTAAGCAGGAAGATATACGGTGTTGATTTAACGACACTGACGTTAAGAGAGCATTTTTTAAGGACACTGTGAGCGATCAGTTTGAAGCATGAAGAAAAATACCGAGAAAAACACCGCACTTGTTTATCTTTCCTTGCACCGTGCAGACGGTCGAGGCACGCTACATTTGACGCTTCGTCTGACCATCGCCACATCCTTTGCATCTCATTGGAGAAGGGTCACTTCTCCTTCGATTGTAAATGCACTTTGTGTCAACGAGACCATTACCCTGCTTGAATTCACACTGGATTTTTTTTTTTTTGGTCAAGATGACCACTTGTGTTCGTGTAAAAGGCTAGGTTCATGGTTGAAATTATCTGCACAGTGTTTTGCGTGGTTTTCGGTTTCAATGTCAGAATTATATTGGTTTCCAACGGTTCCCAAATCGGAATATGGACACTGTGCTCTATACAAGATTCGGAATTCTTCACGGGAATCATGGCCAAAATACTGCTATTTACACATTTTAAAAGATGTTTTGCAATATTATAAATTAACAAACACTACTAAGACTGTGGTCATCATTACAGTTATAGTGGAAGGTTTACAGAAATTTGTAATAAGATAAAGATTTACGGTAGCATCATTTGACAAATCTCTCTTGTGAGTTGCTGAGGTTCTGAAAGAACGGGGGAACTCAACGTTTCGGACAGTATGCGCTGCCCGTCGTCAGGAGACTGTATTCTGTAGGCCCTACAACACCCTTATTTTGCTTTGAAGTGATTTGGTTTTTTTTCATATGTTCGGAATAAAAATGTCCTCTAAAGATGTTTCTGAAGTAATAAATTTTGTTTTAATTGCAAATATTACAACATATAAGAAGGTGAAAAGCATTTTAACAATCGTGTAGACCTACATTTTTGTAGTGTAATGAGCCGTATGTGCTGAATTCATTAGATGTGAATCGGGTTAATTTTGCGTGGCGACTATTAATCACGATGGAACCTTGGCAAAAACACGGCCTCCTTCCCGCGTCTTGTATTTTTTTGGAGGGGGAGGCAGCCTCGATCTCCAAATGAGCCTGATATGATCACTATTGCGAGGAAAATTCCACCGTTGAGCCCAGCCGTAAGAAGTCATGTTATTAACAGGTTTTAAAATTGTACGATAAATGTTCCTGATTCTACGGAACACAGGACTTGATCTTTGATATTCCAAGAGTTCCTGAATCTGTTTATATTTTTTATGATTATGGGGTTTCATTGTTAAAGGTTCCTAAATTCATTGGTAGCCTTCCTGTGCTTTTTCAGGATTGTTTTGTTTTTTACCTTTTTTTTCATTAATACAATATTGACAAATTTAATAAAATTTTGACAAAATCTGAAATGCATTTTTCAATTTGACTTTTCCCCCCGATTTACATGCACAGTTCTTAACCCCCCCCCCCCCACCATCTCCAACAAAAAAAGGGTAGAAATGCTGATCCCTGCTAAGGCTGAGAGTGTAGTGTTAGATGTACATGAGAATGATGTTTGTGTATTTTGTCAAATCTAAAGAGCCGTTTGGAGTGCAGACGCATGTCATAAATTAAATAAATTCACCCTTTTAGGGCAGGGACACGATCATAAAAAATTGATGACATTTTCACCGCTCAGAAATAGCGAAAAAAATGCACCTACTGAGAGGGCAGGCGAACGGGCTCACTACATACACCTGCGACGCATTTGTGGATGGAATAACGAGGCATGTATTAAAGAAATGGCACTTAACAGGTGGGGCCTGCAGGGTCATTGTTTTATAATTAACCGAAGGTGGCGAGAATTACTGTCGGCCTGTATGGCTGCGGGCACGGCATGGTAACTTTGAACGATCCCGTTCTTTGATTTACCCAACATTCGACTTGTGAAATCTCCTGTTGAGAGGATTTTAGTCATCTAAGGTTCGAATAGTGTCGACTGTCGACACCCCTTTAGTCTTTTTTTTTATATCGACCCGGCAATTTCAGGCTAGCATCCAACGCACCAGAATGTCGACATCCACTTGGAAAAAGAAATATTAACTATTTTCGACAACTATTGTTCCAGGGATTGTTTGCATGATCGACCAATTTTGTTAAACTTTTTGAAAATTACGCTTTTCAAGAGTACTGCATTTCAATTATTATGACGGTTGTGCAAACACTAAATTTCGGTAAAGAAACCCCTATTCTCAATTTAGTTTTTATTACGTAATCTCCTTGGATTAGACTGTTCCCCCCCCCCCCCCCACACACACACACCAAAGATATGGGGACAGGTAACTAGCACCATTTAAAGCCTTTGATTGGATCGCTTCTGCGCGTGCGCATCATGATTGTTTATTTTTGAATCGCTGTTCAACTTTTGTGCATGGACGCCGGTGATTGAACTCACGATTATCAAGAAACTCAAGCTCGGCTTACCACAGAAGGTAGACAATTACATCACCAGTGGCTCCATGAAAGCAACTTTCAAGCATTTCAACTGCATAGATTGTACAAATTGAACAGCAATATTTCTCTCTTCAATGATATGTGCCAGAGATACTTTCAAATTCAGCAAAAATCTAAATTGCACTTTCGTCGCCAGGCCTATTGCCATTTTGCAACAGGCTGGTTGCGCGCAAACATTACCGTTGTGATTTCGAATTCACGAGGCGAGGCGGGATTGAGACCTACGCACGTCATGCATATTAACATTACCCAGAATTCCGGGCAATGTATGTCAGATTCACCTCTAGTTACCGAGCCCCATTTTTATGAAGTCCAAAGGATAATGAGGTCAGGGAACCAGAGTAACCTTGGATTATCTCGTCATGGAAAGCGCCCTCTATAGACACTTATGAGCCAGTTCCATTTTGTACCCTATATCCTACCTCAATCCCCCCCCCCCCTTTTTGTGCAAAAAGCATATTCGTGAATTATAAAAAGATTAGCGATACACAAAGTCGAATTCGACTTATTTATTAATAACAACGAAATCGGAACTCCACTTAAAATGAATGAATTATAAGAATTCACTTCCTGTTTGTAGTGCGGCTCTATTGTTTACTAAGGAGGATCATGGTACGATCTTCCAATTTCCAAATAAAAACAGAGCACTCAAGATAAAATTAAAATCTTTTGAGCCCTGTTTGCTTAATTAAATTCCGCCGCAGTATTCTCACAAAAAAGAGGTCCATCTACCCGCCCTAACGCGCATGCGCTATTAAACGGCACACGCGCCGTCCGATCGAATCGTGCCGAGGCATTTTGATACTGCTGCGACTCCTAGAAATCACCGCTGCGGTTGCCATGCCAACCGCACCAACCGCTTCCCGAAATCACCAGACAAAATGTATGTGTCTAGAGCTCGGCGGAGATGGCCCATCGCCGCGTCCTCCACAGACAATTTATCTCCGAGGCTACAGATTCTATCGCCGGCACTTCAATTCCAAGGAAGAAAAGGCTAAGTGGACAGCGAGCAAGCACGGCGGCGGCATTCGACGGACGGCAACTTCGCAAAGAGATTCACGATTAAGTTCCTGCGATGTCGCGAATCAAAGGTCGAGATTAGCCTCACTCTTGGAGCGTCATGTTCGAAGATGTATATTGGAAGGATTTCCAGACTTTCATTCCTTCCAAAGATGAGCTAGATGGTGAGACGTTTCTAAGAATGTTCCCGGCGAGTTTGGGTTAATGTTAGCGTCCGTGTGGTTACTAGTACCGCCGATGGGCAGATGATATGATTCCTCGTCATCCAGATGCTGGACTACCTGCGTCTTGCGTTCTTCTCTCATCTCTTGACAATGGCCGGCAGTTTCATGAATACTTACACCCTGGAGGTCCTAGCACCTGTCAATTGCACCTCATTTTACTCCAGCGCGGTGGCCGACGTAGCGGCGGAGCTCGCCGTGGGGGCGATCAACGCATCGGCACCGCCTATCATACCGGCAGGTGTCAGCTTGGCACTCCGCGTACGGGAGACGCAGTGCTCCCCTCCCAAGGAGTTGTTGGCCGTGGCGGCGTTGACTCTCGACGCGGAGCTGGATGCCATCTTGGGCCCCGCGCACTGGATGACGTGCGATCCGGCTGCCCGGCTGGCCAGAGCAAGGGACGTACCCATAACGTCCTGGTCTTGCACCGATACCCGACTAACGGATCACAAGGCTTATCCGTCCTTCACACGCATGAGCGTGTCCGATTCCTCGACTGCCGAGGCGTTCCGGGCAATCAT